CATTCCAGTTCTCTTGCTCGCTTCCTGGGATGTCTGGGATGCAGCCAGCAGTCCATGGGAATGATTGTTGTCATCCTTCGTTCCAAAAGTCACAGGTTTGCTGTGAACTGAGCCAGCGTCACTTCTGCGCCTTTCTTCTGCTAATTCTGGGTGCACTGTCCTCACCAACTGAGAAGTAAAGTTCTCTATTTATGCTTGGAGGATAGAAATAATTTTTGCTCCTTGTGTACAAGGGGTGTATGTTGTTGTACTCTAGCTCCATCAGTCCCAGCTTTCATGGACAGTGGTTAGGTCTAATGGAAGCTGTAGTCCAGCTACAACCCTCCCATGTGCTTTGCCCCTTTCCCCACCAGAAAGCTCCTCTACAAGATTTTTAAAACATACTATCTAATCATATAATTTTGTCATGACTTGTGGTTTTGTAAATAGCACTGCTTGTATTTCAGTGTGTGCATGTGTTTGTGGGTTGCCTTTTGTTCAAAGCTAATTGTAGTTGAGAAATACAACTGGGCTGGGTCTTTTAAAAAGGGTATAGAGAGCATTGAATTTGGGCTGTTCTAACAGGTTCCAAATGTATGTAAAAATCTTCTAGACCTGGCAAATGGTTGTCTGGTTCACAGAGGAAGAGGTAGGTTACCATATGGTGTGTTGCTTGACATTACTCCTTTATAAAGTACCTTCCAGTTACTCACCACCTTAGGACTCAGCTTGGAAGGAAGAATGTAATCTTTTTATTAGAGGATGTTTGGATTTACAAGCTAAAAGATAGGCAGTGAAGTGATATCATTCCTCGGAAAAACAGGAACATTCGGTGAGGAAAGCAGTAACAACTTGTGCAAGGTATTCCTGGTGTGACACAGGGACAGCTCTAAGAATTCTGGTCACGGTCTTGAGCAGCCAAAGGCAGGCCTGTGCACATGGATGTGGAGGGGAAATTCATCTCTGCTGGCTTATTTGCCCTGCCATGTGTGCCAGGAGATTTGCAAAGCTACCCTGTGTCATGCGAACCCAGCAAGGGTTGGTTGCTGCTGTGGTTAGAGGCTACCCCAGAACCCTAAGACAGCTCAGGGGTTTTGGGCGGTTTGTTAACCAAAACAATAAGCCTTCCATGCTGGGTTTGCTGGCATGGCAAGCCACACTCCTGAGGGTAGTTAGGCAGATCTCGCCAGCATATGACCATGACATGTGGTGGAGGAAATAAGCCATGATCATGCAAAGATGGCCATTGCAGGGGCTGTTTGAGTCTCACCTTGTGTGTACACGGCGGGCTGAGCTAGTCTGCTTTTGCTGATCACACCCAGTCCAGGGGGTTCTCTGCTGTTTTTACATTTGGCCCCAGAGTTCACATAGTGAGGCATGCAAATATGATAGATGTTAATAATGCCAGTGCCTATTAAATATTTATTTAGTAAAACCATATACCACTTACCTTATCAAAAGATCTCTCTGGGGGTTTGCAGAATCAGAGACTAATATACATCATAATAAATATAAAAGGTCCACTAGTTAACTGTTTAAAAACAAAGAGGAGAGCAAAGTTATTAGACTAACGGATCAGCATGCTTATTCAGAAAAGATTTGAGTAAAGAATTAGGTCTTCAAACACATGCCTAAAACAGGCACAGTCGGTGCTTCCCAAATAGCAGGATGAAGAATTCGGTAAGGTGGGTTCCACCATGGAGGAGACATGCTTTTGCATTGCCACCAGATAGCAATCTGCAGGTCATGGTACAACCTCCTCCAATCTTAGCAGCGTTCATGCAGGTCTTTACTGGGGGAAGCCACTGGCCAGGTAACCTGGCCCCAGGTTATTCAGGACTTTACATACCAACAGTGCGACCTTGGACTTAGCTCTGTAGCTGATGCGTAGCCAGTGCCGTTGCTTCAATAGTGGTATGTGCCTGGCCAGGCAGCCTGGCTGCCGCATTCTGCACCAGCAACAGCTTCTGGACCAAGCGCAAGGGTAGCTGCAGGTACAAAGCACATTGCAGTGGTCTAAACAGGAGGTTGTCTTGGCATGGGCTACAGTTGCTAGGCTGTCCTTATCCAGAAAGGAAGTAGCTGATTTACCAGCCGAAGCTGAAAATAGGCATTCCTCACTGCAGAGGTCCCTTGGGCTTTTAATGACTATGTGAATCCAGGACTCCCCCACAACTCTGCATCCATTCTGAGGGAATGCAACCCTCTTCAAAACATTGGCTAATATATTGAATTAAAATGACACCTTCAATCAGAGAAGCTGTTGAGTAAGATTCCCACTGGCAGGGCAGTTCTTCCTGGGCTTTCCAAACCACAATAATTCATCTATAAGTGGCTTTAAGTTTTAAAATGCAATCAAAAATCATTTTAATTGGTTTAAACCCACCTGTCCTATGAGGTCAAGATGTACCTTAAATTAGGGTGCTTTCTTTTATAAAGGAAGATGAGCAAGGCGTGTGGGAGCAAATCTGCCTGCCAGTGGAGTATTAACTTAGTCAGAAACTATGTTTTTAATATGTATATACGTGTATATACATGTATGAATAAATATTTGTAATCATATGGCTTTTCTTGAGTCCTAATTTTATTGCACTACATTCTTGTTTGATTTTCTTTCCAGACTGGTTTAATATTCCATTTTACCTGAGCAAATGTTTTAACTGTTCTGAGATTATGTTATGGCTCCAGACACGCAAGATAGGCTCAAGTTTTCCAATGCTTTTCCTTGCAGACATTTTATAACAGCTTGCTTCTGCACGACTATGATATTCCAGAGTTGAGGACAGTGAGGTTGGAAAGTGCTGTGCTAAGTAAAGAAAATGTAGGATCTATATTGTAAGCCCTTCGGGGAGTTAATCCATCCTCTCTTGTGTTGTACCTCTGGCCCATCAGTTCAAACCTCCTGTGACTTAGTTACTGCCAGTAAGGACTTGAAGTTAAAATATCTCTGATCTTTTTTTTTTTTTTTTTTTGGTATTTTGGCCCTGCCCGCCCTGGGCTTTTCTCAAAAAGGTTGTGCAGAATGCATTGTGCAGAATGATGATACTATGTAAATAAATGTGAGTCAGTTTAATGCAGCTTCAATGCATAGTAATGTGGGGTGGAATACGCTGCTCACACTGGCTGCCTTATTCAGACTGTGCATTTGGAAGCAATTAGATTATTACTAAGGCTCCAGAGGCCCTTCCTCCAGCAGGAAAACTGATGCTGAACTGTGCTGAATTTATCACCTAAATGTTAGAATGGTTTAATCTGCTCCTTGAATCAGGGCAACTGGAGCTGTCTGATGGAGTTGGGTGATACAGAATGGACAGATAGAGTAGAATACCGTCTCTTTTTGTTTTTAAAGATGACTGACATCACATCCAGGAAAAGCAGTTACAAACCCTTGTGGTGGTTTCCGAGGTAGTAGTTTAAGCACTGTGGAAGAAGCATGGTAGAGCAACTGTGACTTTTACTGAAATTGGCTTGCATCACTGGACACATTTCCAAGTTTCTGCCTTGCCACGTTGGTGTATGGGCTGATTTGTCAATTGCAGTAGACAGAAATACTTTTTAAACATCACAACAGCCTGCTGAAGGACTCCTATTTACTCTGGAAGTGACTCACCCTCCTGTTCTGGTTTTTCAAGCAATGTTTCTATTTTGGAGTAGACCTTTGAAATCTGTTCTTTTCAGGAAGACTCCTCACCTTCATGGGTGTCTGAGGACATCGGCACTATTGAACAGTGGGGAAGAGCAGAGACATTGCAGTGGCTAAAAGAGAGGATATAACTTCACCCAGGCTCCTGGTATACCACCCCATTTTTGATAATAGAAAGTCTAGTAGTTCTCAGGGGTGTTCTCCATCCTGTGATCCACCAGGAAGAAGAGGTTGGGTGCTTCAGCCAGGATGGAAAGCACTCGAGAATTACTAGATTTTCTACTTCCAAAATGGAGGTGGAAACATTTCCCCTTCCCTGCCTCCGTTCCCAGCATGACCAGGCCAGCAGCTCCTTTCTACAGCCATCACATGACCTGAGGACTGCAGAATCCTCCTCCCACTCTACCGGTCTCACTTCACTCCACCATTCCATCATTTTGCCCCACCCTTCCCTTTTTTCCTGTTTTTTTCCTTTTGCATCTTGCCTGTAGAAGAGATCTTAGAATCACGACAGCTTGCAAATTTCTTTTGATATTATTTTAGTTGGCTAAAAGTTCCACTAGTTAGATAGTTATTGGCATTTATTGGCAAAAGATAGCTATTGGCATTTTTTCTTGCTTCGCTTTTTGGAAGAACTCTGTTACATTTACATGAAAGAAAGAACTCTCCCTGCTCCTCTGGTTCCTTAAAAACTTCCTTTCCCCAGAGTTCCTATTGCAAGGTTTGGAGCTACTGGTACCTGGGAAAAAGGCTGGGGAGGTGTGGCACAAGGCTCTTTATGTATTTGAGAAGCAGTGTGACAATAGTTTGGGACACAGTTCTTCATAGGTCTCAAAGTGCAAACGTGCAGTTGCCAGTGTTGGTCTTGTGGCTCTCAGACTTAGGGATGTCACTTTATTTCAGCCTGTCCCGTTACGGGTAATACTAAGCTGGGGGGTTGGGGGAAGGATGCTGACTGGGATTTATGAGGGTTGCAGTTCAGTGTATCTGGAGAGCACCAGGTTTGGAAAGGTTGCCCTAGGGCAGGGGAGGTCAGAGAGTAGTTCTCCAGGTGTTTTGGACTTACAAATAACCCTGCTGGCAGGGACTTCTCAGAGCTGAAGTCCAAAACATCTGGTGAGCTTTCTTATGCAGAATCCTGCAGTTTTTTCTTTTAAAAATGTTTAGAGAAATCAAGTCTCTGGGGAATGTTTTAGTCATGTTACTGAAATGATCTGATTGGAAGCAATATCAGGAAGTAGAGAGGCATTATATGAAAATTAATGTGAGCCTGCTGTAGCAGAAAATATTTGAGGTGGGGAGTTACACTGGCACAGGTGCACATTTGAATGTATTTGAAACAACATCAATTTATTAAATCTATTTTTTTTTTTCACAGAAAGATCCAGACTACTTGAAGCTCTGGTTAGACAGTTTTGTTTCTAGTTATGAACAGTTTCTGGATGTGGATTTTGAAAAATTGCCCACAAGGTATGTAGAAATAGATCTAATTTGTGATAATGCATAATACTAAGATGGCTGATACAATAGGTGTTAACGCAAGTGTATATGCAGTCACAAGTCCATACATATCTCTTTATATACATGCATCTCATGTATGCAGGACTTCCTGCATTGCAGTCAGTTGCACTCCATCGGGTCAGAACGAAGGTGGAGTACGAAGTTAACAAATCTGTACAGCTTTATTACTGTCAGTCTGCTCTTAAATGCTGAAGTATATGATGTTTTTGCTGTCCCCAGCTTTCATTAATTCTCCACTAGTCAATATTTTACTCCTTTGCCATCGTTCTGCATTAGTATAATTATGCACACACTCTTTATTTTAAATTTAAAAGGAGAAAAAATGGTCTTATGCAGAATCCAGGAGGGGCAAGGAGAGACAAAGTGATCTGCCAAAATATAACAACTTTAGTTGTTGTTCCATCTGTGTAGATTTTATGCAGGCCAGTAAGCAGAATTAGAGCCTTTGGTGAGCCAGTCCCACCACATCCTTCTGCGAGTCAAAACAAACATTATTTCCAAACCAACAAAAAGTCTTGTGGCACTTAAAGAGTAGCATTTGTCTGGTCTCCTGGCAGAAGCATTTGTGGACGTAGTCATATTCTCAGATGCATGAAGTGGAAACTTCAGATTGGCTGATCTATATACACATTCTGGGATGGGGGCAAGGATTGTAAACTGTGTTGTTAGAGAAAACTAAAATTTTAAAAAGTGCACATAGTCATTATTGCCATAAGAGTTGCCATTCACAGTACTTTTTGGTGATACCACAGGTACCTTTACAGTGGTGAGCTGATGAATATCTCTAGACTGCTTAAAAGTGACAGTATCTTGTTGGTATCTGCCTTTGAGATTCCTTTGTTCAAAAATGGCCACTTTAAGATAATTCAAGCCCCAGTCAAGGCTTGTTGTGTGGCCCCAACCTTGTAGCAGCAGGGTTTGTTTCAGGGTTAAACAACTATCAATAACTCATGGCCTGTTCTTGCATTATCTAAGGTTGTCTAACCCTCAAACAGCCTCCGCTTCCCAGGCATGGCAACCTCTCGCAAGTCATGCTGGCAGCTGAATATTCCGAATGGCCACACACACATGCTGCAATCCATAATAGCTTAAATAAATCACAGGGTGCTGCAGCAACCATGCCTGGAGGCTGAAATGTTCCTCCACAGGTTTCTGAGTATTCTCATTGCTTATGGCAGAAGCTTTCTGGAAATTGTTCAGCTCTGACTTTGTTGTTAAGAAGGAGTGCCGGGGGGGGGGGGGGGCAGGGTAGGGTCTAACATTTGAATAGGGTCAGATTGGGCCTTTTAGCCTTGGGAACTGAGCTCTGGCTGCTCCCTGAAGCGCTCCATTTCATATCTTGCAAATGCAACTTCCAATGGCAGCTGTATCACTTCCTCAGTTTCTTCAACAAAAACGCTAGAGGTTCCCTCTTGATTAATCGATTGGAACCAGGAGTAACTCCCAGTGAACTTGCAGTGTGAATCAGTCCAAATTCTGTGTCCGTATTCGTTGTCTTTATTCCATGCTGGTATTTCTTGATTGTCCTGCCTTGCATTCTTTAAAAACGTGCTTTGAATTGTTAAATTATAGAGTTGGGTGAGCGTTCTTGTTTGCTGTGAACCAGGAAATGACCCCTGTATGTGCTTCTCGAATGTACTTGCTACAGCTCCAAGGTTGCAGCTCTTAGCAGCACAATCCAGTGTATGCTTACTTGGAAGTCAGCAGAGTGGAGCTTGTGCCCTAGTAAATGCAGTGGTCTGGATGGGACTTTGGGACAGAAGACCAGGGTCCCACTCAGCAGAATGAACAGGAGGGTCCCCCCAATGCAAAAGGGATGGTTGAGCACATTTTGAACTACATGAAGGAATATACATCACCATCCAAAGAGGTTTGCTGGTGGACTAGCAAGGGGCAGAAGACTAGTGCCAAAAATTAACCCAACTCACCCCAGGGTAGCAGTGTTTGGGGCTGTAACCTTAGTCTATTTCTGACATGGATCACCAAACTTCACACTAACAATAGCACCGGTAGCAAAGTGGTAACAGACATATTTTTTGCAAGATTTCTGCTTGTCTGAGAGTCAACAAACTGCCTGACAGGCTGCAACCGATGCTCGGGCGGCTCCTATGTCACAGTGCTGTACAGGCCCACCAAAGAGGTAATTTTGAGTATAATTGCCAGGGGAGGAATTCAGTGGAAACTGGAAGGTTTATTTACAACATTTGTGTGCCACTCTTGATCTAAACAGATTCCAGAGTAGTGAACAAAGATAAAATTCAACAGATAAAAATAAAAAAAAACTGCTTGTTAAAATGGAGTACCAATGAAGAAGGTATTATTATTTCCTCATCTCTTAACTAATAGTATTTTTAATAACAACATGGCAAAAGTGTGGCTGGGGAAATCCACAGACAGAACCTCTGTTTGAACATTAATGTTGCCATCCTCAAGCAGCAATGTTTCTGAGCGCTCAGTATAAAACCCACTGTTTTGCTTTGAGATTAATGACAGGATTAAAGTGTTACGACCTAAAAAAACAGCATATATGACTGGATTCCTGTTGTAACAGATGCACAAGAGAAAATATCTAGGCAGCTAAATGTGAGGGAAGATTGTTACTGTGTCTTGAATAGCTGGCTAGAAATAGAGCTCCAGTATATCATATGTACGTTGTGGGCATGTATTGGGTTAGAACTCCAGATGATCAGGTTTTGCTTGCTGGAAGGACTGCTTTGCATATGAAGGGGTGGGCGGGGGGGGGGGGGAGGAGAAGAAGCCACGCACCCAGAAAAATGTGGAGAAGGAACCCCTTTTTACTCCAGGGATATGGTTTGTCCTGGTAGCACAGTGGTGTTTCTTCCAAATTTTCCTAGTGTTTCCACCAGGTTGTTCCTGGGCTTGGCTGTGTCCAGCCCAGTCTTTAACTGGGAGGTAAATGCTGTGGAAACAACTGGCACCCACTTTTAAGAAAGGTATTTCAGATCAGCATGTCAGCATGTCAGTTTGTGGTGCTTCTGTTGCTCCTGTCGGGAGACACAGCCAGGCACTAGGCAGTGTAATAGATCTCTTGACAGCTGTGCCCGTAGTACATGAAAGATTAATCCACTCTCCTGCTTTGTATTTCCCAAAGCTTCAGGGCCTCATGTTCTACTTACAATTGAAAGGGTGAACCCTTGCCAGCTGGTGAAAGTCTGTTTGTCCTCATGCAGGGGAGAATTTTTCTATTGTGAAAGGAATTCAAATATGTCAGACTCTCTTCTGATTACAGTACTGAGCATATGAAAAAGGAAATGTAGGGGTGCTGAGTGGAAGGAGACTTGATCAAAACTGATTCTTAAATCAGCTGTAGAATCCAAAACCATGTGGAAGTGATCCTAGAAAGGTAACAATACATGCCAAGTTAGAATATTAGGAATTTTCAGGGTTTTGTGGTAGATAGCTGTTACCATCCTGTAATTATTCTTGAAAATGTTATATATTATTGATGCCTTTACCCTTCTAGTTAGCATACAGGCTGAGAGTTAAGGACATAAGAAGAGCCAAAGGTCCATCCAGTCCTCACTCTGTATACATACATGGTGGCAAACCGGCTGCCCCCAGGATCCCTCAGGCAGGATGGGTGCAAGACCTCTGCCTGCCTAAACTCCCCAGTAACTGGGGTATGCAGACATGTTACCTCTGACAAGGGTGGTAGCACCTAGCCAGCAAGGCTAGTGGCCACTGATAGCCTTCTTCTCCATGAACTAGTTAGTTTTGTTTGGGTTAGCATTGAGGGAAGTGTTCATTGAGAAAAAATAATAAATGAGCATGGCTGTGCCAGAGGCTCTACTAATTTTCTCTTTTTTCTGTCCTCAATATAGTTGTCACTAGTCAGAGTCAAGATGATCAATTGCAGTTTCATTAATATGCAGCAAAATGCAAAGGCTCTGTTTTTGTTTCTTTTTTTAAAAAAACAAGACAAAATACAAGGCTATTGCTTCCTCTAAACAGTCTAAAACGGAAGTGGAGCTGTTTATAGGCAATTTGAAGGGCACAAATTTCAGCCACTGATTTTGATGAGATTTGTTTGTTTGTTTAAAACATTTTTATCCCATCCTTTGCACAGCCTCATGACCCTTCACCTTGTCTCATTTCTCATGACCCTTCACCTCATGACCCTTCATTTCTCATGACCCTTCACCTTGTCTTGTATTCTCAGCAGTAAAGATTCTGACTTGGAGAACTATTGTTGGGCTCATACCTGACACAGATAAAGTTGCTAACCTTGAACTGTTTCTTAACCTAAGAAATGGACTTTCAGCTTCTGCTGTAGTTAGGATTTATTACCCTTTAATTGTGAGTGTCCTGTGTTAGGAAGTCACATTGCACACTAGGAGGAAAAGGCCCATGACACAAGCGTGAGAACCAAATTACACATGACACTAATTGCGTAGCATGTCGTTACAGCTTTCCCTTTATTCTAATGGAAGTGTGCACAATCATGATTAATTTAATTGCTGCTGCACATGAGGAGAGGAGGATTCAACTTCCTCCACATTTACTTTCTGGAATTCCACCCACTCCCTTGTGGGCATAAAAAGGAAGAGGAATCACCTTTGCTGCCAATGGTAGGGTTAGGGTTGGACCGAACCCTTTCGGAATCCGTCCCTGCACAATCTGTGGGCTTCCTCTCATGCTTGGCCTGCTCCTGCAAAGCGAACTGAGCCAAGGGGAAGTCCACAAATGCTTGTGGAACCCCAGCAACCAGCAAATTTCCACTGTTACTGGTGGCCAACCTTCTTCTCTGCTTGCTGTTGTTGCATGGGGCCCAATTCCTGGTGAACCCTGGACATGCTTGCCAGGAACTTGCAAGTGGACGAGAGTCTGGGAAGCTAAAACTTGGGAATATGTGGATTTTCCACACAAACAGGTTCTGCACACATCTGTCCAATCAATGGAATTTTTTCTTTCTTGCATGGACTTCCTCCTGTGTTGGGGCAGAATTTGGCAATTTAATCCTCTCTTCTTGGATTTGGATTAGGGCAGTGCTTGCTTACACTAGAGTAAGAACAAGCTGACCCTCAGCCATACAAATATATTGTTAACATGTATTTTACCTCTAATTCTGACTTTTTGCCTCAAAATACCTTGAGGATCAAGGCTAAAACCTTCAAATATAGGTTAAATTCTAATACCTTGTGGCTTGGGTTCTCACAAGTTTTCCATTGCTCCAGTAAGATTGTTTTAAAAGTGAGGCCCAGTGCCTGCTGATATGCTAAACCAAACACAGGGTTTTGGCACATCACAAAGGCAACTGGGTGTCTGGAAGAAAAGCTATAGCAGGGTTGTTTCTTTTTTGGTACGGAGGAGCTTTTGCTATGCAGTTTGATGTTGCATAGTCCAAACACAAGGTTTTATTTGTTCAGTGCAATCTAGGCCCTAGCTGACTTGGTGAAGAATTGATCGCATGATATGTATTCCACATACTTTTGTTCTAAAATTGGCCCAGTTTAGACTATACCTAGCGACCCAAGCAGTATGCTATACTGACGACCTTTTCTTTTATTCCCTGTAATAGTAAAAATATTGGTCCTTAATCCTTAGATTAAGGATTTTCCCCCCATTTGAATTCCATGAAGGAGTAAATAGGCTTAAATCTGTATTGTTGAAATCAATAGGATTTTGAAGTGGTTAATTTTGTCTGTATTATGCTCATCGATGTCACGTCACAGTAATAACTATGATTATTATTTCTTTCATATATAAATAATAAAATATAATAAAATATAAAACTATTTGTGAATCATATTTTTGGTATTTAGTGGGCCAATCTGTACCTGCCTATGATCTCATAACCACCACAGGCCAATTGTGGTAGATGATTCCCCAGGGAATTAATGTGCATTTAACCGACTTAATATTATTTTACATTTTAATTATTGCTTTTAAGCAGATGAGCCATCACTGTGTAATTTAGTGGCATGATTATAATTTTTGGCCCTTTATAGTCAACCATTTGCATTTTTTGTTTTATTGAGTACAGTATAGTCATGAGTGCATCAGAGATCTTAATTGCTGTTACATTATTACTCTGTAAACAACTCCTTGGTTTATTTTTAGGGTGGATGATGTTCCTCCTGAAATATCACTGCTTCCTGATAACATTCTTCAGGTCTTGAGGCTTCAGCTGCTGCATTGTGTCCAGAAATTATCCGAAGGATTGGAAGAACCACAGCAAGCCTTGTCCCTTCTCCTCGTCAAATTCTTTATTATCCTTTGCCGGTATTTTTTTTTTAAAGCAAGCTGACTTTTCAGAAGCAAACTAGAGGGAGTTTTTGGGAAAGATCCCCAATACTTTCCCCCTGTCATTAGCTTTCTGTTGCTTTACAAAGTCCCAATCTCTTGCTTGACTCTGCCCACCTTTCCTCCATGCTCACTTGCTAACAATTTCACCCCATAACTGCCTCATCTCTCCCCCTGCACCATCCCCCTCACAAGCAGGTAGCTAGCTTCTCCAACCTGGTATCCAACAGCCCTTATCAGCTTCTGCCAGTGTGACAAATACTCACTGATTACAGGAGTGGTAATCTAGAACATCTGGAGGGCACCGGGCAGGAGGAGAAAGCAGCTTGTCAAGCAGGGCCTGTTATGGAGCATCTTGGCTAACTGTGCCCACCATGATGGGTGGGTGTGCCATCTGATGTGTAAGAAGGTACAGCTCTGGACTTCTGATTCAAAAGCAGTCAGTTTGAGTTCCAAATATCTCATGTGGAATGTTCAGGTCACAAAGTTCTGCCACATAATTTCCCCCTCGAGGCAGGGAACTCGTGGCCTGCATATCTCGCGTCGGCTGGATTTGTGGTGGCAATGGTAGCAGTAGAACAACCCTAGCGTGGTGGGTTTCTGGAAAATAACATGTGCACAGAACCTCCACACCCCTGGTGCTGGCCTCCCTTGATCTACATCTGCATCCATTGCTTTTGTGAATCATTTTGAGGTTACCAGGTGTTGAGGGTAAGGTTCTTCTTCGTGGCCTCTGTGCATCACACATATGGGCTCTGCACCGGCATGGAACCTGTTCTCGGGATGCTTCTGTGGCCAAGCATGTTTTGGTTGGGAGCCCCTCCCCTTCTGCCCCTTGCTGTATGTGGGAATGCCTCCCACCCATTCCCTCAATTCCTTTTCGACTGCCATCATGCCTAGATTGGGCAGCTCTTCCATCTCAGACCTTGAGTATCCCAGCATGTTTTTTTCCCTTTTCTGAATTATTTTCACGGCCCTTTCTTAGCTTGCTTGTCAAAATACCCTTCCTTTTTTCCTGTACCATTACTCTCTTATTAATCACCCTCTTTCAAGGCAGGGATAGAACTACCATACATAAGAATGGTTTACCATCTTATACCTTTGGCTGTTTTTCCAGATAAAAGATGCACAGCCTCTTAGAGTATAATCCTATAGACAGAAAAAAGCGTTTTAAAAGTCCAGACAGGCCCCACCCATCCATGCTGGGAGTTGTAGGACTCTTCTATCTAAACATGGATAGGATTGCACTCTCAAGGAAAGCTTGCTCTACTTTTCAGTATCTTCAGATAGCTTGATGGAAGGAAACATGCAGGGAATCACATGGGATTCACATTTCATTATTTCAAAGCATCTTAGCAGATGTTTTTAGTCATCTTGACCCATGCTTCCTCCCCTCCATCTTTCTGGTGAATGTTAAGGCAAGGAAGTGCTACTGTGTCTTAACTCTGCCTAACTTCATGTCTTTTTCAGAAACTTAGCAAATGTAGAAGAAATTGGGACCTGTTCTTACATTAATCATGTCATTACAATGACTACAGTCTATATTCAACAGGTAGGTAAATGTGGAATTTGCTTAACTGACTTTCTGATTGTTGGCAACTGGTGCAGCATTTGCAATTAGCTCTTGATATTGTTCTGTGTTCTGCTGCCTGTAGCTCAGCTTATTTGTTTCTTTCCCCCTCTCCCTGTTATTGCAATTAGAGTTATGATATGCACTGCACTGCTGGAGTTCAAATGTAGTAGAAAGAGTAAAAGAGGCTCATGGAAGAGCTATGTTTAAGAAAAGTGCTCTGAGCATTCTTAATCACTCCAAATGTCTGTAGCTGTTCTCAATGTTAGATTTGCATTTGAGCATTCCTTTAGCAGTAGGGGAACAGGCATCCCTTTTGGGATTGCTGGGGCTGGGAGATCATTTAACCTTGCCTCCACACTAATCATAATCAAGGTTTCTGTGAAGGAAGAATTTACTTTTCCTCCTCAGTCCTAAACAGGATCACAGGAGAGGAAATGTTAAAACCTCTCTCCCTACCCCTGGGAGGTTCACTGGTGGGAGCAGTTTGAAGCTAAGCCCTCTCTGCCCATCAATCCTGACAGGTTTTGCATACCTGGACGGCCAGCCCTACTGTGGGTTGTGGGCCTAAGTGAGTAAGCCACTCATGCAGAGTGGCCCAGACCCTCCCTTCACTGCCCTTACCTGAGCTCACCTGTTTTGGCTCACCACAGCTTTGTCTACCCTTTTAACCTTTGCTTGGAAAAGGGAGGTAGAGTGATTTATTTTGCCTTGGCACTGGGATTCTCAGGGTTTTTCTGTTTCCCTGATAGCTTCCAGTACCCCCAACTTTTCCACCCTTTTCTTAGATGCTAGGTGCTCAGTAAGTTAGAAACATGCAGCCCATTTCCTTTTTCTTGGAGTCAGGTGTATTGACAGATGTCAAAACTTGGGCTCCCTTTTAAAATGAACATTTAGACAGGGCTGAAGGTGATTTTTTAAATAGGAGAATGTACTGCCATGAGAGAAATGTGCTTGTCCAAAACCCGTCCTTTAACCCTCTCTAAATATCCATTTCAAACGGGAGTCTGAATTTTATAACTAAGTTTACCCACCCCAGTTTCACAAGTAAAGATCACGCTTGTCCTTGCTTTGAATTGAGTGCTTGCTTGTTGATAACTGCCTAGGGAAAGTGCAGAAGAAACTATTTGAGCCTCTTTGGGTTGGTTTCTATTGTAGTTATGATGCATTTTGTCCACAGGTACCCCTGAGGACATTATCAAAGTGAGAGTTCTTATATTTGCACCTCTGGGATTGCATAATTCTGGCTAAATAAATAACGAAATTTTTCACACACATTTGGGGTGAAAAACAGGTAATTAAAAAAGCGTGGCAAACTACTGACAGTCCCTCCAATGAGCTGCTTGGGCACTTTGGAGAAGCTGTCAAAACGGAGATAGTTTTTTGTGATCTCCTTGCCTTGCACCAAAAAAAAAGTAAATGGTGGGGGAGCTGCAGAGAGCCAGAATGGCTCCCTATTATGGTGGGATGAGCAGCACAACCCATTGTGCATAGTAGGAGTATAAAACTTCCATTTTATTCTTATCTTGGCAATGGTAACATACAGTAATGAACCAATGTAGATGGGAGATGGGAAATTTCCATGTGCGGGGAGGAAGAAGGAATAGCAGGAGAACAAACATCATTTGTGGCTGCTCCTGATTTATAAACTTGGCTTCAATTGTATATCCAGTTCTAGCTGAAGTGGTATTTCAGTGCTGAATTTTTCTCTCTGCAAAATTTCTCCTTTACATTCCATTTCATTCCAGAACATGTTGTTGGAAGTATAAATGACCATGGCTATTTTTCTCTCTAGTTAAAGAGTAAAACAAAGGAGAAAGAAGTGGCAGATCAAACACCAATAGAAGAATTTGTCAGACATGCACTGGCTTTTTGTGAAAGCCTCTATGATCCCTATCGCAATTGGAGGCAAAGAATAGCAGGGTATGCATATATCTCATACTGACGTTTTATTGTTGTGACTTTAAACTTTTCAAAATGCAAATGGTTTGGTTTTTGTTGATGCAAAAGATCTTGCTTGGTCCTGAAAAGCTAATTCCCACTTACCTTGCAGTCTCCTAGGCCTTCTCCAAATCTGCTTCAGGGCCTTGGAAGAGCCTCTAGGGCAGTGCTGGAGGTGGTGGGCAGTTGCAGGGGAAAGGAATAATTTCCAAAAATTGCCTCTCTCTCCCTTCCTTTCATGGAAGTGGTCACTAAATTAGAGAGTCTGCTGTGAACAAGAAGGATACCGACCTAGCGGATGCACCCATCTGAGAGGGCACGATACTGCTTTCCTCAGTCAGAATGCAATGTGCCATAACTCTAATCCGTATCCTGGCTCTCAGCTTGGTGCCTCGCACTGGGTAGTGACATTTGACTAAATATGTCACATAGTACAAATGTTCACAACATGCAGCCCACTGATTTTTTGAAAAAATCTGGGCATATCAAAACACTGTTCTATTCAAAAACAAACAAGCCAATGCTAGTTTTGCCTGTGTTTGTGACAGGACGAAACACTCCAGTTTTGCTTCAGATGTGAAATTAATGGGAGCCTCTAGCTCTGCCTGTTGTAACTGTAGAGGACAAGCTTGACTTAGGACTACAAAGACAGTGTGGGAATTGCAATGGCAGCTAAGTATGTACAATGCATTGAAGACAACTTTCCCATTTTGTGCTGGTATGTTGTAACACAAGAACAATCTGGCCCACTTCAGATAGGCTAATGTACAAGAGCCTCTTGCCCATACCTGCAGCCCCTCTACTTCTCCCTTTGTCCTGCGGTCAATCAAAGCAATGAGTCTCCAGCTTAACTAAATGGTTGGAATTGGTTTAGCATTCTTGTCTGTGGCTGCTGATCATCATTTCCTGGTAAGGACTAAATAGGGCAATTGTGGTTAATGACAGGACTGGCTCAAAACATGTTGATGCCTGAGAGGCAGAGCAAGATGGCCGCCCCTCCTGATTGGACTGGCAATTGAATCTTTCTCCAACAGTGTAACTAGGAGGTGGCATCCTTCACATTGCCTGAAGAGACCAGGTTAGCTTCTGGGATGCAGAGTATGCCCTAGGGAGCACAACTTTCTCCTCCAGCACTTTCCTGCTGGCTCTTAGCACCTGCCACCATGCATGACTGCTTCACTTTTGCCTAATGGTAGAGCAAGCTCTGGTTAATTAGCGACTACCTGGTTTGGTTTTCTAAGGGCCTGCGAGTGTGGGCAGAAGGCCAAGATACAGTCTTCTCAACACAGCCATACTGTGTATATTCTAATTCCTTAATGTAAGAGAAATCTCTATAAATGTGGGGCAGAAGGAATAATTTATGGGTGACTTAAATACTGGACGATCTGATCTAAATGTATACAGTTTGTATTGCTGAACCCATATTTCCTTAAAGTTGATAGTTTTTTTCATTTCATATTTAAAAGTGGGGGCTTAAGAAATAGAGGTACCATAATTAGTAACTGGGTAGCCTTTGAAGTACTGTTTGAAATTGTATATGCAATATGAAATCAATATATTATTGAATTTGAATGAAAATGTTATGACATTTTTAAAAAAAGTGTTCTGCAGTATCTATACCTGAAACTTATCAGTATATTTCTGTTGTAGGCGAATTCTGGGCACTGTAGAAAAAAGCAGACAGAAATACAAACCAGCTTCACTCACGGTGGAGTTTGTCCCTTTCTTTTATCGTGAGTATCCCTATCTTATAGTGTCCTATATTACCAGTGCTTCTTTCAGAATAAAAAACCTTTAAAGAACAAGCTTTCTTGCATCACAGTTCCCATGTCAGGGTAATAAACATGAAAGAAGTGCTGAAAGCTACTTACTACTCTCTCAAACTTAAGCACCTGTCTTTATCGGCCCAAATTCATTCTTGTTAGAGTTGATTTTTTGCCAACTGTATAAGGCAGTATACAGGCCTGGCATGAATTCTCTGGCCACTTGAAACTCAAATATGTATGGAACTCTTCCTTCTGCCACTGAGCAGCCTTCCCTCCCTCTTTGCACCACTATGGGGCAAGCCTATCCCCTTTCCTCCCGTATCACCCACCCAGCCTAGACAGTCTCTGCATGGCAGCAAAGGGAAGGCAATAGGCTATCTGGGCTGGTGCAGGATGTGACAGAAAGAATTGCTTCAGGCTCTTGCAAGAACTTGGCTGAGGAATCGGCCTTGTGCCAAGATTTCGTGAGAGCTCCACAGCAGTGAAGGCTGACTGCTCCTCCTCACAGCCCCATATGCTGAGGCAAAAGGCATGGTAGGAAAGCGGGGGGGGGGGGGCTCTAGAGCACCTCTTGCAGGTGGCAGTGGACTTTCTGGGCTGTGGCATGGGCTGAGTAGCAGCTCCAGTTGCCCCCGTTCCAGCTCCTCCCCCTCAAACAGGTGCCTCACCCTGCTTCGTGGGTGTGCTGGTCCTGGTGGTACAGCAAAGCCAGTGTGGGTACTGAGCCAGGAAGGGTCACTAGGTGGCCTTGAGCCAGTTACTCGACATGCACGACTGCAGGATTGTCGTGAGTTAAAACCAGAAAGCCTGTGATTGCAGCCCTGAACACCTCACAGAAGTAGGAGGTGCAGATGAAATATATTAAACACCAAGGAATCAGTCCCAGCATCAGCAGTTGCTGCAATGGGGCAAATGTTGGTGCCTCCTTCCTCCAGTGGACTGACACTGGATTAAATTAAATTAAATTAAATTATTAATTTGTTAAATTTGTTTGAAAGCCACCCACTAGCATTTTTAAGGGTCTGGCGCTGTATAAAGAAAGGTTTGAGTGAGGCCATGACAATATTAGTTTTTCCATGTCCCGCCATGTTCTGGAGGTATGTTTTTTGGAAATCATGATGGCAGTAGCTGTTGCAACTGCTTCTCTGCTGATTCCTGGGGTGCCCACTTAAAACCAAGCAGTTACTAAATGTTAGAAGGGAAGAATCTTGTGGGTGAAATGTCTTGATATATTAATTGTGTACTTGTTCAGCATTAACATGGATCCCCCTAAGCAATTCATTCATTCATATATAAGCTCCTCAGTGCAGTTTGTTTTAATAGTCCCTTTTTAAAGACTTGGACTCTCTCTTTAAAATTAGTGACATTTTAATGATACTGACTTGTGGCATTATTTGGACTTTCTCATAGTGTTCACTCCAAACAAAATAATTCTTTGTGGTTTTGGCAGCAGCTTGTTTGTCTGTGTATGTGAGGCTACTGCTATGGCAACTGCTTCCAGGTTAATGTTTATTTCTAAGAAAAATTCCTTAGGCCACTTGGCATGACCTCATATCAGGTATGGCATGTGCGAAAGTACAGTATCATGTTTTTTCAGTAAAAGGTTTTTCAGGTGCAGTTTTAGTCAACAGTTTGGTTTGCACAAAAGCAGCTATGAGCACTGTGAATATTTCAGTGCTTTTTCCTGCATTAACCTTAAATAAGCTATTCAGTATATAGAAGTTCTGTTGAGTAGCATCTCTAAAGGACTGTTTTCACATAGCGTGAAATCATGGAATATTGTCATGATAATGAGCTGATGAGCTGCAGCAAACCTTGGGCCTAGACAGTCTCTTCTCTGTCTCCATTGTGGCAGAGAGGAGGGGTCTGAAGTATGTTAGGTCTATTTTGGACTAACCATAGCTTGTTGTGACATCCAAACCCAGGCACAGTGAAGTTAGCCTTAACCATATAGCTTGGGAGCACAATAACTGATGGAACGTTACACCTGGCACAATCTATCCAGACACTACAGTCGAGCCTTGGACGCTGCCTCCACTTGCTGCCTCCAAGAGAGGCTTGGTTGGTGGCAACAAGAAGAAGGGCTTTTTCAGGGGTGGCACCTCAGTTGTAGGACCTCCCAATTGATTCCCACCTGACACCGACTTTAGTATCCTTTTGGCACTGCATTAAGACTCTCCTCTGTCACAGGCCATGTAATTAGTTTACTTGGGTATTGTTAGTTGCTCAAACAGGTTGTCTGATTGATTTATTATAGGATATTTTGACTTTTTATATGCATTTTATTTTTTTAATTGTATGATTATTTATTATTTCAATTTATAAATAACCCATGATTGGGCTTCCCGTGTGGCGTGCAACAATTAAAACACCATAATTCTAAAATCAGTGATACTGCAAACATTAACAAAACATCAATAATACAAAAACATACCCCAAGAAATTAAGATCACTACATAAAAGATTTAAATAAACAACCAAGAATAAATAATATAAACTAAAATAACATTATAAACCAGGGTCATATTAAAAACAAGATTGTCAATCTAATCAGCTGTTAAAATAGCTGAAGAAGAGATACATCTTTGTCTGGCGCCAACAACACCAAGCGCTTCTCTGGGAAGCCTGTTCCAGAGATGGGGTGCAACCACTGAGAAGGCCCTTCTTCTGCTGCTATCACCCTCACTTCCCTGGGGGGTGGCTCCTTAAGAAGGATCTCCTCACTTGATCTTAACAGACAGGTAGGGACATAGAGGAAAAGGTGAAACTGCAGGTTGCCAGGACTCAAGCCGTTTAGGGCATTATATGCAAGTATAAACACTTTAAATTGGGCCCAGACTTCCACTGGTAGCCAGTGTGGATGATATGAAACTGGTGTAATATGGGCTTGCAAATGGCTTCTTGTAAACAATCAGGCAGCCCCATTTTGAACCAGTTGGAATGTCTGGACTGTCTTCAAAGGCAGCCCCACAAAGAGCACACTGTGATATTCCAACTGGGATGTTATCAGAGTGTGTGTGATTGTGGCTGAGCTTTGTCTGCCAAGATATGGCTGCAGTTGATAAATTAACTGCAGCTGAAGGAAGGTGCTCCTGGCCACCAAGTCCACTTGGGAATCAAGTGAGAGTTTTGGGTTCAGGAGCCACCCCCAAGCTGCGGACTCTGTCCTTAGGGAGAACATGAGCCCATCCAGGACAGGGTATTGGCCATTCAACCCATCTGATTGACCGCCTACCAACAGTCTTTCCATCTTGTCTGGACTGAGCTTCAGTTTATTGGCCCTCATACAGTCCATTATTTACTTCAGGCACTGGTTCAGGATGGTCACTGCCTCATCTGGACTAAATGAAAACAAGAGGTAGAGCTGAGTATCATCAGCATATTGCTGAGACCTCTGTCCAACCTCCAGATGACCCTTCCCATTGGTTTCATGTAGATATTGAAGAGCATAGGGGATGGTATAACAACTATGGTTAGAAACAAGGCAACTTCAAACCATAGTTATTAGAGCTAGCTGTTTCTCTAGCCAAGTTAAGGTTAGACACAGTTTCTGGTTCAAATGTAGTGCTAAAGTTAAAGGTAAAGGTTTCCCCTTGACATTAAGTCCAGTCATGCCTGACTCTAGGGGGCGGTGCTCATCTCCATTTCCTAGCTGAGGGAGCCAGCGTTTGTCCGCAGACAGTCTCCGTGGTCATGTGGCCGGCATGACTAAACACCGAAGTGCATGGAACGCTGTTACCTGCCCACCGAAGTGGTACATTTTATCTACTTGCATTTGCATGCTTTCGAACTGCAAGGCTGGCAGGAGCTGGGACGGAGCAACGGGAACTCACCCTGTTGTGCACATTTGAACCGGCGATCTCTCAATCAACCAGCTCAGCAACACAGCAGTTTAAAACCACTGCACCACCTGCAGTCCCCATGTAGTGCTAAATAGTGATTAATCTAAAGTGGAAGCAAAGCCTTCGAAACTCCTCCTCATGACCACATCAGAGAAGGAGAAGTAAGAGTGAATGCTGAAGCCCGAGCCTTGCAGCCACTTATCTTCATTCACTTTCTTTCTGAGAGGAAATGATGCCACATGGGAATTCCTGCTGCGAGATTTTATTTGGACTTAAGTACTCGTATATGAAGGTTTGTGGTGCCAAGTTAATATATATAAGCAAGTTCTCTTTTTTCCAGAGTGTTTTCAAGAAAGTGAGCATCTAAAAGAGAGCCTAAAGTGTTGTCTGCTTCATCTCTTTGGCGCTATCGTGGCTGGTGGGCAGGTGAGGAGAATCCTGACAAAATGCTAGCGTCATCCTGTGGCCGACAGCATGCAGGGATTCACCCTTCCCTTAATCGTACGTTTTTGGCTTACGTGCAGTAGGGAATGCTTGCCAGCAGTGAAGGATTTGTTCCAGAAAGCCCTGTTATTTGCAGTGGGTAGTAGAATGGGTTGGCTTTTGTACAGGGAAGGAGGAAGAGGTTCTGGGTTCAAGGGCTGGGAAAGACTCTTCCCTGAAAACCTGGACAGCCATAGCCAGTCAGTCAAGCCATTGAGCTAGCTAGGCAGCATTCTCACTTGCTGTCTATAAACAGAAAAGCTTCTTTGTGGACATTTGTCATCTATTTAGAAGCCATAGAATTGTAGAAAAGCAGAGCTGGAAGGGTCCAGAAGGCCATCAGGTCTGACCCCCTGGTCAGTGCAGAACACCAAATTAAAACATCCCTCTCAGATGGCTGTTCAGTTGCATCCTTGAATGACCATCAACCTTTTTCTTTTAGTTCCCAGAAAGCAATACCACTGTTTCATGCTGTGATTTAATGAATGTTGATCCTGTGATGACTTTACAATAACAGAGACTCTCCTTGCCTTTTGTATCCTTCTTAAATGGTGAGAATGGAAAGGGAAGCTTTACTGCCCAATCTGAAAACTAAATGAAGTCAAACAGGAACTTCTGTGCAGAGGATATCCAGTGTGAACTGGCATGGCTTCAGTATTACAAGGAAGCACTGAATTTCCATTTGCTAGGGAAACGATCTTGGAATGAAACACAGCTTTCTCAGGACAGGCCCATTTCTAAACGTTTTAGGAAAGGACACAGATTGTGATAAGTCAAGTGTGCTCCATCCTAAGAGTTTGTTTGAATGCATATGAACATGTAACAGCAGGTTGTGAGGGGGTGGTTTAAATCAGGGGAAAGGTTAAATTCTCTTCCCCTTGACATTCTGACTGCTTGTAAGTCAGACAGAGACAGAGAGAGAAGCTGTGATCTCTTTGCAGATCTCCTGCAATCTGGCTGGGCCTCTCAGTGTTGAGTCCTGAGATCTGTTTGAGGTGACATGCTGGGGATTTGAACTTGCGACATTCTGTATGCAAAAAACATGCACTGAACTGTTGGGCCATTGACTTGCACAGAATTCTTAGGAGCCAGCTGCCATTTTCTAGCTCAGCTTCGCCAGCCTGTGCCTTCCACTTGTGTTGGGGCTAAAGAACCCAGAAGTTGCACTGGCTGGAGAAATCTTGGCGTCGTAGTCCCAACACATCTGCAGGAAACCAGGTTGGGAAAGCTGTTCTTCATGAAAGGACTTTGCTGGTGAAGCTTGCTTGTGCCAGCCAACTGACATGTGGTTCAAATCCTTTATCGCCGAAGTGCATGCTTGCCCTTAGTTTCAAACTATGCATAGCCAATGTGTGTGCCAAAGGAATCAGAGAATAATGTTTTGGTTTAAAAGACATTTTACCTTGCTTTTCTCATCAAGACTCTGTTAAACATTAAATTGGTTGTGCTAAAACATTTGCTCTGGTGCAGAAAGTGACTCTTTTCCATATGTGCTCATTGTCCTTATGCCTGGGCGTTGTGTAATTAAATACAGTCTGTAACAAATAGCTGGTTAGTTTCTGGATTTTTTAAAAGATTGTTTGGTTGAGCTAGGTACTTAAATGAATAAAATAAGTAGCCCCACTGGACTAAACATGTTCTCTGAGTCCAGGGAGCATAGTGTACCCAAGCTAAAGAAGTGTAAAGGTTCGCGTGTTTTATATGCCAAGAGATTTGGAAACATGAGCAAGAACAGACTGGAAATGCAGCAGTCCAGCTGCATTTATTACTTCAGGCTGGAATTGCATTTCAAATCTAGGAACAGAAGAAGATAGAGAGGGAGAGACCTGCTAATACCAGGTCAGGCTGTCTCACCATTTAGGGTGAAATCCAGTGAAACTGCCCATCACTCTCTGAACTCAGAGGGTCATGGACACCTTAGATAGATCAAGGGGAACTCAGAGGGGAAGATCACCTCTGCACTCTTCTTGCTCTTCAGAGCTGCTAAATGGCCGATTTTGGCTTTCTGACTGCAGGACCTTGGAGAGGGAGGGAAGGAGCCAGGGGTGCCACCATGGGGTGTCCTGCCTTGATGGCACCTGTCTTTCCACCTGCCCACCTGCAGGAATGTTTCAGAAAGAATCTTCTTTGAGGCTGTTCTTATGACCTCAGTGTTTCAGCCAACACAGTTTTTCACACACTGGCTGCAAGGGGAGAAGGGAGCGCAATCCTGGGCAAGTCAAAAGGAAATCCCCCTGCGTTAAATAGGGCTTACTTCCAGGGAAGTGGGTATAGGCATCCAGTCTGTGAGTGGCAAGGATGAATTCTTGCAGTGGACTAAATTGTGATTTAGCTAGGGCTCTATAAGCACCTCATACTTCTGGACATGCCTCCCATAACAAATTAGCTAGTCTTCAAGGTGCCGCCAAGAATCTTTGTTGTGTTTACATGTCAATATGACAGCTGAAGCTCTTCTGGCTCCTCAGATATTTTATTTATTTATTTCTCAATTTATATCCTGCCTTTTTCCTACAAAGGGCTCAAGGTAGCTTACATCTCCTCCTCCATCTTATCCCCACAACAACCCTGTGAGGTAGGTTGGGCTAAGAGTGTGTGACTGGCCCAAAGTCACCCAGTTGGCTCCATGGCCGAGCGGGGACTAGAACCCAGATCGTCTGAGTCCCAGTCCCATGCTCTTAACCACTACACCACACTTGTTCTCTAGCCAGATATTAGCAAGAAACAGAGATTTGTGGAGTCTGAACTCTAGAGGTGGCTCCAAATAGCTCTGTAAGTAGTTGGGCAATAGTTCTTTGTGCCATTTTACAAATGTTTGGAATTTCATACAGCACTGTAATAAGCCACTCCTAGTGAAATCTATGGGATCTTCCCTGATAAGTATTTATATTTTTAAATGCCTATTAAAAAAGTTGTTCAGGTGCCATATAAAATCAAGTAACAACAATATAACATTAACGATCTAACAATCTAAGAAAATGTTCAAAGATTGCAAAGTGGAATAAAATCCCTAACATTCAAATACAAACACAATCAGATACAGTACAAATTGCAGCAGCTCAGAAATGACCAGTAAATACCAGAACTGTGCCTTTCATTAATGCTGTAGGGCAGCTTTCCTTAGACTGGGCCAAACATCTGGTGGGGGATGCTGGGAGTTGAAGTCCAGTACATCTGGACAGCACTAAATAGAATAGAATAGGAGTCCAAGTGCCCCCCCACTCCACTTCCACATGTGGTCTCCTATTTGGTTGCAGGCCTGCACTTTTCCAGGTTAGCAAAGCTGCTAGCAACAGGCTAGTTCAACGTACAGCTAAGCAGGTGTTGGAGTGCAAAGGAGGGTTTATCTTCCATCTTGGGTTCAGTTTTTGCCTTCAGGCATAATGTTCTAGTGCTAAACAGTAAAACTGTTCTCCAGAAACTGTTCTCCTTCTTCCATAAGCCGAAAGAGTACCTTTGGACCTAACCCATTAGTTAACTCACTAATATTGTCCAGATGAAATGATTTTTTTTAAAACCACAAGTTTCTTTAAAAGGCATGATGACTGATACAGTATTCTGGGACTGAGAGGCTTTTACTGTTAACTTTAGAGGAATGCTCTCCAAGCAATTTCTCCGGCCACTATGGAGGTCTTGATGCGCGTTTTGGCGGATTGTGACATGTGGGATAACAGAGACCCGGACGAGATGAGCCGGAAGGCAGAGCTGACCCTGAAGTGCCTGACAGAAGTGGTGCACATCCTCCTGACCAGCAGCTCCGATCAGCGGCAAGTGGAAACCAGTGCCATACTGGAAAACTACTTCAAGCTGCTCAACTCTGATCATATGGCCTTGCCTAATTCAAGGAGATCTCGGCAGTGGGAGAGCAGGTTCATAGCACTACAGATTCAAATGCTGAGTAAGTAATAGGGTTTCTCTGGCGATGAGAAAGCAGACAGGTTCCAGAGCTTGGAGACAGTGGCCTGTGAGGAGTGCTGGTTCGACCACTGAGCACCCTTTCTTTCCTATAACAAGGAGGATAGCCTCCAAAGGGAAACTGCTTCAGAAAAACTGCAGAGAAAATGAAAATGCAACTAAACGCAAAGCCCAGGTAGCATTTGATATCCTAAAATGGCCATCTTGGATGCATTTGGTGCTTCTGGGCTGGTTCAGTGTGACACCACATGCTGGAAGTACAGAATCTGCCTTTCATTTTGTGCATAACATCTTAAACTACTGGCCATGTTTGCATGGAGCTGTGAAGCAGCTTCCGGATTATCATGGACAAGCTGTGGACTGGTGCATGCATGCAGTCCTTTTGTGTGCCCATATGGCTTTTTTTCCGGGCGTGCCCCTGCTAAACAAACCAGAAATAGTTTGCTTCAGCCTTCAACTCCCACCAGCCGTAGCCAACATATCTATTAGTGAGTGGTTATGGAACTTTTAGCATCTGGGGACCACAAGCTGCTCACCTCTGATTTAGCTTGTGAGGTGAACTCGGGCTCTTCGTTTGTCACACCCTTTACAGGACATAATTGCAAACCAAGATTTGTTCTTTGTCTGTGGCTCCTGGCTTGTTGGGAACAATAAGCAGGAATCCTGGAGTTGGACAATGCAGTAAACAGACAATTTCTGGTTGGTTTGGCCAGTTGTGCCAATGAAAGGAAGCAAGCAGATGCATCAGCATGGAGCTCTTTCATAGTAAGCCAGCATATATGTGCCAAATGATGGTCAAATGGAGCAAGATGCCCCAGAGTGGCAGGTGTTGTGCGTAAGCATGGGCAGGAGCTATTGGCTTCATGATGGGCTAACCAGCTTGTAGACCAAAACATCTGGAGAGCCACAGGTAGCCCATGCTTGCCTTATGAACTGCTCATAGGCTTCCTCTAGGCCCCTGGGTGACCATTGAGAAAACCAGAAGCTGGACTATGACAAAATAGTGGCATTTTGGTTTGATCCAAGAGGGCCCCTCCTATGTTGACGTGCCATATATTTTTTAAAAAACAAAACAGGCATTTTTTTTTGTGTCATGTATAGTTTTGCAGTCAACAATAGGAGAAATTCTCTCTGTTTACATAGCCAAAGTATTTAGGGCTGGCAGCTAAGGTTTGTATTGAATTTTTCTGGTTTTCTGTGCACCAAAGGCTAATCCAGTAGCATTATTTCTAAGTGTTAATTAAGCTAGGGGGTTAATTTCTTTGTGATGTTTCTTTTTCTTTTGCCTCCTCAGATACTATCACTGCCATGTTAGACCACACAGATCGGCCTGTTCTGCAAGCCATTTTCCTTAACAGTAACTGTTTTGAGCATCTTATTCGACTGTTGCAGAACTGCAAGGTAACAAAAACACTGTATTAAAATGACTCATCTATCTATTCATCTTCCAGCATTCATGAGCACTCCATTGTTCTGCTGTCTCAGGCATATATTAGATAAAACCTTTGTCATAATAATCATGTACAAAATGGCTCTGTGCGAGAACTATTATATCTCTGAGGAACATAATTGTATTGCCTTAATGTTGTTTATGCTCTAAGTGCTTCCAGAGCTTTTGAGTAGAGCTGGGTTTTGTATTGTTACGCAGGTGTGCGTCTTGTTCTCCAGATGCACTTAAGGTACTGGTGAATAATGAATGAATAATGCCCCCCTCCCACAAAGGATCCAATCCTCATATTTCCTTTCTAGTTCCCTGTAACTCATTATTAATCCAGACAGGCATGACTTGTGTGGCAATCCCTTTTTGTACTGATGTAGCAGAGTACTTCAGAAATAAGCTCTCTCTCTTTCTATGTGGTGTAATACTTGCTCTCTGCCAACTATGATTTACAAGTTGGAAGTGTTTGCTCCAGTTTTCCCAGAGCAATTTCCACCTCTTACTTCTGTTATCCTTAGCTATGGTTTATATGGCACGCCTGTACAGATTCACCTGGAAGTAAATTGCATGGGATTCAGGGGCTTCCATGGAATTGTGCAGTAGAACGGCATATGCAGTGTCATAAAAGCTGATCAGTTCTCACCATGGGTCCCTTGTAAGCTAGGATTCAAAATGGTGTTTTGAGCTGTTTGCATGGTTTTCTTAAGGGGAACCTGGCTGGGATTACCTGTTTGAGTGTTAGTGTACGAATCATTCTGAAACAGCCTTCCTCAACCTGATGCCCTGCAGATGTTTTGGACTGCAGCATCCCTGCCACTGATTATATTGGCTGGGGCTGATGAGATTGGAAGTCAAAAGCTTCTCAGGAGCTGCCAGTTGCAAGGGGCTGCTCTAAATCATGCCTGACAGTGACAGAGGGAAGGAAGAGGGATTCACTCTGGGAAGGGGCAGAATGAGGCTGGGAGAGAGTACTTCCTTCCTTCATACTGGGCTAGTGGAACCAGTATTCTGACTCCCTGGATAAGTGTAAAGCTGTTCTGCCTCCATTCCTGGTCCAGAGAGCCCTATGTGTGTATCCTAGTTTCTGCTAAAAGAGAGAAATCCTGTTGCAACCCCCACACTGAACTGCGTCATGTTCTGGAGCTTCCGCCAAATCCAGTGCATGTGCATTTTGGATGTCCTTGTTTAGTTGAATCTTGTCCACTCTGTGCGTTGGGTATTTTGGTGCAAGTGGAATATGATATATAAGTCAGATTTTAAAGATTATTTATTGGAAAGGTACCATTATATGTGTTGATATTAATGAGACAAGTTGAGGCTGCTACTTAGACATTCCATAAATGTGAAACTTCTGGTCTCTGACACTGCAATCTAATACACACATTTCTAGGCTAAGTCCCATTGAATTCAGTGGAGCTTACTTTTGAGTAGTTTTCTAGAATTGCATTGTATTTTTGTCTGTGCATTAGAAGGAAGAATAATATTGAATTTCCATTTGTTTCATCCTGATTTCTTCTTTCAGCATTGTCTTCATGATGACATTGTCTTGCAATATTGGCAAAGTTTTTGCAACTAATACCGCTAACTAAACATTAACAGTACTCTGTGTGTGTTTTGCGTGTATGTATTAACCATGCTAGTTTTCTTTTCTTTTCTTTTGGTTCTACTTTCAGACACAATACTGCACATTTAAGTAACTCTTGATAATTTTGGTCTATCAAATCTTTCTCTTGGGAGTTTATCCCTATGTATAGAGGGACTACTCACTGCTTCAACTTACACTGGCCCAAGCCACAGTCAGGGAGCACATGATGCGGCAACCTTGGTGAACCTAAGCAGGTCCGGAACCAGTCAGTGTCTGGAAGGGAGACTTGTCCCTAGGAGTTCCATTATGGAAGAAAGGGAGGTTACAATATTGACCTCCACTGTGAACTATATGGTAGCAGGTTTTAATGTATAGCAGCCTCTTGCAACCTTCAGGGCTTCAGATGTGTTAGACTGCAACTCCAAGAATTCTCAGCCAACATGGCCAGTGGTCATGCTGCCTAGAATGCTGGGAATTGCAGTCTAATACATCTGGACACCATATTGGAGAAGGCTGAAGCATCTAATTCATTGCATCTGTCCAAGCAGGGCTGGTAAAAATATAATCTCTGTCATGGTTAAGAGATTAGAAACATGCATTCTATTATCATAATCCATGCTTTTAAAGAAATTCCCCCTCCATGGCCCTAATGATTGATGCAACCAGGTTTCTTATCTCAACTAAGATGGAAGATTAAGCTTTGAAGTGGGCTTGCAAGTTCTGGTTCGCATGAAACCTGCCTAGTATTAACTTGAAAAAATCATCCCAGATGGTTAAGGTCATCGGGGGGAAGCAGGAACCCTTGTGTTAGAATGGGGAGGTGTTGAGGAAAGACAGTGTAATCATCTGCGTAAGAAGACAGTATGCGGTTATTGAAAATATTCAAGAGATCTGGCATCTCTTTGTTGGACAGGGATGCTTTAACCTGAATACCTGCACTGAGCAGGGGTTTGGACTTAGTGGCCTAAATGTCTCTTTCCACCTCAGTGCATTATTTCAGGCTTCATACCCGGTTCTTGACTTGTTGAATCCAGGAATCTGTAGGAACAAGGAAGTGCACTGCCTTCTGCCCACTTGCCACTTCTGCTTTTAATTCACAACCCAAGAATGCCCATTCCTTGATATCTATGTCTGGAAATCCTGAGTTATTCAGGGGTTATGCATCACAGCGTTAACCCAACAAAAACGGACTCATTCAGATTTGCTGAATCTGTAAATGATCCAAAGTTTCCGGATTCACATGTCCTAAGATGCAAGATGTCGGCAGAAACAGAACAAAACTCTTTCTCCTAAAGGTAAGGGATGGAATGAGGAATGTCAGGTCCCGGCCTTCTTCTGTGTCTTCATGGACACCCATCTCTGCTTTTCTCGAATCTACATCTGGAAAGGGAAAAACCAATCCTAGTTCTCCTGTTCTAGGAAACAGCGCCTCTCTTTCTTGCAGTGGTTGTGTTCACTTGCCAGTGGTGAGATTTTTTTGGTTGGCTTTGCAACACTTTACCCCAGCGCTTCTTGTATCAGCTGTGGGTTAACTATTTAACAAGCGTGTTACCATTATTCTTATCTCCCATTTTTGACAGCTGTTTTTAAATGCTAACAATAAGGTGGCAGACAAGACCGAGAAAGACCTTGCCAACAAATTCCTGACAGAAATGAATCAGGAGCAGGTATCTCCAGCAAGTCTACGTTGCACAGGGGCGATCGGCAGAATGAGCCATTTCCTGCACTTCACCTCCAGTGTCTTCCGTAAATAATGAGATGATTTTCAATTTGTTCACAGCCCAGTATTCATCCAGAATATCTAATATTGATTGAAACCCACAATTTAGGTTTAAAGATGCTTTGAGATTTGAACATTTCTACAGTTATTGATTGTACTTTAAACTGAGGGAGGTGAAGTCCAGGAATTAGAACTCCAATTTCAAAACTATAAACTTGGTGATTTTGTTTTATTTTAGTTCCACCCCTTTTCTCTCTTTCTCCTCCTCTTATTTGTCTAAGCACGGTGGTGTCTTGGGCTCTGGAGCTTTGTGGAATCTGTGTGGTTGGATTTGATGTCTTGATTCTGTTGCCCCCGAAAATAATATTCACGTGACAATGGACAGACTGAATCTGGGAGGTGGGAAGCAATTGGTGGGTTGATTTTTTCAATGTTTTCCTTTGGCATCATGAGAAAATGCAAAATGCCTTTCCTTTCTGTCCTGCTTCTTAAGAAATGGTATAGAACTTTTAGCAGCAATCAGGTTCTCGTGCCAAATGATTAAACAGGTGAAACAATGCACTTGCCAAAACCCATGTATGTCTGTATTAACACATCAATAACACAGCACAGTGATGATCACTGCAGAAGAATTAAGCGTTGACAAGTGAGCCCGCTAAATTCAGTGGAACAAAATGTGTCGGTTTTGTTTTTAAGAGCAGAAAGGGCCTCCAGGAAAATGAAGGAACTGAAAGAGCTGTGGCTTTTTTTTTTTTGAGATGAAAACCTTGTGGTATTAATTGTGAGGGAAGAGCCATGAAATTAATACAAAGCAGGACACAATACAGACACAATTGATAATCTCTGGCTACTTTTCTGAAGAAGATTTCACATGCTGGAGCATGCGCTAAGAATGAAACTCTTGGATACCCAAATGCCCCCTAAAGGGTTAACTACCTGAAAGCTAGGCAGCCACGTGTTCAGTCATCATTTTTGTCCCTCCCTCTTGAGATTGTCCATTTTAAGCATGAGGAAACTGTCAGTCAGAATGTCTTAATGAATATGTGTGATCGTTTCTCTCTTCCTCCTTCTTGACATATGTGGCTACCCTTCTCTTATGTCCTTTTTCTCTAGTAGGTTGTGGTGTCCTAAAATCCATGCCTTTTGTGGGGAGATGATTGGGAAGCATGCAAACGGACTCTGGTTTTCATCCTGGCCAAAAAGAGCAATGTGCTGTGTAACATGCTCCATCTTTTGCTGCTTTCAGGTGTTTCAAGGCCAGCTGGACTGCTTGGCGGCGGCAGCCATTCAAGCTCTCACTGCTGTGATGCACAAATCTCCAGCTGCTAAGGTAAGGATGGGCTAGAGGATAAGCTAGACATGCACATGTAGGCATGCCGTGAGCGGAGCCGGCTGGAGCCGGGGGTCAGACTAGATGGCCCGGGAGACCCCTTCTGACTCGCTCTGTTTCTGTGTTTCTATGTAAGAATCACTTCCATGGAGCAGTTATCATTCCAGACTTCTGGCATCTATTTCAGTGTCATCATATTGGCAATTCTTTTTGTAGTTGTGCTCATTAGGACAGGGAGGCTGCCTGACTCAGGCCCAGTCTGTGTACTTGAGCAGAAGGATGCAGTAACATGCTGAGAGTCTAGAATGGTCTGCACCACAGTAGTGGGGAATTCACATTTTGAATTGTCCCCTGAATGTTAAAAAAGACAAAACAAGACTCTTCCTTGGAAGTGGAAAACAAGCAGAACAAGCAAAGGACTAGGTTGGAAGTTTTCTCTGGTACTCTTTTTGCCCCGAAAGACAGCTAAGGCATAGATCAGCCTTCCCCAACCTTGTGCCTCCCGGACACATTTGGACTGAAGCTCCCAGAATTCCCAGTCAGTGGCCCTGCTGGATGGGAATTCTGGGAGTTGCAGTCCAAATTCCTCTGAAAACCAGCAGGTTGGGGATGGCTGGAGTAGATGATGATGATACTAATAGCAACACTCATTTAGTGTTTTCTGCATTGCTAGTTTTTGGGATTGAATTTTGAGGTTTTGCAAATCTTAGAAGCATTTCTTTGACTTTCATGGTGTGTCTTACTAACTAGAATTGTGGATAGTCTTGCTGTTAGATATAACAAGTACATGAAGGCATCAAAGCAAGGTATCTGTTTTTTACGATGTAAGTACTGTCAAATGACAAGCTTAAATTTCATTTTATAAATTGTATTGCTTGGGATGATAAACCTCAGCTTAAAAATAAATCCATATGCCTTACAACTGTATGCTGCTTATATACAATGTTAATTTTGCCCCTCAGGAAGTGTTTAAGGAGAGGATTGGTTATGCCCATCTATTTGAGGTCCTAAAATCTATGGGTCAGCCTTCACGGGAACTACTTGAAGAACTTATGAATATGGTAAGACACTTGCTTGTTTTGCCTGTTGCTTTCAGTGGGGTGGTAAGGTAATTTTGTTGGCCTTGTAGAGGTTTTATGCAGTAAGGTCCATGTCACCAGATGTTTGGAGTAGAATCCCCAGCTTGCGTATGCACAAGAGCACACAGACGTGTAATCATACCTACAGAGGAAAGAAGTGTGAGAGTCTGAGGCATTTCTCTGCAAAGTCAAAATGTGCACAGGATAAGAAAGCTTGGTGGAGCAGGACGGGGACCTGGAAAACCCGGGTTCTGTGTAGTCCCTACTCAGCCATGGAGTTGAGCAACCCTGAACACTTGGTCAGTCACTGACTCTCAGCCTAACCTGCTCAGAGCACTGCGGTGCAGAGGAACTGCAAGGGGAGCATGGATGCTGCCTTGTGCTCCTGCAAAACGTATGATAATGATATTAATAAATAATAATAATAATACATAGCGTTTCTTGCCTTGCCTTGAGTCTACATAGAAATGTCCTAAATCAGCTCCCTTTTGATCTCATTCTTTATAATGTTTTCTGTGTGTACCAGTATGTATAAGTATGTGTGTGCTGCCGTGTGTGTGTGTATAGCAGGGGTGTTGAACATCAGGCTCATGGGCCAAATCTGGCCTGCCTCAAATCCCAGACTGGCCCTCTAATACGCCCCTGGTGGCCGTGCACCTTTCCCTTTTCCCTGGGCGCTAAGCTTTGGGTGGTTCCCTGGCTGTTGCATTTTTTTCTCTATCTCAAAAGGCTGAAACGTTTTTTCTGAGGGCTTATTTATTGGCAGCCAGAGCTCTAAGCTGAACTGTACTAGTGGTGTGGATATATGGCCCATGCCTGCTTTTTTGCCTTGCCTGTTAGCAGAGCTTCTCCAAAGAAGCCTTGAGCTGAAGGAGGTTTAATACCCCTTAGAGTGTGCTCACACTCACAGTCTGCCCAGTATAAGACCTACTCAGTGGAAGAATATTCCACCATTTCCAGAGCCATCTTGTAGCAAAAATCTTGTGGCATTCAAGAAGTCTGATCCGTTGCAGCATGAGTGTTTGTATGCTAGAGCCCAGTAGTGGTGCAGGAGCCCTCTCAAAGCTCAGCAACAAAGCTTGTGCCACCACAGACCTGTCCTTCAGGTGCCACCAGGTTGCTTGTTGTTTTGGCCTACTAAACAGGTTTCTGCCCTTGCTGCTCACAAGTAACCCTGCTCCACTTGCTTTCCACAAGGCTGTTGAAGGTGACCACGCCTCAGTTGGGATGTTGGGCATCAGTAACGTTCAGCCCTTGCTGCTGCTGATCCAGTGGCTTCCAGAGCTGGAGTCGCGTGATCTTCAGGTCTTCATCTCCAACCTGCTAAAGCGAATCTGTTGCCTGAACCGGCAGAGCCGGGCCACCTGCGTCAATACAAACATGGTCATCCATATCATCAAGACACTCAGTCAGCACGCCCTGCTGCATGGAGCTTGTGCAGAGAACCTGATCGCTCTCTTGGGTGCTTTGGGCAGTCATTCCATGAGCTCTGAAGAGCTGCACCAGCTGATCAGACTGCTGAGGACTAAGGACCCGAAGCAGATCCATCCTTACACCGTCCCCGTTATGCGCGCAATCCTGACGATGGCTCGCAAGCAAGGCCTGGACAGTGCCTTGCAGTATTTTGACTTGTCGCATAGCATGGCTGGCATCGCAGTCCCACCGATTCACAAGTGGCCGGGCTCTGCATTTGCCTTCAGTGCTTGGCTGTGCTTGGACCAAGAGCAAATGATCCCTGGACCCAATGGCAAGGGAGGCAAGAGGAAGCAGCTCTACAGGTAGGCCTGCTGTCTACAGCACTGGAACACAGGAAAAGCTCCTTCTTCGTTGTGGTCTCCGTGCAGCACACATGGGTGCTGTGCCTGTGCAGTGCCTGTTTTCGGGAAGATTCTCTCAGCTCAAATAGTTTTTGCTGGGAACTCCGCTCCCTCATCCCCTAGTATAAATGGGTGGAGTCCCCACCCTCTCGGCTCCCCATCTAATCTATATTTTACTATTTAAGAGGCTCATACTATTATTACTTTTAACTGAGAAGCTGGCAAAGTGCTGTCCCCCAGTGCCATCTTCAGAAAGGAGCTTTGGAGCTTGACTGCTGCCTCAGCCTTGCACTTAGGTTCTTGGGCTAGGAACTTTTTGTTTGCCCGTGGGAAGCGAGTGTTCCGTGGCAGGCCATGCCCACCATTTTAGGAATGGGCAAGCCTCACCCCTGTGGCAGCCATTTTATGAGGGTGCCTGCAATGTTCCCTTGTGCCCATCCCGCCAAACTGTTTGGGGACTGTGTAGGCGGTTGTGGCTTACTTCCACATTGCTTTCATTCTCATGGCCACATATCCTCTGGCCTCTTATCCAAAGCAGGATGCTAGCTTAAATTGGCCCTTGGCATTTCATTGTTCTCGGTCAATGAAGGTTGGCATGTGAGAGAAGACAAGAGGGAGCGTGTGAGTTCGGGAGAGGCCTGGAGAGAGGCAGGCTCCCTGACCCCTGTGGATACTGCACAACATCAGCCTGGGAGGCAGTGGGGGAGTTAGTGTAGGTGCCAAGATGGAAAGGGAAGAAAGTGTGTTTGGGTAAGGTAGGCAGGGCCCATAATATAAATAAGCATTCTCTGTTGTCACAATCATCATGGCTGTTAGAAAATCCCACAGGTAGCTCAAATAGTCATTTTGTCGTCATGCTTGGAACGACTTAGTGACCCATATACAAGCTGTATCAAATTGCACAAGTGCTTCTTATGGAGTCCTGCTGGGAATCTGATCGTGACCTGCTGGGGAAGAGTGCCACCTATTGAAATGCCCACCAAAGTCCTGTATGTTAAGAGGCTGCTTCCGAAACCCCTGCTTATACGCCATTGTAGTTGCTGCAGGTCATTGGAATTGCAGCTCCAGTGAAACAGCAAATTTTAGGAGGAAATCTGCATTTTGCCCACAGGGGAGGCAGGAGAACCCCTGGCCAAATCACCTGTGTGTTGCATGGTGAAGGAGCCAGGATCCTGCAACCTCCATTAAGCTCAATATCAGGAAGCCTATTTGGAGAAGCTTTCCTCCTAAAGTCACTTACTTTGTGGCACTGCTGAAAAACTGCGAGAGGTGCCGAGGTGCTGAACCGTGTCTTAAAATATTATAGCCCCAGACATCCTCCATCTCTGTTGTGGGTGCAGAACCTCCTGCCTGTGGGCCGAATGGAGCCCACGGAGATGTCCCATCCGGGCTGCAGCATCCTGTAAGGCTCCAGCTCCGCGTTGTACTTTTCCCCCTTAAAAGCAACTGAACAGAAAGGGAAAATAGGTGACAGAGAGCTGGGTGCAGGATTGCAGAGAAGGTGATGTTTGGATCTTTGTAGTGCATTTTCCCTCACTGCTCACCTTTCTAGTGATCAGCCTTAGCAAACTTAGATCTCCCTTTCCCTGTGATCTCCCCATCCTGCCACTCCGTTGATGGATTGGTGTGTCTTGGCAGGGATGCCCACTGCCTTTGTCCCTGGCACTGCTGTCCATTGAGAACTTGCCCATGGGTCAATATGGCTTTGGGGCTCCAACCCCCCCCCCCATCTAAATGAATGAGTCTACATCCAAATGAGTACTGGGACATCCATCTTGAATGTGTGCCTCAAGGGCTTTATTTTTTAAAATTTTACTTGCATTCACCTTGTGTACTTCTGTGCTGCTGACCGGTGTTCCTTAAACTTCTTGCTAATTTCTCTTTGTAGCTTTTTTACAGGTAGCGGGATGGGCTTTGAGGCATTCATTACCTGCTCAGGAATGCTAGTGGTTGCTGTATGTACAAAGAAAGAGTATGCCACAGTGATGCTTTCAGACCACTGCTTCAGCGATTCGCTCTGGGTAAGAGGGGGTGTTTCAGCTGGCATATATAAGCCCTTTAAAAGGTGAGCTGGGTCTCCATTGGGAGCTGCAGGGGTTTGTTCTACCAGGCAAGGCATTGACTTGGCTTGTACAGTCATGTCTTGGCTGAGTGAACCGGACTTTTGCTGTGTGCTCCATTTTGGTATCCCCTCCCCTCCCCTTTGTTTGGCTTCTGGGATGCTGCAATAAACCAAGGAGTCTGTAGTTAACTCTAGTGCCCTATTATGCCCAAACTAAGCAAGTATGGTTAGCAGGTTTAGAAGAAGCCAGGATCTTAGACCAATTTGAAATTGGTTTAAAACAGTGGCTTGTTCCAAAGTAACAGTTTTATAGGGAGGTGGTTTCCTTTAAAGTTATACAGAGATCATTTTGGATTATTTCAAATGATCATTTTGATCATTTTACATATCCACATTTGAATATGTACCATATGCATTTTTTTATATCTGGTGCAATTTTGGCACTTCAGTACTGAATGTAGATGCTTGTGCAGTGGAACAGGTCTCTAATATATTGTTTATGTTTTGTTTAAATATTTAAGGAATATGCTTTTTGATATCCTGGCTTCTTGTAGACCTGGAATAGAACTTTTATCTTCACCTTGCCTTCCCTACCTCCCATTAATCCAGCTTATGTTAGACAGAATTCATGATATGTGGCCACCATATACCCGGGCTAAAATCAACCTGGAGGGGCTCCTAAACTTTCTTGCAAGACTAGGGTTTAATCAGAGTTCTCTAAGCCTGTTTTGGAGTAACTCTGCATTTATTTTCTATTATTGCCCTGTATTGCACTTCAATGCATTCTTCTATTGTTTCAAGCAAGTTTCATTTAGGATTATAAGCTGCCTTGAGTGTCAGCCACCAGTGTGGGAGGAATCTGGGTTAGGCATCTGTTTGATTTCCTCAGGTTGTCTCCTGGGACTCTTTCTCTGGGCCTTAAGCCCTCTTGCATCGAGCATTTCCCAGGGTGTCCAGCAAGAGGAAAGCCTGCAAGGCTGCTCACATATGTGCTGCCTGCGTGCCTGCTAGGTGTACAGAGTTGACCCGCTGCACATGTGACTTCTGTACTTTGCATTCTTGCACAAAGAATCACGCCACTAGTGCTCCCATGTGTTTGCTCAGCTTGCCTCTTGGCCAGGGCCAAGCATGGGAAAGGAGTCTGGAGAGCAGGACTCAGGCCTAATCATCCCCCCCTGAGTGCCAGCTTTCTTTGGAGAATGATAGAGCTACACATCAAAACAAATACATACACTTTACCAACAGTTAGGCATTGTCAATTAGGCATGAATCATTAGGTACTGTGTCCTGGATAATGCAAGGGTGGAGACAGGCCCCATTGTGGGACATGCTCCTAGTCATGTGCCTGAGGAAATCGGAGCATGTGTGAGCAACCTGAAGGTGATGCATGCTCCTCGGGGGGCTTTCTCATGGCTCGGTGAGTGCAGACCTGGCCCTTCCATGAGGCAGCCTCATGCAGCCGCATCAGGCAGCAGAGCCAGAGAAGCAGCGAGTTGGCCCCCTGCTCCGCACCCTCACCCCCAGTGGGTGCTCTGGAGAGCCCTGCCACAGGCGCTTCCTCCCCACGGCATTTGCCCCAGCGAGGACGGCTGGTGGCCCTCCCAGTGTGCATCCCCACCTGCCAGGGGTCTCACAAGGCTTGGGGCGAATGGGGTGCCCATTGGGCCACTCCACAGTTGGGATGGAGGCAGGTGGTGGAACAGCCATATCAGCTTCTTGCCTCAAGCAGCAAAATAAGTCAGGCTGGGACTGGCAAATGCCTTGTACACTCCACAACCCCCCACCCCAGATTGCAACCTCTGTTGATTTTCCCACAGAAAAAAGACTAATTGCTTTGTTGTCAGGGCTGCTGTTGCTGCTGCAGTCTGCCCTTAGGCCTGTTTTTATTGCCTCCCCCTCAAGTTCCTGCGCCATTTTCACTGCTGCTGCTCCGAAAAGCCTCCCTCACATGCTGGCTTGCCCTTAGTGACATGTGAAGAAATGTGCTGCCATGCTACTTGTTTTCCCCTTGGGAAGAGCACGTGGTGGGGTTGGTGCTCCTGGGTGCAGAATGCCAGTGAGCCACTCTGGACTGTTCGGAGGAAGTAATGACAACGCCTGCTTCAACCATGCTCTCCAATTTCTTGACAGCACAATATAAGCATTGTTCATATGCCTGGGAAAAGGCCCTTTGGCCAAAGCCTTGTCTATATTTATGTAAACGGGCAGCAGAAGATCTCGGCGCCACTCAGATTTCCTGCCATGAATGAAGTAAGTCTGTGCTCCTGTCATGTTTTTCCTGTGGCTTTTTCTTATAGAGTAAGGATCCTGAGCCAGAATTATTAAGCACCAACAGAAAGGTGTGCTACAAATGAGTTCATCATGGTAACCTCAAAGCCGAACCAGTGCAGTGCACTTTGTGAAGCATGAAGAGTGGTCTGAATGTTCCGCTGGTTACAAATGCGGAAGCTAGAAAATAAGTAGGGATCAGTTGCTGTGAGTGTTTTGTACCTGTGCTCAGAGATTTATATAGGGCCCTGGCTTCAGGTGGTGGTTTGACCTTTAAATTCCTGTACAGACTCAGCTGAGGTTGCCTCTTTCCTATATAGTTATCCTGGTATATGAAAATTGTTAGAAGAATCCCTGTTTGTGGTTGCTTTACCATCTGAAGCATGGCATATAACAACAGTGTATGGCCTTACTGGTTGTGGCACCTTGCTTAAGGCAGATTTCCTAGCTGATTTCCTGAGATCCTCTTGGCAGCTGGAAGAAACGTACATTTTCCTTAGGGAATTTATTTCAAAAGGAAAAAGAAAATCATGGGATCTGTATTGGCACTGATGCTGGTGCTAGTATATTGATTATATGAACTGACTCCTGAAACTGAGTATGCATAAAAAACATGAGCACTGTAATAATTTCAAGCATGCAGCTGTGCAAGGCTAAGAAAAAACATCTCAGTCTTCTGAGATGTAACATTTCTAATCTCTGAAACATAGTTAGAACAAAAGCATGCTGTAGACTCTTCCGTTCCCTCTGATTTCTTCTTTGTCCCATCCAAATTTCTCACTTCTTGCCATGGTTTACCTTAACCTTTGTGGAGGATTGTCTGCATTGGTTAATTAGATTGCTTTAGACAGTTTTTTATTTTTTAAACCAAACATGCTGAGCACCAAAGTGCATGTAATGCTCTGCAATGGTTACAGCAAACTACAGAATGAAGAGGTAATATGCTGGGAAGAGGTTCGGAGAAAGAAGTGTACATGTTTATAGAGCTCTTCTGATCTTACAAGCAAGGTTAGATCAGCAAAGTCACATTTGCACCAGGTCATATTTCTCACTGTGTACCACATAAAGTGTGCTTGTAAAATATGAAGAATAAACTAATGGCTTTCAGTGGAGCTGTGAAGAGGATGAATAAGAGAAAGGCTGTAAACAACTCTGTGTACTATCAATAAAATGTTGGATGATGAGCAAGCATAGCATTTTTAGACACACCGGTTCCTAAATGTGTCATTGAGAGCCAGTGCAATGTGGTGGCGAGACTGGGGACACAGGAGATTTGGGTTGCAGTCCTCACTTGGCCAGCAAGCTCAGTGGTGACTTTGGGTCAGTCGCTCACTCTCAGTCCAGCCCATCTCACAAGGTGGTGGGAATGAGGTAGACTACATAAGCCCCTTTGGTTCCTCACAAGAGGGAAAAGGGCAGGAGATAAATGTAATAATGCTAACGTGCGTGGTTTGGACTGACATTTCCTGGCCTGAAGGGAGGGGAAAGATGATTTCATGTGCTGGGGTTGATCAGATTGGCCGTTGAATCTTGCTTCAGTGCTGGGAAGGAGGCAGCGTCCTCCAAGGTGCCTGAGGGCCACGGGCCCCCTTAGGGACTGCTGGGCAGGTTGTGTGCCATGAACAGCTCTGTAAACTCTTCAGCGTCCGCCCCCCCAAAGTGCCAATCCCACTCTGGCTAATGGTAGGACTAGCCCTGTGTGAGCAAGCCTAAACCACAACACAAACCTTTTTCTAAGGTTGGATGATAGCTTAGGGCTGAGGGCTTGAGCTTTCTGACCTATTCATCTATTCGCTTTCAAAACAGAAATATCATACACAAATATCTCTGTCACACACGAATAATTCTGCATCTTCTGCATTATTTTTAATGCTTTGGATTCATTGCTGAGCAGTAAGATTAGTTTTGGCACAGGCAACCCGCCCCAGTGTTGAGGAATATTTCTTCATGCTGTTTTTTCTCCTCCAACAATCACTATTTGTGTGCTTGACCTTTGCATAAAAGATAAATAAATTAACAAATAAATAAAAATGAAGCTTCTTTTCTTGTGAACAAGGTGACCAAAACTTTATATTTATACTGTGACGCATGGAAGAGGAATGTAACTTGTAACCAAAGCAGCTGTTTTTGAAAGCTGCCAGCAGAAATCAGATTTGAGCAACTGAGCTGGTCTTGACTTGAAGTCAAATATGTTCTAGTAGCCTTTTGGAAAGCACTAGAAAAATGCATCTATGACAGGGCAAGGAGCAGGCTGCTCAGGTTTTTTGTATTTGTTTTCCTTTCCTTGCACGTACCTTTAAACCAACCCCTGAGATTGCTGTAAAGGATAACAAGTGGTGCTTTTGCAGCGGATGGCACTGCTTATGAGAAGCAAAGGGAGAAGTTATTATATATAGCATGAAAGTAAAGGGGGGAAGTAATTCTTTTAAAAATGTCACATTTATGAGGCTTTTTATTAGCACTCCTTCAGAGGCATTATGAAAACAAGGATGGAAAAATGGCTGAACCATCTCTGAATTTCCATTCCCTTTGTAATTTAGTTTGTTTGGTTTGTGAAACCTTTTCAAACAAATTTTGAAAAAAGTGTATACATATATATGTCATTTAAAAGTGTTTATATCATCTGTGTTGAATCTCAGTCTAAATATAGATTCTGCATATGAAAACCACAAAGAAAAGTACTTAACTCAGTACTGAAAATATTGGTGACATTTATTGTTGAGCAAAATGAATTCACACCTCCTTATCAGAACAGAAGCATAATGGAACATGTATTATTTAGGGCACAATCGCATATGTGTTTAGACATGCTGACAGGCATGTTGAGAGTTATAAGAACTTTTTCTGTCCAAATATGCATAGGTTATTGTTATTAACTATATAATTTATTCTATAACTTTATTTAAAACTATTTATTCACTATATTTTAGCCTGTCTGTCCATTAAAAAATCAGGCAACCTACAAACATTAACAAAATTAAAATGAAACTAAAGAAGCAAGAGAGAGGACTTTTTAAAAAATTAAGATTTGCATGTCCAGGGGATAAAAAATAACTCCACAGCTTAAAAGCTTGTGAGAATAAAGGCAGTGCTTTTGTATATTTATTGTACTTACATAGTCACTTCATAATACAAGCTCTTTGGGGGCTTACAAACAACTACACATAGAAGCATGATGCTGTCTTTTGTGTATTTTGCACATTCAGTAGCAAAAACTAGCTTGGCATTATCTGAGCAGAGCTTTGTGCCATATTAATACTATTTTTACTGTGCAATAAAAAACCCAAACTGTGCCATTAGAGAAGAAAAGAACAGAACAGAACAAACTAATGCTTTGGTGACCTTTATTTGTGACTGCAGTTTCCAGGACTAATCCCTAAAGTTGTTCTTAATGGAAGGGCTGAATCATGGGATATGTGAAGTAGCAGAAAAACTAGGTCTCTGGGCTCATGCAAAATACCTTTCACGCATCACTTTCTTTCAACATTTCACCCTGTGTAACATGTTTCGCTTTGAATGCCGATGCATCCAGCTGTATTGAATTTGCTGATCTGTTCTTCTCATCCGGGTGGATTCTCCAGCCGTTTACTTCTTGCTGTATTGGTTCTGCTGGTCAAAGGACAACTACTCCTCCACCATCCCAAATCCCAGATCCGCCTTTCTCGTCCCCCATTATGCCTCATCGGACACCGCTTGGCGGGATTCTCGCTCCAGGCAGCTGGGGTGGGCTGCTGGGCAAACCGGAACTAATCACCAAGCTGATCTCAGCAGGAACTCAGGACAGTGAGTGGGGATGCCCAACGTCTCTGGAAGGCCAGCTTGGATCCGTGATCATATTCCATGAAGTTTTGCAACCCTCTCACGTGAAAGCTTTATATTTGGCAGGTGAGGCCCTTCCAAAGGGCAGCTTGCTTTCCTGATGCCCTTCATTTTCATTCTGTCAAGATATCCCTTCTTTTTCCAGTTGCCACAGTCTCTTTAGCTCTCTGAGCAAGCGCAGTTTCCATTCATGTCAACTTTTCATGTTCCTAGTCCTTAAAAGATTGGTTTGTCTCCATATTCTCTCTCCTTCCTTTTCTCTCCCCTTCTCAATATCCACACTTCTGCTTCTTGGTGCTATCATTGCTTCTATGGTTCAAAACCTACTTGGAACCTGATTCAGAGCAATCTCTGTGGTGTGGTCTTCACCTTGATTGACACCTGGGCCAATGTGAGGCTTGGGCATGACAAAGGCTTACAGCAGGATCTTGTGTCTGAATCGTGCTTAAGCAATGGAAGCACTTGGGGCAGGCGGTGTGGGGGCTGCTGAGAATATCATGATTGAAACAAGGCATTGTGGTGGGAGGCTGTTTATTAGATTTTTGGAAGGGGGATGTCATTGTTTTTGCATAGAGTGGGGGTCTCTTTGTCTAACAAGTTGCATGCAGTACCAAAGCTAGCAGCCCCAGTAGGGGCCATGATGCCCATCTGCATCACAAGACACACCCAGCCAGGAGGGGCCAGATACCCATCATGGTACAGCAACTCACTGAGACAGTTCTCTACTTCTCTGTTTGTTGTATATATTAACCTGCTGTGTTCCACAGATCTCTTTAGCAAGAGAGTGCTCCAGTTCACACAACAGAAAAGCTTGTTTTAATCCCTGATGACATTGGACACCATTTCCCAGATTACCTTCCTGGGCACAACTTACTGTATTGTTTGAACCCAGGTGGCATGGCTTGTTCAAGGGGGAACCAATCCTTCAATAACCCATGGTTTGTTGATGGGTTATTGGAGGCTTGGTTCCCCCTCAAACAAGTCATGGAATCCAGGTTCAGATGATGCAACAAACCATGCCTGGGCAGGTAATTCAGCTGATGGCAGCCAGCAGGCACCTTTAAACAAGCTTCTTCATGTGAATTGGTGTTGTAACGAAAATCTCTTTTGCACTTGCAACAGAATGAAATGCGATTAAAACTGTCAACCCAAACATGACACTAGCTGTATTTTCTGTTACGTATCTTGAAGGTCCAAACTGCTTAACTCCATGGAAATCCCAGGAATCCGAAGTGGCCGATTTGCCCAGTAAAATACTTCTTCATTATACTCCCAAGGTAGTGATCCGTATTTTTTCTGTCACCTTGAAGATGTGCTGATGTGGCCCCTGGCTTCAGTGGCTTAGCGATTAAACTGCATAGCCAAGGGGAAGCTCTGTGTTCAGTGGCAACAGTTGCCTGGAGCGAATGGGGGGGGGGGCAGCCCCTTCCTTGTGACTGCCCAGAGGCACGAGGTTGTCTCAGCCTGGCCCGCTGCACCAGGGCTTCTCTGATAATCCTCAGCCTGGCTGCCAGCCATACAGGTCACTGTCTGCTGTAAGTTTGGCACAGATGTATGCATACATGCGTGGAAAGTACATTTATCCTGCTTTTCTTTCAAAGAGGCTTCTGGAGTAGCTTACATGTAATCAATAAAATGTGATGGCCCTTGTCTACAGGTTCTCAGTCTGAAAAGACAAGACACACAAGGAAAAAGGGATGGAAAGGAAGAGGGGGAAATGCAGTCTTCCAGCAGGGATGCTGATACGGCCTTGTTGCCCCTCTCACCTCTGTCTGTGTCTTCCCTCTGCACTGTCCCTCCAAGTGGTTTTTGTATGGCTGAGGTTACTTGCTGTTTCAGACTTCATCTGAGGAGAAAAGTGCTTGGACATAGAGGAGGAGGAGGGAAGGGGAGAGTTCGCCGCTGTTGATTTTACTGTCTTATCAGAGCCCTGTCCCTTTTATCTGCTTGACTGAGACAAGTAGATAAGTGCCTATTTTGCCCCAATCATGTCCTCTCTGGCACCTGCAAAAGATTGCCAGCTCTTGAATTTTGGAAGAAGAAAATGTTTGTACTCCTCCTCTTAACCAGCTTTTGTATCAGAAAGAAAGAATGATACAGACTTATTTATGAACAAGGAGCCCATTTTTTCCTCTCTTTCACAACAGGCTTGCAGAAGCCCAATCTGCCTGGACCTTTCTCCAAATCTTCTACATGGAAGGCTAACAGGGAACAAAGTAGTGAACTGGGACATCAAGGTAAGCATCTGGAAGGGATTGTTGTAAATGTTGTTTGACATGGTGTTAGATCATGGGTCCTCAAACTACGGCCCAAGGGCCGGATCCAGCCTGCCATGCTGATTTATCTGACCCGCGTCAGAACTTTTGGACTCGCTCGGGGAAACCGATCTCTGAGCGAGTCCAAAAGCTCTGAGCCAGCGCAGGCGTACTCAGTGGGGAGATGGCCGCAATCGCATTCGCACTCATGCAGGGAAGATGGGCGCGATCGTGGTTGCGCTCGGTGGGGGGGGATGGCCGCAGTCGTGGCTGTGCTCGGGGGGGGGGGGGATGGCTGCGATTGTGCCCACCTTCCCTGCACAATTGTGTGTTGGGGGGAGATGGCCACAATCGCGGTTGCGCTCGTGCAGGGAAGTCAGGCACAATCGCGGTCGTGCGGGGGGGGGAGATGGCCCACCCCCCAACAGTCTGAAGGACAGTGAACTGGCCCCCTGTTTAAAAAGTTTGAGGACCCCTGTGTTGGATGATGATGGTGTTACACTTGAGAGTACTTTGAAAGTTGGCAAAGGTTCTCTCACGCCTGTTGGCCTCCATTTTTGAGGCCTCATAGAGAACAGGTGAAGTTCCAGAGGTCTGGAAGGTGGTGTCAGTGGTCCCAATTTTCAAGAAGGGTAGTAGAAGGGACATGGAGAATTACAGACCAGTTGGCCTTATGTCCATTGTAGGAAAAACAGTGGAAAGGCTCATAATAGTGAGAGATCTAGTGATGCTAGATAGGGAAGGGAGGCTGGTGGCCGCACAACATGGTTTCCACAATAACAGGTCCTGCCAGACAAACCTTGTGGAATTCTATGACAAGGTTTCGAGGTGGGTAGATGGAGGGAAGCAGTGGATGTGGATTGCCTGGATTTCAGCAAGGCCTTTGAGAAAGTGCCCCACGATATCCTGGTTCAGAAATTGAGGAGTTTTGAGATACACCAATGCATTGTCTGATGGATTAGGGCATGGTTGACTGACCGAAAGCAGAGGGTAACCATTAGTGGGGAATCATTGGGATGGCAGCCAGTGACAAGTGGGGTCCCCCAGGGCTCTGTCCTGGGGCTGATCCTGTTTAATCTTTTCATCAATGACATGGAACAAGGGGTGAACAATCTGCTGATCAGATTTGCAGACGATACTGAAACTGGGGCAGTGGCCACACGTAAGGAGCAGGTACTCTAGATCCAGAAGGATCTGGACAGACTATGGAAGTGGGCAGGAGACAACAGGATGGCGTTCAATGTGAATAAGCGCAAAGTCTTGCACTTGGGGCATAGGAATGGGTATCATAAGTTCAGGTTAGGGGACAAGACGCTGGAGAGCAGCACTTGTGAAAGAGATCTCGGGGTGCTGGTTGAGTGCAAGCTGAACATGAGTCAGCAGTGTAATGAGGTGGTTAAGAGGGCAAATGCCACCTTTGGTTGCATAGCCAGAAGCATAGCTTCTAGATCGAGAGAGGTATTACTACCACTCTATAGGACTCTGGTGTGCTCGCAACTGGACTATTACAGGAAGGATATAGCCAGGTTAGAGTCAGTGCAGTGTAGGACCACAAGGATGGTGGCCGGATTACAGGGAAAGCCTTATGAGCCGAGGCTGAGGGACCTGGGTCTTTTCAGCCTGGATAAGAGGAGACTCCGAGGGGATCTGTTGGTGACACATAGGTATGTGAGGGGGTGTCACACAGAGGTGGCTAGAGACCTGTTCTCCCCTGCAGAGGAGGGCAGAATGTGCTCCAACGGAGCAAAGCTCAGGGAACCAAGGTTCGATTTAGATGGCAGGAAGTACTTCCTGACAGTCAGGACCCCGAGGGTGTGGAATGGGCTTCCACGGGAGGTCGTTGAGGCCCCATCGGTGCGGGTGTTCAAGGATAGGCTGGACGTGCACATGGTGGGCATGTTGTGAGTGGAGCCGGCTGGAGCCATGGGTCGGACTAGATGGCCCAGGAAGCCCCTTCTGAGCCACTCTGTTTCTGTGATGTAAGCTTGTGTGAGACTGCTACAAAAAGTAGCAACAGTTCCTGCTCTGCTCTGCGTGTATGTTTGTATGTTTGTGGGGAGCAACAAAGGGCTAGGAGGGGTGGGGAGAATACATGGAAGGCACCTGATGTTGGTTGGGTAAATTTATTATCAGCAGAGATAACTTGAAGCATCTCCTTGAATTCACTGAGACTTAACTCCCAGCCGAGTGTGCATAGATGTGTCTTTCTAATTCTATGTCTGCCCTGAGGCTTCCTGCAGCAGTGCTAAATGGGAAGATCATAAGAAGCGTTCTGTAAGGAAGGAGGGAGTGCCTTTCCTTTTGCTTTGGCCTTAGCAAGCTACTTGGTTAGACTCCTTCCACAGGCTTTCCTGGAGAGGTCCTCATCTGTGTTGCAGGCTGTTGGAAGATAATTGGTGCAGCACTGTCGCTTCATGCTTATGTAGTAACTAACAAAGTGCCAGGCCCTTTTAATTTTTCTTCTGTGGAATTAGAAACATAGAAACAGAGTGAGTCAGAAGGGACCTCCCAGGCCATCTAGTCTGACCTCCGGCACCAGCCGGCTCCGCTCCCGACATGCCCACCATGTGCATGTCCAGCCTATCCTTGAACACCTGCACCGATGGGGCCTCAATGACCTCCCGTGGAAGCCCATTCCACACCCTCAGGGTCCTGACTGTCAGGAAGTGCTTCCTGGCATCCAAATGGAAACTTGACTCCCTGAGCTTTGCTCCGTTGGAGCGCGTCCTGCCTTCCTCTGCAGGGGAGAAGAGGTCTCTACCCATCTCCATGTGACAACCTCTCACATACCTGTATGTCGCCAACAGGCTGAAGAGACCCAGTTCCCTCAGTCTCGCCTCATACGGCATCCTCTGCAAACCGGCCACCAACCTTGTGGCCCTACGCTGCACTGAGTCCAACCTGGCTATATCCTTTCTGTAATGAGGGGCCCAAAACTGAACACAATACTCCAGTTACAGGTGCACTAGAGTCGTATAGTGTGGCAGTAATAACTTTCTTGATCTAGAAGCCACACTTCTGGCTATGCAACCAATTAGGCCATGGGTGATGCTGAATGAAATAACAAGAGCCCAGATGCAGTGAGAGGAAGGAAGGAACAGTTGGACATTGTCATGAATAGGTTAAATCAAATCCTAGGTGAAAGAAGAACTGAATGGCTTTGAGCAAAGACTGATTTGCAAGGTCCAAGAATGCCACTTGTCAAGGTCCTAAGGTATCATTTAAATCTTGGGTTTGTTGGATTGCCAGACCCGAGGATGTCAGGAGGTGCCAGGCAAAGTGTTGTGATTTCTTGCAGCTGGTAGAATTGCCACTTTGGAATGGGGCACTTAGCATCACTCCACCAGTTAGTCAAGAGGGAGCAAGGATAAAGGTCTGGTTCTGACCAGGTAAATTTGAAAGTATAGACAGACAGTTTAGGTGTTAGGCTGCAGTATGCAAACAGATCCCAATCCCTCCATTCTCCCAATAGATCAAGCCATGGATTGGATTCCTCTGCTACCTAGCCTGGAGCTGGCATAGCCCAGCTTTTATTGATGTATTCTTTTATGCAAAGAATAAAAATCCACCAGGTTAAAAGCCCAGTAAAGCTGCCCCCCAACCTCCCGGCCTGGGTGGTGTGAACTGACTGGCTGTGTAATTAGAAGATGAGTTCCTGGACCACTTCTGTGATTAGTGGTCCAGTGTCTACAGTGAGATGTGAGAGATGCAAAGGGGCTGCAAGAAGGAATGCATTTGAAGATCCGACCTAGACTGCAGGGATCAGTCCGGGATGCATCCTGGTCTCCTGCCTCCTGCAGCTGGCTGTGGCCATCCTGGTGGCCAGAGAAGCAGAATGTGCTGCTCTGCCTCAGTGACACCCCCAGGTGTGCCTGTAACTTACCTGGGGAAGGAGGAGCCAGGACCAGGAGTGCATGGCATCTTTGGGGGAGGGGGTACAGACGCCCTCAGTCAGAAGCCCAGCGTGGCAACAGACGCACCAGTAGACCGGTGTCTCTATAAGAACTGCACTCTGTTTGAAACACTCCATGCCATGGGAGTAATGGGAATGCCAATTTACTTATGCATGCATTTTAAAAAGCTTTTCCAGTGGCTGCCTTCAAAATATTTTCTGCTTCTTCCTCTCCTCAATTTTATTTCTTCAGGATATGATCAATTGTATAGGTGGATTAAACGTGCTCTTCCCACTGCTGGAGCAGATCAGCTTCCTTGACGGGCAGTCCCCTGCGAGGCCGGAGGTGGCTCCTGTGCCTCCAGAGGCACTGATGTTCACAGAAGGCGATGGAGTGGCATCAGCCTCCACCAGAGCTTCAGGTAAGGAAAGAACTGCTCAGTGAGAGGTTCAGGCAGCATCTTCTGTGAGTTTGTAGACATGAATGGACCAAAACGTTAAAAAAGCTTCTGACATGGTACAATAGTGCTGATGTTTTTTAAGGGCTGTTTTCCCTCTTGCAGAGGCTCGCTTAGAGAAGAACGTCGTTGCAACCTTCATCTTAATGATAAAGCACTTTATTCAAAGGCACCAGATCAACCAGGACAATCTTGTTCACACACACGGTGTTGCAACCTTAGGAGAACTTCTGCAGAAGGTACCATAGATGGCAAAATTGTGTTGGCACATTGCAAATGTTTAATGCTAGGAGTTGCACAAAATAGCACAGGAAAATGAAGCATAATGTGAGTGTTTTTCTTTGATGTAAATGTGTAAGGAGTTACAGTTAGGATTAGAGTATTGCGCTACCAGGCTGCTTCTCTTTGTGGAATGAGGAAGAGATGCTGTTTTTCCTTTGCCTCTAGCAGCAGATGGCTTGGGCCAGTGCTGGCTTGAATAAGCAGAAAGGGACTGGCTTGTCTCTCCCTAATCATAGAAGTGGTCCAGGAAGTGGACAGCTCATCTACTAATTCCACAGCCAGTCAGTGCACACCAACCAGGCTGGGAGGTTCGGGGGCAGCTTTACTGGGCTTTTAACCTGGGGGATTTTATTCTTTGCATTAAAAATACCTCAATAAAAGCTGGGCTATGCCAGCACCAGGCTAGGTAGAAGAGGAATCCAATCTATGGCTTGATCAATTGGGAGAATGGAGGGATTGGGACCTGTAGCCCACGGGAATATAGCAGGATTTAGCTCCATCCCTGCAGACCCTCCTCAGAGGCAACTGTAGCATCCCAGGGTGGTCCCTCCCATCAGTGGAACCAGCTCAGGAGCGCCTCTGCTCTACCCTAACAACTCCAGCCAGTGGATCCTGGGCCTAAGGTCGGAGTATAACTTATTCATTGAGAGGATGCCAAGCAAGGTGAGTGCGGGGCTAGCAACTGCAGATCCTTCTCTGTGCTTTTCAGCCCAGTGGTGGAGCCTATTCCATTTTGAAGCTCTTCATTCAAAAAAGTGTCAGTAACTGTTTACTGTGATGTATTCTAAGCATGCTTTACTGCTCTGACTGAAATTTAAATAAGAAATTGGTTGATGTTTCAGACAGATTTTGTGACATGTTAACTAAAACTGACTGGTCCTTAGCATAAACGTCGACAAAACCTTCTTTGTGTCCATAGATGATTCACTTTGTTCACCTGGCTCTTTTTCAGGTCCCCAGTACCTTCATGGATGTGAATGTACTGGTGGCAGTCCAATTACTGATCGAACAGGTTTCTGTCGCAAAAAATGCGCAGCTTTTGCAGCAGATGTACCAGCACTTGCTTTTTGACTTCAGCATCTGGAACCGTGGAGACTTCCCCTTCCGAATAGGTGAGGTATATACAGCTAATGTATACAAAAACACAATATCCTTTGCAGCTCACCTGATTTCTAAGACAAGGTCATCTAGTTGGCAACCTCTGGCTTGCATCTGCATCTAACCCTCACTGTGAGAGTGGGGGAGCGCTTTGTTTTGCTTTTGCATTTGGCTGTTGGAACTGCTGGTGCTGCCTCCAGAATCGCAAGCCCCTTTAGGAATCTCTGAGAGTTGCTCGCACCATCTCTCGGACATATTCTCACTCTGGGTATAAAAACAGATGAAGTAGATGCCTGGGAAAAAGTTCTCTGTGTGGGAGGACTGTCTTTGCCTTTTTCAGTCAACTTCCAGTGGGTATTACATTATCATTCAGGCTCAGTTCAGGCACCGTGTCAAACTCTAATGAAATTCAACTAATGTGATGTCTAGATAGGTGCACTGTGGCTTGCGATTCAGTCGGAATTGGAACTCATGGTTTAAAGGGGGGTTATAAATCACTTGATCTGGTTTATAGAGTTCATAGAAGAGATGGTGGAAGATTAATTTAGACTAGAACTGAAGGGTATGTGTGTATATATGTACCTGAATGGACTCATAAGGGACACAGGGATGGTACATACGTTAGAAAGAGGACTGGGGGAGTTGAGATGGTGTGTGAATAGCTGGGAAGAATAAGAGGTTTTGGGCTTGGGAAGAAACTAGTCTGAAACTCAATGGGACACTGAAACACCATCCACCAATCTGGCCTACAGCAGGGGTGGGCAGAAAGTAGATCTCCAAATTCTTTGAACTTCAGCTCCCAGAAACACATGTCAGCATGGCCAATGGGCAGGAATGCTGGCAGCTGGAGTCCAAAAACTCTGGATATTGAATTTCTGCCCACCTGTGGACTACAGGTAGGCCACATATCTGATCTGTGGTCCATGGCATTTGAAAGTTTGGCTTTGTCTCTTTTAATGAGACAAAGTATTGACATATGCATTGACATATAAAGCCCTAAACTGCTTGGGGCCTGGCTGTCTAAAGGACTGTCTGCACCCATATGTACCTACCCACCCCATTAGATAGCTTAGGAGGCCCTTCTATGAGAACCACCCTTCAGGAGATGAGAGAGGCGGCAACTAGGCGAAGGGCCTTTTCTGCTGCTGCTCCCCATCTTTGGAACTCCCTCCCCAGAGAAATTTGCCTGCCTCTGCCTTTTCCTTTTGGCACCAGGTGAAGACAGACCTGTTTAGGAAAATTTTTAACACTTAGCCTGAATGCTGTGGTCCTTTTTATATTGTTTTCATAGATGTTTTAATTTGTTGTGTTTTAATTGGTTTTAATGTGTTTTATTAATATGTTTTATGTATTGTAAGCTGCCTAGAAAGGCCTTGGCAGTTATAGGTGGCCTATAAATGTATAAAATGCATGCATAAATAAATATAAATAATGGAATTTTAAAACCTTTTTTAGGCCATATCCAGTATCTTTCTACAATTATCAAAGATAGCAGGAGGCTCTTCCGGAAAAAGTATGGTGTACAATTTTTACTGGATACTCTGCGGATTTACTATGGGTATGAATTTTTAATTTGCTGTATATTGTGCATGAAAGTAACTTTCCAAAGCCCAGGTATGAGCCAGAAAATGAAAGAAATGCTTTCCAGAACAAGTGAACATTTTCTCCTACTTAGCTTTCAACTCTCTAAGAACTATGGAAATGGAATTTATGCATCTACAGCAGTTTGAACAGTTGAACTGCACCTTCTACATCAGGGGTGTACAATTCGTTAAGTTCTGAAGGGCCATATGTAATGCAGGCCACACACATGTGTGCACACACCTTTGCAGAAATGTGCACACCCCCACCCACAGGCTGTTCTGGCACAGCTATTTCCTCGCTGTTTAGCAGTGGCAGGAAAAAGACCCCTTGTATGAGGTGTCTGGAGGAGGAATTGACAAATCCAGGCACTGGGGAAACTGGTGGTTGCAGGAGATTTGGCAGTCTGTGTCCCCACCATCTAAATGCTTGTAAGAATAGCAATGGCAACTATGAAAAGGGTGGTATTGATGATAGTGGTGTGGAGAAACTTTACTTTTGCCCCCTAGGGAGCCTGAAATCAGTGAGAATTTTCCAGCTAGGAGAGGTTCCTTTTTAAAATACTGCATCATGTACAGATCCCAAGGTAATCACATCGATTGCAAACGTTGCACAGGCCTTTAAGGGCACAAGTGACTGGAGCAAACTGAGACCTTATCTGTTCAAACACACCAGATAAGTTGTGTACTAGGTTGTTCACCTTGCTGGGAGGAAGCCCACTGAACTCAGTGGGCCTTGGTTCTCAGTAAACATGCAAAGGATTCCCCTGTAAGATCCCCTGTCACAAAATGGGGGTAAGAGCAGTGTTCCACCTTGCACAGCAATTGTAAGGCCTTAATTTTGAAGAAGTGTCACATCATCAAATGAGAGCCTGGGTGGCGTAGTGGTTAAGAGTGCAGGACGGGGTTTAGGTGACCTGGGTTCTAGTCCCTGCTCAGCCATAGAGCCAACTGGGTGACTTTGGGCCAGTCACAGACTTTCAGCCCAACCTGCCTCACGGGGTTGTAAGGAGCAGGAGGAGGCGAATTATGTAAGCCGCCTTGAAATCTTTAAAAACTAAAAAGGTGGGATCTAAATCTAATAAATAAAGTATATGTGAGAGTGAAACGGATGCATGTGTTAGACTACAATTCAGTGTACTGGGGAGTAAACTCATGGAATTCAGTAGAACATGGGATTTCCCTGAGAAAAGCGTTCTGGATATCTCACAAACATGACCTCACTGTAATAGAAGCACTCAAAGACAGGTCAATATTATCTCTGCTGGGTGTGGCTTTGCTAAGGGCCCCAAGTCAGATCATGGCAGAGGTGAAGGTCAAACTAGGCAGTTCTGTCCCAGTGGTCAGTTGCTTAGCATGTATGATACAGAAGCACTAAGTCACTTGCAAGTCATTAACTATTGCCAAGTCCACATTTCTAGGTCTGTAACCTTTAGTAAAAGAAGAGTTCTTATGCATAGGGCGCTGTGCTTGAAGATAGTGAATCATTTTTCAAATGAAGAGAAGTTTTTGTTCAAGAGGTCTTTTAAGAATAAGTAACCAGCATTGCCTGAGTGAGTCTTGTTTGTGTCCTTATTCCATCAATTGCTACCTTCCTATATGAGTTAAAAACAAAGTGCCTGTTTCCAGGCAGAAAAGATGGCAATAACAATACAGTGAATTTAATTGTGGTTTCCAGGATTAACACGGCTAGATAACACAGGAGAATAATATACAATGGGAGAAATGTTTGTGAAAACAAAATTGCGTCACTTGTCTCCAAGGATCACTTACCTCTTCTGTCATCACAATGCATTGTCATTTTGATAGAGGTCCCTTTCTTACTCTTCTTAGAAACAGCTGCGAAGAGAGTGACTTGGCTCCTGATGATCTTAGAACAATAAGGACATCTTTATATGGATTAATCAAATATTTCTTGAGCAAAGGTGGGACACATGAGGAAGTACAGAGCATCATGGGATATATAGCAGCCATCAATGATGAGGAACAGGTATTCAGTGTACCTTTGTTTGCTTTATTAGGTTTCCTCCTGTCTGTCTGTCCGTCCATCTTTCTTTCTATGTAGCAACAACAGGAAGACACCAGAAGTTAGCAGGAAATCAAAAAAGTGATAACATGATCTCAGAGGTGCTGGTTAAGTTGTGCCTGGCATTTTGGAGAATGCCTCTGTCTCAGGAACTCCGTGCACTAAAGAAAATTGCTTTTTACTCACTGGGTTCATAGACTACAGCAATGCAGCATGGATTGCTAGCCGTGATGGGTTGTCATGTTGTCCAGAATTAGACCACTTCCTGGACAGTGGCTTATTTTTCAGCAACAGTTCATTCTGACAACTCATGGCTTGTTCTAGAGGTTGTATGACCCATGATGTATTGTTGTGTCATATGAATCTGGGAAATTACATCATGGGTTGTGATCTCTCTTGCTGCCAGTGAAAACCATCCACCAATACTTAAGTGCTATTTTGGAGTGATTATCACTCAGTTGTCACCCTTAAAAAACTGTGCAGATATGCTGGGGGTTTGCTTTTCAGTTTTGGTCCAGTTTGGTCCTCCCTACTTTGCAGCTTCCACCGACAGCTGAAACAAATAAGAAAATTGAATAGGCAAGGCAATACACATTGGACTTCTCTAACAGCTTACTTGCCTGCTTATGAAAGACCTACAAAAAGAATCAATGCGGATGAATCATTTTCAGGACCTAAAATAAAACAAACACATGAAAGACCCCAAAAGTACTTTTGGGGGGGGCTCCAGGAAAAAAATACCCCAGTGGAGAGTAAAAAGGGGTAGCAATTGGAGTGCAGAGGCAGGCTGTGCAGTGGTGGACACTGGGATGGAAGGAGGGGTGAATAAACCATGGGGAGCTCAATTGTCTGTTTGAGGAACAACCCACACTGGATCAGTTTGCACAGCCCAATAACCCAGTTGGGTTGTTGTCGAAACGTGGGTCATTATTGCAACACAGGCTATCATGTTCTCTGAAATCAGCTGTGCTAACAAGCCATGGCTGGCTACCCATGGTGCAACTGCTGGAGTTGGGCTGTAAACAACTCGTCATTGTGTGGTGAACTGTGGGTTGTTCACCTGGATGTTCCCCCTGCTGTCTCATTGAGCCATGTTTCAGCAACAACCTACACTCAGCTCTTGGATATGGGTAACCCTGCTGTCTGAATCCAGTCACTACACATCTTTTGGCAGGGTTGCTTAGCATGCATTCACAACATTTTTTCTATTTGCTATCTTTAAAATGATGGGTGCAAAAAGCAGATGCAGGGCCTGTAGTTCATGTAATTAATGGAATAGCATGTTGTAGAAACAGTCTGCTAACAGGAGTACTTCGTCCTGGTTACCTGACCTTCCTCAAGCTCTCCCACTGCTTTTTCTTTTTCAAAAGGTCATGCTGCTCACTTTTAATCTGCTGGGCACCTCTGCGCTTGCTCTGGTGGACCCCAGTCTGTAAATTCCAAGCCAGTCTCCTTAATCTGGGGTGCTTCTTCACCTTCCCTCTAGTGCAAATTCCAGCCGCTTTGTCCATGGAGTGATTTCTCCATGGTGGGTTGTTATGTCAGACTCAGCACTGAGCAGGATTCACCTCTTAACCTGGATGTGAAGGTTTTGCAAAACATGGCTAAGCAGATCCATATCAGTTTGGATATAACATTAAGCCATGTTTAAGGCAAAAACAGTGTGGAGTAAACAATGGGGTAGGGATTTGACATGGAGGGAATGTGATTAAATGTGATTCACTTTTTCCTATTGAAAGGACATTTGAAAAACATTCAGGTTTGACTGTAGTGCACCCTTTTACTTCTGGGTATGGATCCACACCTTTACTTTTGCTGCTGTATCACATTAAGTTTCATCCAATGTTTCTGTTATTTAATCCAAATAATTAACTAGAAATAGTCTCATGGCTGTTCAGCCGCATTTAGGACCAGCTGCTGTGTGGGGACAAGCAGTGGGACTGCCTGCTCTGGAGTGGGGATGTCTCCACTGAGGCCGGCTTGCTCTGGGAAAAGTAGCAAGGTCCCAGAGAACTGAAGCTTGCTGTGCCAGTCCAGCCATTCTGACCTGCATCACAGCCACTTTCACGAACGTTGGGCTGTTTCTCACAGGCCCACCAAGGCCTGTTCTTGAATGGTGAACAGTCCATTTCCATCCCACCTGATCCTTATATAAAACTTTATCCCATTAAGGATTGGGACCCAAATGTGTGTGTTCTTCTTCCCCTTTTCCTTCCCCATTCCTTTTTTGCCTTTTGTGTCATGCCATTGAGGCTGGTGCTGTCTTGATTAGGGTTGTACTTTCAAATAATCATCGCATCATTAGAGAGGAAAATCCAGCAAATGTTTGTAGTGTGCGGAATAGTGAGAACAGCCTGGATTCCTCATTCTCTGTGTGATTGATTTCCTCTCTCTCCCACCACAAGCTCTTTGGGATCCTGGACATGCTCTTCAGCCTGCTTCACACCAGCCCAACCCGAGATCAGCTGTTCTTGTTGCTTTTCGAGCCGGGAAATGCAGACATTCTTTATGCACTGCTGCTGAATCAGCGGTACACGGACCAGCTGAAGGAGCTCGTTTTCAAGGTTAGTGGTGATGTCTTCTGAAAACTTGATAGTTCTGCAGAGATGGAGATGAGATTCTGTGTGAAATGTCTGAAGGGATCCTGTGTGCATTGATAAAGATATACACAGGTGGGTAACTTTATTTAATGTATTTCTTGCTAAACTGCTTTGAAGCCCTAATTTAAGCTTCAGGAAATTGTCAGAAACTATTGTTGTTCTGGAAGGCTGCTGGTAGTAATCAGTTAGTGGTGATGGTCTTTGCTGATGGAAATTCATTTTATAGTGGAGTTACACACACACACACAAAGAAGTAAGTCCTGCTGAGTTCAAAGGAGCTTATTTTCTGGTAAGTCTATTTTAGGATTGCAACTTTAATAAAAATTGGTTGTCATTTTCTCCTCCTCCTCCTGTACATTTCAGTACTTTTTTGATAAGTTTGGTATTGTAATAGTAATTGTTATGAATATTTGTTTAATACTCTGTAGTTGCTAAAATAAACGTGCACATTTGAAACTTGTTATAATGGGACACAGACCCTAAAATTGCTTGTCAGAGTACTGACCGAAGAACAAATACTAGAGTTGGAAGGGGCCTCAAAGGTCATCTAGTGACTAGATTCTAATCCAGTATCCAACACTGCAGGAAATCCATATAAACTGAACCCCTTTACAATAGTTTCTAAGGTCACACGTAACAGAAGCAAATAATGTGTTGATGAATTTCGGCTTTACTGGAGTTGTATACTGCTGCCATTTTGAATATGCAACTATTGGGGTCCTTCTGTGATTTGTGAAGGGATGTGTGGATGTGACTTTTAAGATGAAATTCAGGTGTGATTTCTTAAAGCAAGACTAGGCAAACTTTTTGGGCTCTGGGCACATTTGGCAATTTGAAAAACTCTCTTGTGCACCACCACAAAATGGCTCCCCCAGGAGGCATTGCAAAGGAGGAGTTACCTCCCTCAAATAAGTTCCTACAAGACGGGTGGGAGCTGAGCCCTGATGTACTAAACAATGCCTTTGATTCCACAGTTTTCAGGATGGACAGAAACTTGTTTCACAGCAGGCCTAGCTGCTGGTAAGGAAGTAGGTTTTGTTTTGTCTTTCCAGTAGGAGGTGTAGGCAAATACCATTGCCTCCCCCAGTTTTAAAGGCTTTGTTCTACCTGTGATGAATTCTGCCCGTCTGAATTCTGTTTTCCTGTGGTTTCTTGCATATGAAGGGTCTATGTGTTTAACCCAAAGCCACTGGAGAGTTTTGGATTTCATTGTCCACAGAGAACCTCACACATCCTCTTTTTTGTAGATCGTGGAGCAGATGCTGAAGTGCACCAAAGTCTACGAACGCAGCAAGCAACGGATGAAACTCAGAGAAGTCGGATATTCTGGGCTGGGACTGCTCTTGAATGAATCTCCAGTTACCACATCTCTAATCAAGAACCTTTTCAACCAAGTTCTGCATGCCGGTACTCAAATATGTATTAACATTTTCATTTTAAAGTAATGGACATAGCTGTGACTGTACAACTATAACTCTCTGCAGCAAGAGTTGAACATAAATTTATTTCGTGCATCCATTGCAAAATGGCAAAAGTGCATTGATGGTTACAGTTTACTTTTGTGCTTTAATGGCGATTTGCAAAAGCAAGTAATTATTTCTCCTTTCATTGTGTCTGGGGAAGGGGCTTGTGAAATTTAACTTTTATACCCCCTCTTATGATGTGTCTGAATTTTTATTCTACAGATCCAGTTGTGAATTACAGGGACTTTATGGCTGTGGTGCATTTGGCTCACAAAGCAGATATCAATGTCAGGGTCGCCATCTGTCGAAAGGTTAGTTTTTTGTGGTAGTGGCTGGTAGATGCTGAATAGCAAAGGCCAGGGTTGTATCAGTCAGTGGAGATCTAGGGAATGACAGTAGACATTTGGGTTTCTGTTTTGCCAAAGTGAAAGGGTTCTTTTTGGATCCAGAAGCAATGAGCACACAGGTTGGTTAAAGTCTAAAGATGTTATTCGAAAGCAGGCACAATAAATAAACATAATAATATGGAAAGGGAAAAAAGAAATACAATACCAAGCAAGCTGGCTTTCCTCAATCAGCCGTTCGCAAACAGCAAGGAAAAAGCCCTAATTTTGGCTGGTGTGCAGCACCTTCCTCAGCTAGGTCTAAAACGGGGCTCACCTGGGCAAAGCCGCAAGGCTTCTTTTCTATCCTAAATCTCAGAGTGTCATGTGATGTATTCAAAACAGTTAATTAGCCACATCTGCTGTTCACAGTTCTCACGCCAATAAGCACAGCGCTCTGCTGCATTCCAAGGTCGGCTTAGAACAACTTTCTTTTGCATGCTGGAGAGCTTCAACTGAGTCTAGTTGGGGGGTGCGCTGAAGGTAGGGATAGAAGGAGAAATACAGGAATAGAAAGACAATTGTGTCACACCACCCTGTCTCCTCGATATACAATAGTCTTCTGGTGAATTTTCTCTGCAGTTTCTGACCGTGTGAATGGAGCCCTCCATGCGACTCCTATGGTGGAGAGGTTGTTAGAGCGTGCAGCGCTTGAGTACAGCAGACTCACGTGCGATGTGCCTTCTTGTGCTTGCACTCCTGCTGATTTCAGCTTTAGTGGTGCTTTCACAGGCCCAGTGGTTGCTCAGCTTGTAGAAAACTTTGAGAAATATTTCTGGCCCATTGATGTCGCATTCAGGAAGGAAAACCAGAACAAAAGAGAGGACATGTTACGATGCATCATGCTTGGGCCTTCATCTTGTCCTCTTGTGCTTCCCGCAGCTTTTGCAGATCCTGCATTCCCAGCAGGATTCAGCACAGCAGATTTCTCAGCAGCTTGGCTGGCAGGAGACATTGACCCGGCTCTTCCTAAAAGAGCACGCGGACATCAAGAATGGTGCAAGGGAGAACAAAAATGACCCGGCTAAAGAGGACGAAAAGCGAGCTTTTCCCAGAGACCACCAGAAACGCCATTTGTCAAAGGCAGATGGGGAAGAAAGTACCAGCTTTGTTAATGGTTCGTGTGATCAGTGGAGCTTAGAAGATGGCAAATCCACGGCAATGCTGGAAGATGCCTCCATGGTAGAGATGCTGTTCAGGCCTGAAGATCCAGAAGACCTATGGCAAAAAAACCCTTCGCACCTGAGTTTAGAGCTGTCGAGCGCTGACTTCTACGAGCTGGGGGACAGCGGGAGCCAGATGGCAGATAGTCTGCCCAGCACTCCTTCGCCCATTGAGAGCACAAAGACATTTTCTGGGCAGCTGGACAGGGAGTCATGTGCTATGGAGGAGGTGGCATTCACTGCGGATCTCTCTTCATTCGAAATTCATGAAGTATGTGTGGCTATTCCACTTCTGAAAGAATTTTACATTTTGGCTTTCCTTTTCCGATTTTAGGGGTTTGGGGTTTTAAAAAAAATATTTCCAGTTAGATAGTTAAACTGTTATTTTCCTAAAAGAGAAAGAGAACAATATTGCTGCTGGTTCAGTAATCCAACAGATATTTGACCTGTCCAGGTGGTTCTGCTTGTGAACAGTGGGGAATCTGGATTGTAGAAACTCACTGGTAGACATGCACACACATTGATGCCCCTGCTCCACTCTAAAGCCCATCAAGCCAATGTGTGATATGCAGAGTCAGATGTGCCTGTACGTACTTTGTTTAGCCTTTCCATCTGGGAATTATGCTTCCCAGGTTGTAGGATTCCTTCCTTTGGAAAGTCTGTATCCTGTTCTCTGTGTGTGGATGGAGACCATTCCATTTATTTTTTTAATGTTTATATCCCTCCCCTTTTTTCGTGAGGAGCCCAGCTTAACTAGTCATCCTTCTTTCTATTTATCCTCATAACAACCTTGAGGAGTAGGTTAGGCTGAGAGTCCAAAGTGAGCTTCATGGCCAAGCAGGGACTAGGACCCTGATCTCCTGGATCCCAGTCCAACACTAACAGCACATTTATTGGGATGGGCCTTCAGCGCAAGTTTCTTTTCTGCTCCCCTGAATAGTTAGTTTTTAGCTTGCTCTGTTTAAATTTGAACTCAGGTTTTGTGTTGTTCTGTTAACTGTGTGTATTTTCATATTGCAGCTTTTAATACAATTGTCTGCTGCTTTGGATCTTTGTCAGCCAAAGGGAAACATCTACATTTTTAAAATAGATTATTCCAGCAGTTCACAAAAACGTAAGAGCTGTGCGGATCAGACCAAGGACCTCTCTAGTCCAACCTTCCTGTTCACACAGCGGCCAGTCAGATGTCTTAATGGGGAAGCTCACAAGTAGGGCAGGTGGGCACCAGGACCCCCCTCAGTAATTCACCTGGGCCCTTACAATTCCAGTTCTGGATGCTAACATCTTATACGCACATATTAAAGATGTAGGGATGTGCCAGTATTTTAAATTCTAATGACTGGGATACCTGTTGAGAATATTTCCTCTTTACTGTACATGACCAATTGTTTCTAATAGGCATGTGAAGAAGATCTTGTACACTTGCTCACAGATGTTCTGCTCTGTGTGCTGTGGAAAGGCGTAGAAAGATCAGATGATGCTGCTTGGCTTGAGAGGGGACAAGTTTTTTCTGCTCTCACCAAGCTGGGGGTTTCCAATGAGCTACTACGGCCATCAGATGAAATTAAACTCATGTGAGTTGAAATTTTTGTTTGTTGATTTAAAGTATGCATGTGCTTCCTTGCAAAGCAGTGAGCTGATTTTTCTCTTATAAAGGGAAAGAAATGAAGAGTGAGATTCATGGCTGTTTCCTTTGTTGAATTGTGTTTTATTTTCAACTTAGCTTGCTGGAGAAGATGCTTGAGTGGGCAGTCACTGACAGCAGAGATGTCAAATCCCTCCCTATGTATGCTGAGAATGCCTTCCGGCTCCTACTTATTGTGCAAGATTTCCTGCAAGCAGAAGGCCTTGTGAATTCAAATCTATGGACAGAAAAGGTACAGAGGCATCTTTCTAGATGTCAAAGGGTTCTTGGGTGAGATAGGCTGCCATAAGTCAAACCCAACTTAAAAGCAGAAGTTGACAATTGGAAAGGAATGGATAGCAGTGTAGGTAAAAATTCATTTATGACAATGATTTACTTTTCATCAGTGTGCACGTAACTGCTTGGTTAACTGGCTATCCATAGCATCCTGAACACGGCATGACTCCCAGCCCCCCGGTATTCTGTATGCTTCAATCTGCATGTGGGACATTGCCCCCAAATTTCACAATTGAACTTGGTTTGTGGCTTTTCCAAGTGCTCTTGAACTGAACTTGTTTTTAACATTTAAGCATTGGTTCTAAGGAATATCAGTTATTTATTTTAATGTTGAAAAGTTCTCCAGATTCTAAATGTATTCTCTGAGGCGAGGATCTTATTTCATCAATAAATGAACAAATCTGGGGATGTATTCACACTCCAGCAGCCGTAAAAAAAATTCCCCTCACTATTTTGCAAGTCTCAGTTGCTTTTGGTAGCCCAATGGCTGTGCAGAAGCATAGTCCTTGCACCCCTGCCAGGGTGGAGATCTCTGCCCTTCCATCCACAGAGATCTTCTCTTATCTCCCCCCCACCCCCCATTTTTGGCCCTCATCAGCTGTTCATTCATTTCCATGGAAGAAGCAAATCAGAATGCACTTGGGAATGCAAGCATCTTTCAAGAGGTGGATTTTTTTTAAAGCACCACCATCATTCTTGGAAAGCCTAAGACACTTGCAGAATTGAAACCCAACCATAACAAGATTTTAAAGCAATATAATTGATGCTTAAATGCTGCTATCCATCATTGGAGCTTTGTCTCCCCACATCCTATACACACACGTGTGAATGATAAGCTTTTCCTGCAAAGCATTTTACCTTCCAGAATATTTAATGTCCGTTATTCTGGAAATCTGCCCATCATAGGAAAGCTTAAAAATCTGGCCACTGTTCAAATAATCATGCTTATGTTTCTTTCTGCCCGGCCATCCGAATCTTGTGGTGCTAACTTTTAAAGCAACCTACATAACACGTTTCTTGTTGTGCCGTGAGCTGTGTATTGAATTATTTCCACACCTACTGCTTTGCAGCTCATGCAGCATTTTCCTCTTTGGGCTTATTTCTGGGTATTGCTTCATGTAGCTTTTGGAAGAACTGGTGACACTCATGGACACCTTATCAGTCTGGTACTCTTCTGGCCCCGAGTGTGTGAAGCTCTACCAGGTCCAGGTCCAGATGCTTCTTGGGTTCATTGGACAGGACAACTTACAGGTTTGTTGTCTGCTGAGTTGTATAGTATGCAGCTGGTCAGTGGGGAGGGGAACAGACTCAGTAGGACCTATCGCCAATCTCGTGTAGTGGTTAGAAAACTGCTCTTAAAGTGGGGACGTTTCAGTTTGTTATGAAAAGAACTTGCCGCAGGAAGCTCCGTACTTCCACATGCGCACCTGTTGTGGGGGTCAAAGGAGGGGTCAGATACATCTGTGCATCATTTCTTTGGAGGACAGGTGAGAGGATGCATTTTGCCATCTCAGTGTTTAAGCTCCATCTTGTTAGACTGAGTTGCATCCCTGCTGCAGTATGGACAGGAGATAAACCCTCAGTCAGCTGGAAGCCAATAGCCCCCCTAGCATGATGGTGCCTGGACATGAGCTGCCTGACTTCTCAGGAGCTTTCCTTTTTCCTCCAAGCGCTGGGGAGAGGAGAAGCCTGGAGCATGCCAATTCTTTTTCTTGTTGAAGTTTGGTTACAAATATATCCACCACGGAAGTTCTGCAGCTCTGGAAGCTTGCCCTATGCTTTACCTGACTGGGAAATGGCCCTCGGCTGATCTGTTTGTGGCTTTGGAACAGGAAATCCTGAAAGACATTTCCTGCTAGAAGATGCACCATGGTCTTCAATGACTGGCCTTTACCGAGAGGCATTCCCTGGTTTTGTCACTTGGATTTGTGGGTGATGAATTGCAGCCTTCCCCAACCAGAGGTGTTGGGCTACAACCTCCTGCTAGCCATGTGGCTTGTGTGTAGTAGGTGGTAGATGTGGTAGTCCAGCATAGCTGGAGAGAACCAGCTTGGGCGAGGCTGTGATGCACCTGTAGTGCAGAAGCAAGGCAGGCCTAGCCTTTGTGAGCACTTGAACTGGAGTCTGCCTGGGATCCCTACCTTGAGATCCATGGAAAACTGGCAGGTTATATATTAGACTGCTTGTGGCCCACTGGATGTTTTGGCTAGAATTCCCATCATCTGTCAACACTGGCTATGCTAGCTAAGACTGATGGGAATTTTAGGCCAAAAAATCTGGAGCACCTCAAGTTGTCCTGCCCTATTATAGAGGAAAAGGAAGGGAAGCAATTGCTTTGACCTCTGTAAACTGCCCCGAGAGAAATGAAATTAATAATAACATTTGGGAGAAATGTTATGGTTTGTCACCAGGTGCATTGGTTGGTGATTGGTTCTTTTTCTTGCTAGGTTTGTGCAATGGCTGCAGCCAAGCTCAACACACTTCTTCAGACCAAAGTACTTGACAATCAAGCTGAGTCTTGCTACCTCCTGGGCAAGCTGGAAGGCATCCTGAGCCGGTCAATCCGAGAAAGGACGGAGACATACTCCTTCTTGATCCCGCTTGTTCGGACCCTTGTTTCCAAAATTTATGACCTTCTCTTCATGAGCTTGCACTTGCCTTCCCTGCCTTCTACAAATGGAAGCCCCTCATTTTTCGAGGACTTCCAGGACTATTGCCACACCGAGGAGTGGCAGGGCTATATTGACAGATACGTAAGTCCTGGCTCCCTGTCTCAGTGTGCATGTTTCTCCCTCTTGCGCAGGAAGGGAAAGGGCCCTCACTCGCTTCTTAACCCTGCTATCCTTTGTGTGCCAGATCATTCCAAACATGAAGCAGTATGAGCTCAGTACTTTCAGCAACGGCCACGAGCAGATGGCGGTATATTGGAAGGACTGCTACGAGGCATTGATGGTGAACATCCATAAGCGAGAGCGGGAGCGGGGAGAAAGCAAACTTTTGTTTCAGGTAAAAGCCTTGCTTTTGTGGGGGGCAGGGGGAACTTGGCAGCAGTTTTCCCAGCAGGATCACCGCCTGGCTGGGAATTTCTCTCTCTGGGCCAGTGCTGGCTCCCAGTTGCAGAGGGCCCTTGGGCAAGAAACCCTCTGTGGCGCTGAGTCTAGTGTGTTACCAGGATGGCTGCCAGCAGCTGCTGCTCCGCTTTGCTGCTGCTCCATCACTGCTGCCACGGGATGGCTTGTCAGGCAGAGAAGCGGGGGGCAAACAGGCAGTGGCACCTGCTTTACTCACACTGTTGATGGGGCCAGAGAAGACAGGGGCACCCAAGCAACACTGAAGAGGAGGAGCAGGTTCCAGGGGCTCTTCTGGAGTATGGGGCCTCATCAGATTCCCAGCTATGCCTGCTTTGGACATCTGCCCTAGCCTGGGCCAAAGTTGGTGTCAGCATCTTGGGACAGGATTCTGCAAGACTGAGTATCAGATGTTGTTGATGGCTTTCACTGCCATACCATGGATGGTGGTGGCAAAATCATACGGGAAAAAGTCACAGGCTCAGCCCTGTGGCAGGCTCCCCCTAAGCTTTCACACCGAGGGACACCTTCCTTCTTTGAAGCAGGTGGTGAATTCTGCATGATCAAGTCATGATTTCACAGTTCTTTTGTGGTTTGGATTATTGTTTTGGAGATCCTTTCAGTCTATCATGGAGCAGGTTTTTTTGATGTCCTTTCGTCATCTCATTCCCGCTTACAGTTCTGTTGGACTGATTTGCACATTTTGTCCCCAGAAATTTTTTGTGAAGCCATTTAACCGAAGGGCCCGGCAGGAAAACCTGCGTTACAACAGCATGCTGAAGCAGCTGCATAACCAGCACACAGCAGCTCTGCGGCAGTGGAGAAGCACCAGGCACTCGCTCACTTGTGAACAAGGCCCCTGGGCTGAGAGGTAGGCAGAGGCGCACCTTTCTCTTGCCTTGTCGGACAGCCTTTTGCATTAGTTGTTGCGTTGTTCTAGTCCTGCTTCACCTGCACTTTAAGATCTGGAACATCCGTGTGAAGCTTGAGCAGGTAGCGCAGTTCCTGATGAGAGCACAACTTGGCAAATGTTACTAAGTTGTGCTTGCAGTATTGCATGCACTTAAACTGAGACCATGGCTTTTTCCCCATAGTTTATCCTTTTATTATCTGGATAATTAAAGCTTTCCAAACAATTCCTGATGGCAGTTCTTGAAATGAACCTACTTGTGTGAAGCTAGGGCTTAGCTGATGAATGAAAAGTGTGTTCCTGATTAATCAGGTAATAATATTGAAAAATCAGTACAAGGATTTACAAGGAGGATTGGAGCCACTGTAGCTGGCGTTTCGTCCTCGTCTTTCTCACTGCACTGAAAATGCAAGTGTATGGCCTCTCCCATTACGGAAGGCCCTTCCTAGGCATCCTCACTGGGCAGACATCAAGTTAAGAATTTCCTTTTGCACCAGGCATTGACTCTTCATCCTGTTGCTCCAATTATTAGCTTTGCTGTGGGGTCTTTGATATTTTTAAAGACTTCTGAGTTCACTGATTTGATATTTTCAGTGTGGTATTGTTTTGGTGCTTGCTTTAGCTGCAAATTGCCCCAGTAATCATAGTAGTGCTAATGCTGGCATAGCTCTCCTGCTCTAATGAAGCAATGTGGGAAAATGCTATGGAGAAAGTGCCTTCTTGCCATTGCAGGTAAATATTGCTGTCTTTTAACTGCTGCAACTCATTTGGGAATGTTGAAACCATCTACACTGAAGTGTGTTTTTTCTCCCCATCCCTTTTCAATACTGCTCCTAACAGTTAGCATTTTGCACCAGGTGTGTGTTTTAGTTTATTTTGGGTATGTTCCTTTCACCAGGCAGCAGAATCTTATTCATTGGAAACTTTCACATGTGGAAAATTATTCACGAATGAGACTAAAATTAGTACAAAATTACAATTTCAACTCTCACCAGGAGGCCAGTGCCCTGAGGGATAATCTAGGTGAGATTTATGGTCTATTTGTGATTATAAGCTAATGTTTTAGAACTTTTTAAAAAGAATTTTTATATCCTGACTCCTCATTGCTCTGTTTTTGTTTGCCTCTAGGAAACTGTGTGTTGTGGTTGTTCTAAAATATATTAAAATACATACAATTCTGAGCAAATCAACCTGCTCATACGTATGACAGAATAATTTAAATGGGATCTTAATGGGTTTTTTTAATGGATTGAGGCATGTTGCAGAAAATATCTTCATCAGTAAATGCTTTGATGCATCCTTCCCCAGCCTAATGTTTACGCCTCCCAATGTTTTTGACTACGACGCCCAGCATTCCTGATCATGAGCCATGTTGCATTGGTGTAAATGTCCTTCTGTGGGCGACTGAGAGGAGTTGCAGTGCAAGAGGCGCCACACTGGGCTCGGGAGGTCTGCTCTAGTGCAGAGAAGCGAGATTTGTCTCACCCAGAATCCTCGCTGTTCCTCCACAGGAGTGCAGCAGGCGCCCCCATCGAGTGAGGCTTTGCTGCTGGAGGCAGTGAAGCAAGTGAAGGTCAGCGATGTGGAGGATGATGTGCTCGAGCTGCCGGAGGAAGAGCCAGCAGCAGGTGCCAACATGTATGTCAGACGACCGCGTGAACCAGTGGCCAGAATCCAAACAGCTGGGCATGGTTGTTGATCTTAAGGGATTTGAATAGCAGAACACTGCCCTTTCCGAAAGGGTCTTCCTTTTGGGAAGTTAATTGGCTTGTGGCTCAGAGAACCTGCTTTTCAAAGGCAGAAGCCCAGAGCACCCTTGCTTGAGCAGTCCTGATTGCTTGAACTTTTCTGTTGGGACTGGGCTCAACTTCCGAGTGAAGTGCAAATGATCTGGCTCAGATGTGGAGGAGGAGTGAGAATCTGCACTGAAGGGTGAGGGCCAGGGGATCCCAAGATAAGCCAGGAGCTCACTGAGAATGAGAGCATTTCAAAGGCGGTGGGAACGTTGAGTGAGCACACTCATAGGAGTGGGGTGAGCGACCATCATGAATTCCAGAGCAGAGCATCAGGTTCAGGAGGCTGACCAGTTGGATGCTCCCAGCGATAGACCTTAAGCAGGAGGCTCCGCCCTGAAGACATGGCTGGCTCTTTGCGTTTAGGAGGGCAGGGATCAAGTCTGAAATCTGTTTCTTATCTTCAAGCTACTTTCCCTTCTAACTTTGCTTGTTCCTGTTGTTATTGACTTCTGCGTACTTCATTTGTACTTTAAAACTAGCCTAGCAGGTCAGCTTTAACACATGAAGCCTTTCAGTTAGAAACCCTTTGCCCTGGTCTGCTTGGAAGGGTGGGGAAAAGAACGGCCTCTACGCTTTTGGATCCTCACTTGTATGTATCTTTGGAAAAGAATTGTGTGCTTGATGTCTCTTGTGCCAGGAGGAGCAAGGCATAAAAATGCCCTCTGTGGGTGCTTGTGACATCATCATCATCAAAACTGGGACAAAACTGATCAAATTTGTCACCTCACCTTCAAAAACTACTTCCTGGAGAAGGGTATTAATCTTTTGAGGGTAAATTTCTAGAGCAGCCTTCCCCACAGTGGCACTGTCTGAACTTATTTTTTGGACTACAACCCCCATCAGCTGCAGCCTGCATGGACAATCATCAGGGGTGATGGGAGGGGAACTGCATTAAGGAAAGTTGCTGTAGAATATTCAGCCCCATAGCCTCATCAAAAAGAAGATGAAATAAATAAAAAATAAAAAAAACCCAGAATTGCTAGGTAAGCAGTAAAAGCCTCCTGGAGGGCCTTTCAAGGTATAGCAAAAGTTGGCTTAGCCTCTCAGGATGGACAGGCTACGATTTGTCTCTCCGCCACTGTCCCCTCCCCTCCCCTCCCCTCCCCTCCCCAGGTTTAGATTGCATTCAAATGTAGGCCCCATTTGTTTGTTATGTTGAGCAGCATGATTGTACATGGGGCAGAATGGGAAATGCCCGCTGGCCCCACAGTTGCCCATCTACCTGCCCTTATTTATTTATTTATTAATTAAAACATTTTTATGCCGCCCCATTTGCCAAAGCCTCGGGGCGGCTTACAACAATAGGTTAAAATAATTATAATGTAAATCAAGAATATAAACATTAAATTAAAAATACAAAAATACAGTATAAAATAAGCCGCCCTGGCCAGATAAAATCCAATAATATTAACATTAAAATTAACTGCCCTTGCCTGTGTGCTCTCCCACTATCTGCACGTTGGAGTCTGCATTTGCAGAGGCTCTTTCAGGTTGTGCAGCCATTTCCATGTGTGGTAACAGGTAATTGGCTTTCTCCAGGAAGGGTTTTTGGAAGACTTTCCCCTTACATGAATGCAAGAGCTGGTGCAAGAGTCAGACACAGGATCACATACTCCTTCCTCGTTGCCTCTTGAACAGCCATAAGCAGCCGATGACTTAGCTCCCTGATGACAGTCTCAGTCTGATGCATCCTGCAGGGTCCGTGTTGGGAAGGCTTTCACCATAGCTGAGGCTAACCAGTTTCCCCCTTAACCAGGATTTGAAGATGGTTCAGAAATCCTAGTTATTGCTGACCACAAGAGATTAGGGCAGGAGTCAAGTCTCATTTCAGAGAGGAAGTGCATCTTCCTCCGACAGAGTCCTTAAATCTCTGATCAGAAGAAACCAGAGCTATCAGAGCTATTTGCTTTGGCCAGAGCAGCCTGAGTTCTGACGTTAAGCATTTTTAAAGCAATAATTCAGATGACTTTCTGAGCTATAAGGATTTTTGGAGCCCCCAGTCGAGGCGGGCTTGTCATTTGGTTTTGCTGTTGCAGGGATGAGAAGGAAGAACAGAGCCAGAAGGAGAAGCTGGTACTGTCTGAAGACTGTGAGCTTATTACGATAATGAATATAATACCAGGCCGGCTGGAGCTCACGACTCAGCACATCTATTTCTATGACGGCAGCCTCGAGAAGGAGGAAGGTGAGGCTATCTGTGTCTCGCTGCACAGTCAAGCGGCGCTCGTGCTTTAATTTCAGAGCCAATTCCATGCACAGCCAGCAAGTACAGAGCGTGACAGTTGAGAATACAGCACAAAAGGTGGCCAGGTTGCAGTCCTGCATTGAACAGGAACAGGTTATTGAACAGGAATGCCCAGCAACACTTGTGGGGATTGTGTCACTCCGTGTGCATTCTTCTCTGTTGTTGTCTGCACTTTTAAATAAAACTCCGTGGGTAAAGGCAGGATATGCCACATGGCCTTTTGCTGGCTTACTCTGATCTTTCATGGGACATGTTGCACTTGTAGGAAACTGTACGAGCACAGAAGTTGGGATTTGGGATGTGCCAGTGATGTTTGTGCAGAGGGAGGTGGTTGGAAGGCTGGGATGGTAGAAGAAGAGCGTGTCCATCAACCACAGCCTGGCAAACTACAGATAAGTTGGACTGCAACTTCCATCATCTTCAGTTAGCAGCCTGTTGGGTATGTTGGTTGGGGGTGATGAGGGTTTAGTTGGGAAGGGCTGAGGTTGATGGAGCAGTGGTCACTAAATTGCAGGGAGGTATGCTTCCGTTTTAATGATTTTTGATCTTACTGGTCATGTAGAATGTGTGTAGCTTTGATCAAGAAGAATTAGCAAGTGTTCGTATTTTTAAAGTGCAATTTATGTTCCAGACAGATGGAATGGGTGTTTTATTTTGACTTATGGTGTATTTATATGCCTAAGATGTCACATTTAATGGCCTTGATTCAACAAATGTTAAAATGAAAATCAAATTCTGTTGTTTATGGACATTTTTAGACCTGTGGACATTTTTCCAGCAAAGTTTTCACCTGTTCCGTCTCTAGAACTGTTTCTTCTCAGAGACAGTTTCAGCTTTCTGTGTCATGTTTCCAGATTCCTTTGGCTTGCATGTACTCTCAGCATATCTAAGAACCATAACTAAAGTGCTTCTATTTCCAGGTATAGGTTTTGATTTCAAATGGGCGCTCTCTCAGATTCGAGAGATTCACTTGCGTCGCTACAACTTGAGGAGGTCAGCCTTGGAGATCTTTTTTATTGACCAGACTAACTACTTCCTTAACTTTAAAAAGGAGGTAAGTAATTTCCCTGGGCAGAATTGGGATGAGGGCTTTACAGTGGTTTTTCTCCTGCTGAGCTCCGCTGCACAATTCAGAGCATATTTCTGACAATGCCAAAAGTCAGATCTTGCCAAGCATGTGATGAATTAATTTATTTATCAGATTTTTATCCCACCTCATTAGCCATAAGGCTCCCTGGGTGGGTTACACGTAAACCAATGGGGCTCTTCTCATCTTTGTACTTTTAAATGTACACCCAAGATGTTTTTAAATGGAAAGCTAAACATATACAGTCAAAAGGAAACAAACAAGTGGATGAAAACGGTGTACTATATAGACATGTCCAACAAAAAGCCAGGGTTGATGGCAATGCTTTATCTGTCTGAATGGAAGAAGTAGAGACTCAACAGTGTGGTGGACTTGGTTCTGCTGCTGTACTTTCAGCGTGTAGGTAAACAAACAGGTATGCTGAGAAAAAGCAGTGGTTTTGCTAGAATGGCACTACAGGAGCACACATGTGTGACAGTCTGCAAGACAGCAGGTCTCAAGACCCTTTACAGGCTGCCTGGAATTTACACATGTGACTAAGTGTAAGAGAAAAGCATAACTAAGCACACAATAATTTTCCAAGTTACTCACTCTACATGGCTTTCATAAACAAACCTTGCCACAAACAGCAACGTTTCTCAGTAAAAGAAATATTTGTCGCAAGAATTTGGGGCTACGAGTATGCAGGCAAAAGCAAACTTCCTTTCTCTGTGCTCTGCTTCTTCTACACTGCTGCAAAGGTCACCTCATCCTGACCTAACACCTTTCCCCACACTGATTCCTAACAGTACCATTGCCAAGACGCATGTGGAACTTGTTTATAGGAAGCGGCTCCATCATGTGGACCAGTACCACAGTCAGATTGCCAAAGACTCATCTCACAGTGCGGAAATAGTGTTGCTTGAGCCTTTCACTGTGTGACCAGCCAGCTGAGATTTCTGTACAGATAACAAAATGTGGGGTCTTCTTAATTTCATATCATACTTAAAACCAATCCCTTAGAAAAAGATGCCACACATTTTCTGAATTCAGTAGTCCTCTGTAGTATAAAATGTAAAGATTTGCATACTTTTTTATTCTCAAGGTTTGATGTGTAATTCTTTCAGGTAAATCTGCACTAAAGATTAGACATGATGTTAAGCTGTCATACTGGCTGTTAAAATGTAGGCGTTAAAATAAATTCTTAGGATTGGCCTTTCGAAATAAAATAATTTACGTAGGTCAGGAGTTACCAACTTCTTTGGGACTGGCAGCACATGTGGCAGTAGAAGGAAGTCTTGTGGGCAGGACCTCAAAATGTATTCTGTAGAACAAGAGATAGGCTAGTAAGAAAATGGCTGCCCTCGAGTCACAGGAGAGGGAGAGGAGACATAAAACATCCCTCCCCATTGCCCACCCCTGCCACCATGCAAGCTCCTTCAGTGATTTCTGCATTCATTTGCGTGAGGCAGGGGATGCATTGCTGAAAAATGGCTGGAGAGAGGAAAGCCCACCTATCCTCATAGGGACCCTGATGCTCCATGGTCTTTGGTAAGGGGTGGGCTGCCCCCTTCCCCAGCTGTCCTTTGGACAGTAATGTCAATGGAGAGTGGTTTAGTTCACTAGCAAGAGTGGTGCAGGGGGAGAGGGGGAGGCTCCGGAAGATAATTCAACATGACCTTAGAGATGCAGGGGTGGACGTCATGTTGGGGCTGCCAGGGATGGGTAGATATCAGATGCTACTTTGCTAGGAAAGTGGAAAGCAGGATTCATAGAGATTCAGGTATAGAGTGGCATAGAAATTAACGATGATGATGATGATAGAGCTATACATCAGTAAGGAACAAATGTCCATTCTTTGGAGAACACTGACTTCGCATTTTATTGGCTGACTTACCTAATAAACTTTCTTTATCTTACAGGCAAGAAATAAAGTATACAGCCGAATTCTCTCTCTGTGTTCTGCAAATATAAGTGGGACCAGATCACCTCAAGAATTATTTAAGGCATCGGGACTAACTCAGGTTGGGTAATCTGGCCAGGAATTACTTTATTTTCTGTTTAACTGGTGTCCTATGATGAGAGAGAACCTCAGTGGCTCTCTGGCTTGGGAACGCATAGAAACCTGCTTTGCTCTTAAGAGCAGCATTTTAGTGCATCGTTGCAGTAATTTTAAACTGAAAAGTTACATGCAACTATTGAAAATGACTATTTAAATGCTATGCTCTTGTACTCGTTCTTGTCTCTATTAAGAAAAGTCTGTTTGATGAATGATTTAGTGAGCCCCATTTGGCCTCATCCTAGTAAGTCTCATGTCAGCTCCATCCTGGAACTGTTGTACATTGAGTAAAGCGTTCTTTCCACATGAAAGAGGTTACACCAATAAGGCAGGCAAGCTTGTACATGCAGATCCTATCATTTGTTAGTGGCTGTGCGGCTCCAGCACTGCCCACACTTTTTGGGCCCTGGTTCTGATGCCTTGTACAGGACTACTGCTCCCAGAGTGATGGAAGCTCTAACTACAACTTCCATAAGCCCCAGCCAGCATGGCTAAGGAACAGGCTTGCTGCAAATCATGGTTCAGTGCATTCAGAGGGCACCAGCTTTCCTCTGTTGACGGAGACAGAGCTGTTCATCTTTCCTATGTTGGCTACATAGTTGTGTAGAAGCTAAAGGAATTTGGAAGTAGAACTTTGGGATTTTGCTTTCAGCGTTTCCCCTTAGAGCCATTGAGATAGAGCGGGATAAAAATCTAAAGAAATGTGAAATGTAAATGCTTCCTTGATTTTTTCATGTTAAGGCTGCAATCCTATGTATGCTTAAATAGAAAAAAGTCCTTAATCTTCCAGTGTTTGCCTCCCAGGATTGACTGGGAGTTTTCGGGACCTTTTCTCTGTCTCAAACTTCCATAGTAAGATGTGTGATGTACTGTGCTACTCAGGCGTAACTTCAATGTTGCATTTTTTTAATCTTTAGAAATGGGTGAATAGAGAAATGTCCAACTTTGACTACCTCATGCAATTAAATACTATGGCAGGAAGAACCTACAATGACCTTGCACAATATCCAGTTGTAAGTTTTTCACCTTGACATTTGTTCTTGACTAGACACACACTTTTATTTTTTTAAAATCAAAAGTCTGTTGTAGATCTGAAGGAGACCTTTTCTTTATTCCTCTTCAAGTTTCCTTGGATCTTACGAGATTACACTTCAGAAGAATTAGATCTTAATAATCCAGCTGTGTTTCGGGATCTCTCCAAACCCATTGGTGTGGCAAATGAAAAGAATGCCAAGGCTGTACAGGAAAGGTATTTAATTTAAACTAACCATTGACAGAATTTAGGTACCATGTTCTGATTGTTTTATCTTTCTATCCTGACTGGTAACTGTGTGTTGGTTCAAATGGTAGCAAAGAAGTTAATGAAAGCAGCATAGGTGTGAGAATTAAGTTACTGCAGCATTTAAAGATAAGGCAAAAGAAGAACTGGTGCTTTATTTAATAACGATGTTGCTAAAATGACCACAGTTTGCTGCTGAGACTTTTGTGGTATACAGTTTGACACAGACATACTAGCTTTTCAGAAAAGGGGTATTGTAGAACTGGTGTAGTGTATATATATGTCCATTCCAATCAATAAGATAGATTACCAAATGGTATATAAAATTGGAATGTTAGTATTGATTTGTTTGAAGTAGTTTTATCCTGCTCCTCAGCCTCTTAAGGCTCCCAGAGCCGGCTTACAGACAAGCTGTCCCTGTCTGCAGTCTAAAAAAGAAACCACACACAAGGAAAAGGGGATGGGGAAGGAAGAGGAGAAATGTTAAGCAGACTTTCAGAAGGGCCATGGGATGGCACTGCTTCCTCTTCCATACTTGGTGGGTGGGACAGTTCATCTGCAGCTGGCCCCAGTGCCCCTTTGTCCACACCTGTCTCCCTTGCTCTGACTTCTGTTGATGTCAGCTAGCCCTAAGTTACTACCTTCTGTCTTTAAAATATAGGGCAGCAGGCAATGCCTTTCAGAGAACCCATTGTAAATCCAGATATTGTGTTACATTATGTTTTTGGTGATTGCTGTGAAGCACAGCTTACTTTCAAGCTGATGCTTCAAAATTCTGTGTGGTGCTCTGGATTTGCTCCAGCACGCTCTGTATTTGCTGCAAGTGACTTCCTTGCAGCAGTGAAAAAATTCTGCTAGTTTCACAAGTAGGGAAACCGGTTGCTTCTTTCTCTTTCTTTTCCAAAGATACGAAAACTTTGAAGATCCCCTTGGAATTATTGACAAGTTCCACTACGGTACTCACTACTCCAACGCTGCCGGGGTCATGCATTACCTCATTCGTGTAGAGCCTTTTACCACCTTGCATATTCAGCTGCAGAGTGGCAGGTACGGCATGAAGAAGCCTATCAGTCTCGCTGCAGCCCTTATGGATTGTCCATCTGTCTGCTAAACATGCACATCTTGGATGCTTTCCTTATCTTAAAGAACTGGTAGCGCTGTGACAATATGGTGCTGTCTCCACAAGCTTAAGACTGAAGGCTGTTCCCTGAGAACGGGTTTGTACACACATTTCAGAGAAGCCCAAACAACCCAAAAGCGTGGGTTACTGGCTTATTTTAGCATAATATGCCTTGCTCCTGGGCCATCCATAAAATGACAGCGAGCACGATGCATAGTGGTTAGAGCATTGGATTGGATCTGAGAAGACCCAGGCCCAAACTTCCAATGAGCCATGGGATGCCCACTGGGACTGGTTAGGCTAGTTACTCTCTCTCTACCTGACCGTAAAATGGTGCGGCTTGGAGGGATGGAGTGTGTATGCTGTCCTGAGCTCTTTGAATGAAGGACCAGAATAAGAGTATAATAATAAAAGGTGAGGCTGCAACTCAGCTCCCCTCCCTTATTTCTCAGTAACTGTACTTAAGACTGTGCTGAAAAAACACCACTATGAGAAATTGGATTTACTGACAACGCTAAAATTAGAAAGGGAGCAAAAGTGATAGAAAATAAAATTACTGCCTTCATATAATACAATATGTGCAGCCTTTGCATATCAAGGGATAGTAGCCTCTTGGATTTTAAAGAGAAGGGCTTGCAATGTTCCATTTATCTAATGTGTCAAGATATGCAAATGTGCTGGCAAAATTTGTAATGGTCACACACCCCATTTCTCACCACATGCTTGGTGCTCTGCTCCAGAATCCTGTTTGTATATTAATTCTCGAGCAGAATTCTTGAGTGAACCACTGAGTTCTCTTGAGTGTTTTGCACACAGAGTCGTATTCTTCCTGCTCTGTGGATGTGAGAGTGAAGCTTTTAGTCTGAAGGGGAAGTCCATCCATGGATTGCAGCCATCACCCGCCACCCATGATTGTAGGATTGGGGCAATCAATGGTATTGAAATGCCACAAGCCCTGCCATGTAAGAGTCATTTCATTGTAGCAGCTTGTTACGTGGTGTGCTTTTGTTGCACCCAGATATGAGCCCACATGTTCCAGCGTCTGCAGATGAGGTGTTGTGAGACATCAGCATGCATTTTGAGAGCATTTGTGGCTCAGAAGGCAATGCCTTCCCACACTCAGATACTATAGGTTTGCAGAGATCCAAGTCTCTGCAAAATGATTTTATAGGAATTAGCTGACCAAACAGAACTGGTAACACACCCACCAGGAACGCTCCAGCCTTCCCTGAGTTAGGCCTTGATTGGGCAATCAGCTGCATTCCAGGCCTAAAAGTAGTTTTGGAGGCCTTCTCTCAAGGGCTGAACAATAAGCACACAAAAAAGGGGGCAAGGAAGGAGTGGAGGTTATACTTGCACCTAGGAACCTTCGGGGGCAGTATGCCTTTACCTGGGTTGCAGCACTTCCCAGCAGACAAGAACTAGAGAGCATCACGATCCAGTACAAACATCTTACCAGCTCTTGCAGCTCACTATTTTTTTTGCTCCATTTTTACTCTCACCGTACCTGCTGTGTGACATGCAGCTCTTGTGCCCCTTTTATTTCTATAATTGGAGGTCACTCACAGGCTTTTCAAAACACGCCCTCTCTTTTATAACCCACAGGTTCGACTGTGCTGATCGGCAGTTCCATTCCATCCCTGCCACCTGGCAAGCTCTCATGGAGAATCCAAATGATGTGAAGGAGCTAATCCCAGAGTTCTTCTACTTGCCAGAGTTCTTAGAGAATCAAAACAGTAAATAGTCAAATCTGTAATGGAGTATAGAGATATTGTTTTTTGACTGTGTGTTTCCCTGAGGGGAATCTTATCTTTAGCTGTTCCAGGAAACTGCTTGGCTAAAATTGGGATCCTGTGGTTACTGGACTGGTAGAAAATCAGATTTATCTCTTAAAAAGCAGAGACATTTAAGCCAAGTTATAATTTGACACTCGTCTAATAAACCGTTGTGTTCCTAAGTTGGGCATGCTGCACCTCTTTCAGTCCAAGGGTCCATACAGGTTAACAGCAGAGAAAATTTCAGGCCGTGATTCAATACTGGGCAGGGCTGAAGGCAAAATGGGCACAGCTGAGCTTAATTTTAAAAATATCCCCATATTTTACCTTAAAGCTTTTACTGTCAGTGACCAGCCCTTGGGAGAGGCATTTTAAAAAGCTGCATAAAAGCTGAGAAGCCACCTAAAGATTGCTGGCAGGTGAAAGGAAATAGACTTGGGAGAAAGTAGTGTGACTCTATAGATCTCTCTGTAGGACTGGATTAGGCCCTGGGCTGAGGCTTCTCACCCCTGTCCTCCTAGCTGACCCTCCTCGCCCCAAGCAATCTGGCTCTGGTAAATGCTTGGGTTTTTTTGTGTGTGTGTGGTTATAGCAGGAGAAACCATATTGTCTCATCTGCATTGTACAGATTTCAACTTGGGTCAGCTGCAGATCTCAAAAGAAGTGGTGAATCATGTCATCCTCCCCAAATGGGCCAGTTCTCCGGACGACTTCATTTATAAACACAGAAAAGCCCTGGTGAGTTCTTGCCGCCCCTTGCCCATCCCCACCCTGCCAGTGAAGTAAACAAAGAGTTGGAAATAAATTTTGCAGATGATGCTAAGGAAGCTCAAGAGTAGCTGCACAGCACACAGTCCTTCCTTCTGAAGTGACTGAACTGGCTGGGTACTTGTCCTGCTAAGTTCTAGCTGTTCTCCCCTGGTTGTTGTATTGTCAAAATGCATGACAGAAAAATGAGAGCTATAAATATATGCAAGTTGCTTCCTGTTCTTTTGTATATTCAAAGGTTTACAATGAATGGTTCAAAACCTATAGAAAGGTGTGGGTGCTGCCTGGCAAACTCTTTCTGTTTTAGCAGTTCTTGTTCCGTATGTTATTGTTCCTGTTAAAATTTATGCATCACTTCCCACTGCAAAGCGCAGCCTCAAAGTCTCAGTCTCTCTCTCTCTGTCTTTCTCTTTCTCTCTCTCTCTCTCTCACACACACACACACCATAATTAACATCACAGAAATGTGCTCAAGCCAACTAGCAACTCTAAAATAAAATGTGAAACCACAATGGGGACAAAAACACAGAGGTAAAATGCCACTGAACTGAGTAAAAACAGCCAGTTGACCATTTTGCTACATTGGAAGCAATTCAAACAGTCTACTTCTGTGGTTTTGAGGTGTGAATTGCTAGGTTGCAATTCCTGTCATCAGTGCTGACTTATTTCATTTATTTATTTCTGTAGTTTAAATTATCTCTTGCTTTTCTACCAAAATGGTACTCAAGATAGCTAAACGTAAGAAATACAGAAAAACAGATAACATAATGCAAATGTAACTATGACTACTACTACCACTATTATTATTTACATTTCTATACCACCCATAGCCAAAGCTCTCTGGGCAGTTCACAACATTTAAGTCACCCATCCAGATTTCAACCAGGTCCAGCCCTGCTCAGCTTCCAAGAATAGGCAGGAACAGTCTCTTCAGGTTATTTAGTTAAATTACAAGTTAACATTTTAAAAAGAACAAAGAAATAAGCAACACCCACCATTTAAAACCTAGTTTTGCAAACAAAACACCCGGCCTGAAAAAACAGTCTCTGCCTGTTATCAAAGGAACAAAAGGATCTGGCTGACTGGCTGGATTTTCCTGGATAGATTGCAGGCATTTATGTTTATTTTTTATATTTTATTTCCACATAGGAGAGCATGCTTGTATGTAGAATACACTGAACTTAAGAATAAATTTATAGGGGTGATATCTGACTTTTAAACTTGAGTTGTAAATATGTTACCAACTTGTGTTTGGATTTTTTACTTTTTTTAAAGAGAAAAATTGGATCTGAAGGGTGATGGTTTTGAAGAAATTGCATTCTGAAATTTGTTGTTCTTTCCTTTGTTTAGGAGTCGGAATATGTCTCTGCTCATCTTCACGAATGGATAGACCTGATCTTTGGCTATAAACAGAGGGGGCCGGCTGCAATAGAGGCACTCAACGTCTTCTACTACTGTACTTATGAAGGTACTAGGCCGTACGCTGGAGTACCTCATTGTGGCGTGAGATGCAGCCCAGAGAAAGTGCAGCATTTACAAGAGTGCAGTGCTGACTGTTGGCGTTGCTTATTTGCAATGTGCCTTGTGTTCCAGGAGCTGTAGATCTGGATGCCCTGAGTGATGAGAAAGAAAGGAAAGCTTTGGAAGCGATGATCAATAATTTTGGACAAACACCTTGTCAGCTACTGAAGGTAAATAAAGCCCTTGCGAGCAGTACAGAACACTGGTGCCACATCTTCACAGTTCCCACACAGAACTGCCCATGAGGTTTTGTCAACTTTGCCTGCCAGGTGAGTGGAGCAGGAGTGAAGTACAGAAGAGACACGTGAGCCCGAGGATTGCTGCAGCTCTTGCTATGGATAGAAATGGGGATGTGTGTGTAAATGTCCAGGCAGGGTCTAACTAAGTGCTTATACAGAGCTGGGCATTTAAATTTGGCTAGAGACACTTTTGGCCAGAGACTCAGAGCTGTGATTCCCAGTCCTGAGGTAAGAGCACTCTCTTTGACATTAGAGGTGGGAAGCAGAAATGCCCCCTGGCTCCACAGACACTGTCTTGGGGCCACAGCTGCAGGATTGAGTCACTGGCTCCACTCCTTCCACAAATTCTTGCATTTGTTGCCTCCCAGTTTTGTGGGCAGTTAGATTCACCCCTGACTTGGACCCCTGACCCCTGACATCACCCCTGACATCCACAGCTGTGGCTTCCACTGCTTTTGAAATTTTACTCCAGGAGCCTCATCCTGCAAGGTTGTCTGCCGAGGAAGTGATGCAAAAGCAAGCCAGAAATGAGAGCTCCACCCTCAACCTGTTCCAGCATCTCTCTGAGCTGAAATCCTTCTTCATCGAGGTAATTGCTGACAAGCTCACACGTGATTTAGCCTTATTAAAAACTTGCTGTGTCTTTCACTCTTTTAATTTTAATGATCAGAGGCTTAGAGAGGGGTGCCTTGGGGAAGCCATTTCATCCTTTGAGTATGTGCACTCATGGGGAGGGATTGCACTGAGTTGGGAAACAACCAAAATATCATTGGTCACAGAAAGGGAGAACCCAGGAAGACCCTTTTTGCCCCCCTCCCTGGCCTGAGCTCTTGCACCTGTTTTACAGGAACCGCCAATCTCTTAACCTTCCCTCAGTGTGTAAGAGGGAAGGTTTTAACCCCTACAAATTCTGTAATTAAGGAAGAAAAAAAGAGGAGAGAAAAATAACTGTACATAATATAGAGCAGGGTTCTCAAACTGTTTAAACAGGGGTCCAGTTCACTGTCCTGCAGACTGTTGTGGGGCTGGACTATAGTTTGAAAAAAATATGAATGAATTCCTATGAGAGATCGTTTTTTCCGAACGAGTCCAAAAGCTCTGAGGAGGGCTGGATAAATGAGCGTGGCGGGCCGTAGTTTGAGGCCCCATGATATAAGAGTTGCATCCAGGCTACCTGCTTGTGCCCTGCCTGTCGCAGCCCTTCTTGGGCCATTGGTTTGACTTTTTATTGCTTGTAAAGCTGCAAGTGCACTTTTTGGACACAGCAGAAATAAATGAGGAATTGGAAGCTGTATTTTTGTGCAGTCCTTGCTCTGGATGAGTGACCAGAAAGACTAATTGTACGGGCAGGCTATAGGTCCGGGTTAGCCTGCCAAATATGTCTGCCCTATCTTTTATTAATGTCAGCTGAAATTCTCTCTCTCTCTCTCTCTCCCTCTCTCTCCCTCTCTCTCTCTCTCAGGGAATCAGCGATGGGATACCATTTGTTAAGGCTGTAGTCCCTAGAAACCAGTACCGTTCTTTTATGTCACAAGGGAGCCCAGAGATTTTGGTGAGTCTGGCCAGCAGAAACGTCAGTGCTGAAAGGATTTCGTCTGTGGAATTGCTAAGGTGGAATGATGCAGCTGGTTGTGTGCTTGTCCTCTATAACAGTAGAAAATGGCATCTTGGACTGGTTTGTTCTGAGCTAGTTTGGCCTTTAGGGAAATAATGGCAGTCAATTCAAGAAAGCTGATTAGATGATTTTATCCACTGACTTATTTCCAGAAGTGGGTGCTGTAGCTGCACATCGATCAGAATGAGTGGGCAGAATCCAGTGCTGTTGTGCAGGTGGCCATGGCTGCTGGAGCACTGGGCGTGTGGCACTTGCTGCAGGAGAGTGAAAGGAGCAGGCAGAGAAGGAGGCTGTGCTGTGCTTGGCTTTGGCCTTGTTATTAGGCAAGGGTAATGTGTACTCTGTTGGTAGACCAGAAGGTTTTGCTGTCTTCTGATACACATGTGCTTCTGAAGGTAACAGTGAGTCTGAACTGCATTGTGGGAACCCATGGGTGGCTGCCCTATGACCGCGGCATCTCCAACTATTTCACTTTCCTCAAAGATCAAACCGTGACCAATCCCAAGTGAGTAACGAGCTTTCTTTTTCTGGAGTGAACGGTGATGCATGTGTCATGGACTGGGGGCCCCTCTTTCAAATTCATGAAGTGTTGTCCTTAGTTGGGAGAAAACTCACTGTATTTGGGCACGGATTTATACTGCTGTGCATGCATAATGCGTGTGCCTGTCTGCTACATACGCACGGGGACATGTTTCCAATGGAGGATGGAACTCATGCAACTGGCAAAGCAAACTTTGGTAGTACCAGGATTGGGTTGACAGCCAATGAACCCCCTCCATCAGAGACAGCGCTACCTTGAGGGAGTCAAGCCATGCCCGCCTCTTACCTTTTGGCCAAAATGCTGGAGGAGTCAGGGAATTCCTGGTTGAGGAATCCACACATGCAGCGAGGCTGAGCTGACCAAGGCCCCTTGGCTGCTCTGATGGAAACTTGAAGGAGGCTTGTTTGGTTCTGCTTGTCCTGCCAGCCTTCTCCTTGCAATGGAGGAAGGAGGAAGGGCAGCGGGAGCAGACCCAGCCAAGTCCTTTCTATGCATCTATTGGAGCAACAGAGGGGAAACAGACAAGCGGGCTTGCCCTGGCTTGTCTCCTCACTTCCTCTCACTAGGTCTGGCATGGGCCTCAGGCACTTTGTTGCCCTCATCAGCCTTTCCACCACTGGCCCACAGGGTTTTTGATCACCAAGGGAAATTCCCTATCCCTGAATTAGATCTCCAAATGGAATTAATTTTCTGTGCCCTTATGAATACAGAACATAATTAGCCACGTTTTAATATTTTTTAAGGGAATTCTGCTCTTTTGCAATGCTGTGTCTCTGATACATAGTCCAACCTATCTCTCTCTTGTCATCTGCCACTTGGGGCTTGCCTTATTAACCTTTTCTTAAAGGCTGCCTCCCCTTATACTCATGGGCAAAGTGTTTTCTTACCTTTCTTCCAGCCATCCAATGCTTTTGGATCCCACCTCCCCCTGCCCATCCCAACTCAGATCACAAACATTTTTAAAAATCTGAGCCCTTATGAAGGCAGGAACATGTTCACCCACTATATATATATGGGTCCGACTCTCCGTTGCAGGGGTGCAAGTTCACTTCTCTGATGTCCCCTCTACCAATTTGGTGCATCCCTTACCAGCTGGCAAACGCCAGTTTTTAAATGGCTGCTTCACTTTACAGTGGAGTAAACCTCCCCGCCCCCGAAATGCCTTCTCCTTCTGTCATCCACTTTGGGCTCCCATTTCCCTCCCTCTTTGTTGCTTCCATCAGTTACTTGCTGTCACATCTGCATCAGGGTTGCAAAACAGTGACTGAGATCACTGAACACACACAACTGTTGTGGCAAAAGCAGCAGCATGGAAGGGAAAATTGGGGCACTCTCATGGCAGAAGAATACAATGGGGCTGAAAACTGCACAAATTTCAAGGCCAGGGACAAAAATTGTGCAGATTTGAAGTCAGCTTTCTTTTGCTCCCATGCACTTATGCAGGATTGAAAATAAGAACAATAGAAGTTGTAGAAGTGTTCAGGGTGCGCTACAGTTTTCTTCCTTTGCTACTTTTAAGCACACAGGGTAGACGGCACTGAGAGGGAGTGAGGAAGGATGATGGCAGTACTAGTGAGTCCACGAGAAGAGCCACGGGGTTTTGCTGCTCTTCCTGGTCAGCCCTGTAGCTGTCGCTGACAACCTGCAAGGAAGTGGCCCCACTGGGTTCAGACCATACAAAACCCCCAGGCATCAACAACCCTGAAAAGGCCATGGATTCTCTTTGTTTGGAGAAAGAGCCATCCTAGTAAAACTGTGCTGGGTCCTCACAGCAAACCACCATCACTGATCAGTGCAGGTGCATCTTGCGCGCACCAGGACAATCTGTTTGTGAACTTCGAACGTTTAGATAAGACATATTCAAAACACGCATGCGTGCAGTGAGTTTTGTGTATTGAGATAAATTATGTGTGCGCGCACACGCACGCACACATTTCTTTTTATTCATTACTGTTTCAAATTATGAGTTGATATATAACCAATACCAGGGCAAAATGCAAAGGAAAGAACAATACAAGCACAGATTTTAAAAAAATAATAAAACACGTTGAAATGCATTACTTGAAAAACAGCAACAAAAAAGTGTACATGTAAAAACAAAGAAGATTTTTTTTTTTAAAGCAGCAGTGCAGACATTAAAAATAAAGCAAGCTGTGAATTGAAAGCCTGAGAGCATAAAAATGGTTTTTGCTGGGCACCAAAAACTCTGTAGAGTCAATGCCAGGTGACTCCAATACGCTCTTGGGAGAGAATTCCACAATTTGGGAGTCACCGCAGATAAAAGGGCGTTTCATTTTGCATTCTGTATAGATAAATGCAGGTGTCCCCCACTTTTGATAATTGCACCATTCAGTGACTTGGCTTGAGCATTGTAGGTCAGAGAAACAATGTGTTTCAACAAATAGCCGATGCAGATCTTAACATACGGAATTGTTGCAGAACGCAGCGAAGTGTCAGTGGCCCTTTTGCACCTGGACTGGAGCTGACGCCCAAACTGTTCGTGGCATCTCATGATGCAAAGCTGCTTTTCAGTGGAGGCCACTGGGACAACAGCATCAGGGTGACATCACTCACCAAAGGAAAATTGATGGCACAGCATATTAGGCACATGGGTAAGTCGTTTGGGATAAAGGGAGCCTGCATTTTAATGAGCAAACAAAGAGAAAAGGTGGCTCAAGCAGGCTGCTTTCACCAGATTGTGCAAGTAAAGCGTGGACTAGCACTACAAAAGGAGTTTCTTCACTGAACGGGTACTTCCTGTTGCAGAGATTTGGAGTTGCCATTGTCATTTTGTTGTGACCATCGTTCTGCCTCCTATGCTTGTCCTGCTAATCCCATTAGGTAATTCATGCACAAATAACTGACTGTGTGCACTGTATAGATGTTCCCTTAGTCCCTCAGTCTTGATGAAGAATACAAGTAAAATCTCTTGGCCAGCAGCAAAGCACCGTGCTCTGTGGCAGCACGACAGCCTGCCTGTATTTCTGGATGCTGTTTCTCAGCCCGGTATAGCAACATGTTTGTGGATTAGTAGTAAAGGATATTAGATAACGTACTTTTCAGTGCTGTCATGCAAATTAGGGTTATCACTAAAAAGAGCTAGGCTGGACTGGCTCCACATATCTATGTATGTATTTTATATCTGTATCTGTATCTATATCATCTATATCTACCTTACCTATACTTATCACACCTTTCATCCTAGGCGCTCTCGATCACAGTCCCACTCCCTTTTTCCTAGGGATGTACAAGCATTTCATTATGTTTGCAATTCATGAATGTGATTGCATTCACATTCACAAAAATAAGGTGGGACTCTTCCTCCTCCTCCTGGGCACAAGACCCACAGAGATTGCTGGGCTTGTTTGACAACATAACTACCATTTCATAACTCTCACTAACTTAAATGGGTCTCGCACAGAAGACATGCCTTGGCTGCTAATGTTAATGCTTTTTAATTTGGCTGCAGGTTTGTGGAACTGATTTGATTGGCAATGTGGAGCTCCAGCTCCATGTTGTAAAATTTGGTGCCCAGAGACTTCCTCAAATCAGGTGCTTTAAAGCTCTGTCATTTCCTCTACTAATTGCTTTCTCTTTCACACACAAACACAGATATTGTGACGTGCTTAGCTATGGATTTCTGTGGAATCCATTTAATATCCGGCTCGAGAGACACCACTTGTATGATATGGCAAATAGTCCAGCAGGTAAGTTACATTTTTGGGTACTTGGTTGGGAAAGCAACATTCAGGGGACTGGAAACAGTGGACAGTGCACTTTTCAGATGGTGAAGCTGCAAGCAGAGGAAGCGCTAGTATGTCTTTTGATGCTGGGCATGTTTGCTGAATTGTCAGGAATTTTACAAAGTGGGAAAAGGCAACTTGTGGATCAGAACACTTGAAGATCGGCCGTGCACATGTGTCAGCGAGCTCTGAGGACAAACGTGCGGTGCATTTGAAGAGGCCGCCGCTAGCACATAAAAGCTTGTGCCTAGGTGCCAAAAGGCACTCTCTGTCCTTTTAGCTGTCACCTCTGGGAGCTTTCAACTGTGCATTTACAGTTGTCAGTCTCTTGTTCACAATTTGGTGCTTCCTCCAAAGAACAAGTAAGAGAGAGGTGACAAATTGGACCTGCTGCTGCACAGGGTGAGCAAGGCCAGAGCAACGTCCCTTGAGGAAGATCACTTGCCGTTTCTTCATGCGTAGTGCACACACCTTTCGTACAACTCCTTCTAAAATTCACCCTGAGATTGGATGCTGGATTCTGCCTTCCCATTTGCACTACCAGGTTCCAGGAGTCCCCAAAGCAGGTGCTTCCCACGGGACCCTCCCCCAGCACCCTGCCAGCCAGTCTGTTTCCTTCTCCTTGTCCTTCCCTCCCTGCCCCTGCCAGGCCACTAGCAAAGGAAAGTGAGGTGGCATCAAGGATGTGGGAGGAGAGGGGGAATAACTGGCAGTGAACTGAACCTGTTGACTTCTGCCTTTTAGGGAGGGATGCTGTGTTTTTTAGTGAGCATGGGTTGTTGTGAAGTGTGAGTAGGGGCTGCGTCACCAAGAATATCCTGGTTTTGCAAGTGCCCTGCAGTGCCCATGGGTTGTTCTTGGGTCCTCAACAGGGGTGGGTTGTCATGTCTCCCTGATCCGGGAGATGTGCCCCACTGGTGTGAGCCCCAGTGGCCAAAGGGCCCCTGAACAAGCGACTGCTGGGTGGTTGCCACTGGCGGCAGCCTCTGACGCACCCAAGCTGTACCTGGGGGCCACTAGCCAGACGCTTTCTCCCACCTGCAGTGGCACAGAGTGGCCATCCTTGCAGGTGGCACAGCAGTAGGCTACTCAGAAGGGTGACCACATGGGGTCCTCCTCTACGAGGGGCACGGGGAGAAGGACCAGCAAGGAGGATCGGATATTGGCACTGGCAGGCCCAGAGGTTTATGTGTGGGCTGGCTGGGAGGCAGGAGAGGCTGATCCGCCCCACAGTGCTATCTGCCTGGGGCACTGAAGTGGGGCAGATCAAATGACCCCTGTCTCCCGCCTGAGAGGCCTCCTGCTCGCGGCCCCAGTGGCCATGGGGTGGGAGGGTGCAAACAAATCAGCTCTTGTTTGTGCTTTGTGGCAGGAGTCTGGTTTGCACTATGGGGACAAAGAAGGAAAACACAATTTGTTTTCTGTAGGGCAAACAGGGCTCCGCTGGAGCACAATGCATTCAACTTCCAGCCGAGGTGAGATGGAAAGTTCTTCCCTCTGCAACCAACATATGCCGGACCTGTTAACTCTTTACCCACCCTGGTTGTTTGATTTTGCCTTGTCTTTAACTTGGTTTCAAACTGCTTTAATGTTTCAAACGTTCGTTGGATGTGTTGGGTTTGGAGGGTATCTGGCGGGCTTAATTCATTTTATTTCATGTCTTAGCATTGCAAATTTACTTGTCATTGGTATGCTGAAAACTGTCCAGGGACCCATCTAGGCTGATGAGCAGTGTGCAAATGCTGAAATAGACTATTTATTTTTAAAGTTATAGTTTGCAACTAATAGTCCAACAGGACTTTCTAGGCAGATAGATAAACAAATACATAAAGATGATATGCTGTTGTGACCTGCTTGGAGAGCTTTGACTGTTGGACGGTTAAAAATGCAATCTCTGAACAAATGGACCTGCTGCTTACACCGAGGGAAATGCCCCACCTTGGACTGGCATTGAGGTGCCGGCTGGGCTGGCCTTCCACCACTGCCCGGGAATGTGCCATGGGAAGGGCTCTGGTGGCCAGGCTGGACTGCAGAGTCCCTGATGGAGATCCCATTCTCCAGCCTGCTAATGGTTTGCTCTTGTCCAATCCGTGTTTGTGAGATGCCTTCCTCAGCGTAGATCCCTGCAGTGAGCCTCCCCGCTTCCCCAGCTTTGCCAGTTGTGTGATTCTGATGACACCTTCAGGAGACCAAGGCTTGTTTTGATTTAAATCAGGGGTCCCAAACTTTTTCAAGAGGGGGCCAGTTCACTGTCCCTCAGACTGTTGCAGGGGTAGACTATAATTTGAAGAAAACATGAATTCCTATGCACAGTGCACATTAAAAAATTAATTAAAATTTAAAAATTAATTTAAAAAATTAAAAAAGGTTTGCTCCACTCCCTCGGGTTGTAGCAGAAGCCCAAGATGAGGTGGGGAGGAGCATGTCCATATTCAGGGGACAGAGCTACAACACAGCCAAGGCACTAAATATAGTAATTTGCATAATGCAGCTGATAACTGCAACCGGCATTTACAAAGAATGAAGCAAAAATACTAAGGAGAAATACTGTTAATGCCACTCTTAGTATTTGAAGCAAGTCAGAACAATTCTCACAATGCACAATGGCTGTATTTGGATGCAGAGCTAATGAGTACCATATTTTAGTGCAACCTTGCCAAAACTGGGACTGTCCAGATGAGTTGGACTACAACTTCCATTGGCCATGCTGGTTGGGCATGATGGATATTATAGTCCTCGCCACCGCCCTGCTTCTGAGGGAGTGAGAGTGGGAGGCCGAAGAGGCAAGGTAGCTCGGCGAGGCAGCTTACTTGGAGAAGGCTGCAGCCGAGACTCGGAAGCCCCATCCCCACTCTGCCTCAGCCTGTATGCCCCTGGGCTCACATGATTAAAAATAGATTTTAAAAGCTATATTTTTCTTACCTTGAATTCTTTTTTAGTTTCTTCATCTTCATTTCTCTTTCTCTTCCACCCGCCTTTCTTCTGTTTCCTGCTCTGTATTCCTGCTCTGTATATGCGTGCAATGTGGGGGCGGGGCGGGTGGAGCGATCGTTTTGTCCGAACAAGTCCAAAACCTCTGAGGCTGGCCAGATAAATGAGCATGGTGGGCCGAATCCGGCCCATGGGCCATAGTTTGACGACCCATGATTTCAGTCGTCATGAGCCAGCTTGGTGCAGTAGTTAACAGCGTGGGACAGGGACTCGGGCGACCTGGGTTCTAGTCCCCGCTCAGCTGTGCAGCCAACTGGGTGACTTTGGGCCAGTCACGGACTCCCAGCCCCACCTGCTTCACAGGATGATTGTTGTGGGGATAAGATTGAGCAGGAGGAGGCTAATTATGTAAGCTGCTTTGAGTTCTTTAACAGAAGAAAAGGTGAGATATAAATCTAATAAATAAATCTTGCCACAGAGGAAGTGGTTGGGCAATTCAGCTGTCCTTAAGGCAGAATTGCACTTTGCCTCCGCCAGGTCTGGCTTCTAAACCTTCATTTGTTCAGACATCAGAGGACCAAATTGACATGATGCTAAATGCGTCTTTGCACATTAACTGCATTTTAAAAAATCAAATAACTGCTGCAACTCTGCAAAGGACGAGGGACACAGCGTGCAGCTTGGGGAAGGATTGTAACTTGGTTCGTCGGAGTCGTGGTCACGGTCAGCTTTGACTCTAACTTGGCTGCTGGTGTGAATGCATCACACCTTCACAGCCACTGGCTCTACCCCAGAGATTGTCTCTTCTCCACTCTGTGGTCACTGTCGTCCTCGTTGGGCCTTGTTCCAGTTTCAGAGCTCAGATATACAGGGTGAAGGACCAGCGGATTAAAAAGGATTGCTGAAATGACAGATTTTGCTGAGAAGGGAAGGCGCAGGTGGGCTCTGAATGCATAAACTGAGCCTTTATCTTTGCTTTCACGCATGAAGCACCTGTCATGCAGTGTGTTGATGTGAGAAAACAGCTTCTGAATCATGGATCACTACTGGCTAAATGAATTTCCAATACATTTCATTGTGCTAAGAGAGAGAAAATAAGTTGCTACTTTAGGAAGAGGTGATAGGAATGGCCGGAAGCACCTGCATCTGAGAACATGTAATGTAATGTGGGGTGAAAGCCTGACACATGTTTCTATTTAACAGCCATTTTTAATATTTAATACCAGGGAGGAGTGCCTGTGGGCCTGGCCCCGAAACCCTTGCAGATTCTCTACGGACACACCAGCGAAGTCTCTTGCGTCGGCATCAGTACCAAATTGGACCTGGCAGTCTCAGGGGCCCGGGTGAGTGTGGATGTGTCTTGCCAGTACATGTTCAAAACCAGTCAGAGGACTGGCCCTCAGTTGCTGCTTAGGTATCCCTCTTACAGTGCAAGGGACTTGGCTCACGTGATTTATTGTTGAGCTTCCTGTCCCGTTTCTGGTCATTCTCTCCCTGACAAATTCAGTATAAAATACAACACAAGTCCTGCTTAAAGTAGGCCTACTGAAATGAGTGATAAGGAATGTATGAGAATTTCATTTTTGTTCGCAGATCTTGGGGAAGATTGAATAGGATCCCACGCTGATTGCTTTATGTCCCCACTGATTTCCTTCTGCAAGTGGGGGGCCCTGCTGATTTCTCTGCATAAACTGGGCATGCCGCTCACACAAGGGAGAGTTATTGTTCCCCGGGGGCAGCTGCAAAATGAGTGGAAGTTCTCTTTTCTGGAAGGAGGCAGATCAGTGGAAGCCTTTTATCCTACTTGACTGAGGGAGCTCCTTGCAGATATGCTGCTTCCACTCACTCCAAGTTGTCCTGGAAGCTCTGCGTTGCCGTCCCACCCACAGCAGGAGACACTTGCACAACAGCATTGCTGGGGTGTGAGAGAATCAGCAGGGACACGGGTGCCCCTCTGGCTTCTGCACTGGGGAAAGTGTCTGGTTGGTGACACTCTGGGATCCGATTAGAAACATCCACACCTTTAAAAAACGCTCTCTTTGAAATACTCATACCCTTTAAAAATTCATTTTCACACTTTAATCAGATGAGGAAGTGTGCATTTTTACAAATACATAAAAATTAGTCTCCTTGCCATTTGAAAAAAACCTGAAACACAGATAGAAAAAGAAAGCAAGATATTCTAGCCCTACCTGGAGATTGGGGGTGATGTCTGCATACATGTATTTATCTCTGAGCCATTTATTTCAATGGGTCTACTTGAAGTAAGACTTCCATCAGATTTTAGCCTTCTGTTGCAGCTCTGTAAATACATCCCTGGATATAACTGAACACAGTGAGACTTACTTCCAGGCAAAGAGATGCAGGATTGCCCTGTTGCATGTTGAAGATGGTCCGTCTTTGGAGTTGGTGCTTAGGGATTTCTGCTTCTGCGTTTACATGCATTTCTAAAATCTTCTTCCTTTTAAAAGTGGGGGAACTTGCTGTATCCAACACAACGTATAGAATATTCTTCAAACATATATTATGCCCACATGCACACAGACACTCAATGAAAATTGGGATGGGAAACCTCGTTAAAAGAACGGCCTCAAACCTGGCAAATGATAAGACGGGCAACAATAACTATGTGTCTGCTTTAAAAAATCTGGGTCCTAAACCAATACAAGGGCAGACTTCCTTAGCAAAGAAATGCCACAGTTTGGGTGCTACAGCTGGAGATGTCCCCACCGTGTCAGCAGAGATTTCAGCTGGGCAGACATCCTTTTTATTCTGGGGAGATGTCCTTTTTATTCCGCTCTTTGCCTAGCAAAGCAGTGGCCATCTCCAGGATGCTCTGCTTGGTTTTAGAAGCCACGTTCCATTGTTCTCCTGTTGTTTTTCTTGGTGTTACTAGGATGGAACTGTGATTGTTCACACCATTCGGAAAGGTCAGTACGTGAGGACGCTGAGGCCCCCCTGCGAGAGCTCTCTCCTGCTCACTGTTCCGAATCTGGCCGTATCTTGGGAAGGACACATGGTCATCCACACAAGCTTAGAAGGAAAGACCACGCTCAAGGTATCAAGACAGCCAAACTCACTGAGGACTGGCACCATGCATACTGGCTTCATTGCCAAGGAAAAGGAAATTTGTGGGATTGCTTATTGTAGCAGTGAACCATGCAGAAGCTGAGTTTTGCCTGCTTCTTTCTCACAGCTGGCCTTACTTCATTCACCTTCACCAGGCTATGGGCTTGGATACATGTGCAAATACCCCCCTGCAGGGTAGAACAGTTAGCACAAACCAGGACGTGTGTATGTACAGCTGTGTCTGAGTAGGCTCCACTCACAGGCTCCGTCCACCCCCCAAAAGGACAAACGGATCATACGAGTGAGGCCTGCTTAGAGTTGAGGGCATATATGTTGACTTGGCATGTTGAAAGGAAATGTTCTGTGTGCTGAGAGAAGAGGGCCATAAGCTGCTGTGTGTGACCCAACCACGGGATCTAGTCCTTTAAGGAGAGGCTGTGTCACTCCTGTTCCTTGTTTGGTCCCATGGTGCTAACACTAAGTGTTAAGCAGCAGTCTTCCCTCCTTTAGACTTAGCCAAAAGTTGTCTCCTCCTTGCTGTCTCAGCATTCTTAGTGCTGGTCTATTGCAAAGTGTTAGAACATGGATAATCCTCTTCTAGTCTGGAGTCTCTTCTTAATATTACAGCTTCAGCTGTCTTTTTGGCAGTGGCTGATGAAGGAAGAGGTTCTTGGCTGAAATTAAAAAGCGAGTGCCATCAACTCTTTATGGCCTGAGTGAGAATAGAGGCAGGTTTCGCCAGAAGCTCATCATCTTGCCTCTTTCAGTAATGTTTTCTTTCTCCCAGCTGCATAGCTTTACAACTTTCAAACTAAGCTCAAACCACTGGAGAGCGCAAGACTGGTTTGTGCAGACCAGTCTTGGACTCCGATGGGAAGTTTGCAGATCTCTTTTCCTCCCTGCCTTTCACCCTGTGTAGATGTATTTATTTGCATTTATTTTTGCATGTATATTCCTCCCCCTACTCCTAATGGGGTCTCTGGGTCATGAGCGATCATCTTCACGTCTACTTCGATATTCATGTGCGCCCAAATCATGACAACATCTACCTCCAAAGCGAGGTGTAAGAATTGCACAGAACTGATCAGACATCAGTTGCACAACTGACTGCTTGCACAACACTTTGCACATGTGATGGGCACAAGACTCACTCCCACAACCTCCCCAACTGCTGTGTGGAGAAGACACCACTGGTGTTTCTGTGTGTTCCTATATTTTTGCCCTGGCAAAGCCACCATTCTGAAACATGCCTGTCATGAGTGTCCACCTCTCTCTCCAAGCTCTTCCTGCTCTCTGCTGTGCCCAAGCCCCTTAATCCTGTCCTCTATAACTGTGGTTTTCATTTGCATTTGCACAGGATAAGAATGCACTACATCTCTATTCTGTGAATGGAAGATATTTGGGCTCTGAGAGCCTGAAAGAAGAAGTGTCGGATCTCTGTGTGGTTGGAGAATATATCATAATGGGAAGTCAGCAGGGATTCCTGTCCATAAGAGACCTCTACAGGTAATGGGAAGCCCAGAAGAAAGGGGCTCTTCCTGTAAGGAGCACTTGACCGTGTCAGTGCCTTGGTCCCGGGATTATCCAGAGTTTTGTGGTGATTGATGTGCTGTTCAACATGTTCGACTTGGAAGAAAAAACTCCAAAATACCAAGATAAAGGCATGTTAAACATGCCTCTAATTATCCACTGGTTCTTTGAATGGGTTTAAGCCTTCTTATGATAACTTTAGCTGCTCCTCGTGCATTGGAACCCAGTCTATTGGATCCTTTGTCTTTTAAAAAGTTCTGTGCAATGTATTTGTTTCAGGTAGCAAATTCTTGATGTGTATTTTATTGGTGGCCTCCTCTGTGTCTCTCCCTGCCCTCTGCCACCCAGCCTGGGTATTTGAAAGCTTTTGAACAGTCCCTTGTGTACAGTGGCTGGTTGGAAGGGTCTGGCCATTGCTCTTCTCGCTGTTCTGCTTCTTGCAAGCTGCCCTTGACCAGGTTTTGGAGGTTCTCTGTTCACACTGCAGTCCACCCAGTCCCCTGAGCCTCAGGCCACGTTCTTCAGGAGGGTGCCCTGACCTCCGGAAGTTTCTGTGGCTGTAGGAGGTGTGGATTCAGAAGAGGCTGTGGGGTTGAGGATGTTCTACATGCACAACTTTGGATCCAGTCTCATAATAAACACTGCTTGATCATATATCAAGAAAAGAACAATGAAAGTTATGAAAATAAATGAGGGTATTCCAAGAGTCCCCTTTTGGAACATTAATTGAAACAAGGTTTTAGGGCAGTGATGGCGAACCTATGGCACGTGTGCCACAGTGGGCACGCAGAGCCCTCTCTGTTGGCACGTGAGCCAAGTCGCCCCAGCAGCCATGCACATACTCAGAAAGAGTAACGGTGCCAGGCAACTATGTCACTCATTAGCCGCGACTCGCCGCAAGAGGCGGCGTCAAACAGGTGGCCAGAGGCAGGTGCAACAGCCACTGCGGGTGCGCCAGGAAGGGAGCGGGTGAGCAGCGAATGGGTGTGCTGAGCGCTGATGGCGGTGCCCTCCTCCTGCCTCCCCCTCCTCCTCCTCCCAGCCTGCAGCATGTGAGCAGCCGCCCAAGCCACCCCACAAGGGCAGTGGTGGGACCCTGCTGACTTGGTAGCTGCAGGTGCAGCCAGGCAGCCGTGCTCCTGCCTGCCGGCGCGCCTGCTCCCGGGCCAAGCTCCTGCGCTGGTGGCCACGGGGTGGTGCGGGGGGAAGCTGGGCGAAGGGAGCAAGTGACGGGGTTGAGGTGGCAGAGCAGCAGCTGGAGCGAGGAGGAGGAGAGAGAAGGTGGCCCGGGATCGATATGGCGCTTCCTGGGGAGGGAGGCCAAAACGAGGAAGAGTGGAGCCCGGAACTGCTGCAAAGCAAGAGGAGTGGGCACGTGGCAGGGACCCCCCTCCCCACCCAACCCCACTCGCCAAGGCTTGGCAGCACCATGGGGGCGCCTCGAGGAAGATCCCAACGGAGGCGTGAAAGGGATCAATGATAGCCTCTCCTCACCTTTAGTTTAGGTCTCTCTGCCCCCCATTCCGCCTCTCTGGTAAACTTTCAAGTGCCGCTGAAACTCCTGCAGCATTCCCGGTGGCTGGTTTGGGGGCAGGGAGGGAGGGAGGGAGTACGCACGCCTGGGAGCGAGCAAGCACAGCATTTCCCGACTTGGGGGCACTGAACGTGAACATGGCTCTTTTTCTCTGTTACTGTGTTTTTCTTTTAAGACAAAAGATGTTAATATATGAGTTGTTTTTTTCTAAATTCAAACCTCAGTTTTATTGCAGTGTTGGCACTTTGTGATAAACAAGTGGGTTCTGGGTTGCAGTTTGGGCACTCGATCTCTAAAAGGTTCGCCATCACTCTTTTAGGGCTTCTTTTCTGTCTACACATGCATAGGGTTGCACTCTTAATTCTTTTATTATGTTTCAGTTTCCATCTTAAAATCACAGTTTTGTATCATGCATACATTATTGTACATGTTAGGCATTCAGAGAATGTCAAAGGTTGCTAGTAAGCCTGACAACTGAAGCAGCCTCAGAAAAATGTTCTAACATTTTGACGTTTTGCCAGTAAGTGCGCCAACCAGCCAAGGGCCTTGAGGAAACCTCTAGGGCTGTCGTCCTTCTTTCCATTACCACTTCAGGAGGTCCAGGGGCCATTTTCATCATGGGGGTAGGGAACATGCTGTAGCTTGGGCTGATGCAAAACTGATTCTGAAAAAATATTTGGGTGGGGGGAATGGCTTCTGTGGTGGCTGCAGAGTGCGCAAATGGTCAAACAGTTTTACAACCAAGTGACATCTGACCATTTTGGTCCTCCTTTGTGCCACTGATGCGATTTTGCACTCCAGTTTATTTTCTGCTTGGCCTAGCTGTAGTGTAAAGGCAGTTTTGTGCATGGAGATAAGACTTCATATGGTCCTCAGACCTTCTGGTCTGTGTCAGTGGTCTCTGCACTTCTTCTCCCAGAACTGATGTGTTCAGTGCTGTTCTGGCTATTCTAAGAATAGTGGTGTCTGTTTCTTTCAGCCTCAGCCTCAGCATCTCACCCTTAGCCATGCGACTGCCGATCCGCTGTGTCTCGGTGACCAAAGAGCTCAGTCATATTCTGGTGGGCCTTGAGGATGGCAAGTTGATTGTCATTGGCGTCGGGAAGCCAGCAGAGGTAAAACCTACCATCAAGAACTTTATCTACCGAACAGTGGGAGGCTCACTCTTTTCTGCTTTCCAGCTGAGCAAGCGATCACCTCTGTGGCAGGGCAAACTTCAGAGCAAGCCTGAGCTTTCAAAGGGGAAGAAATAATTGCCAAGATATTCTTGTAGAGGCTTTGAAATGAGCATAGAAGGGATCACATGTGGGGAAAGGAAGTGTGCCTGGACCAATGTACAGATTTTGCCGACTTAGGTCAAGTACACTTAGAGTCCAGTGCTTACTAGATTGGGAAACTAACTGAACCGAACTTGCTTATTACTGCCAGCCATAAATTGCTTAATTCCAAACACGGATGCATTGCCATTGTTTACAGCTAATGATGATGTTAGGTCTCCGAAGGAGGCTGAATGGACTACTCTGGAATATTCTTGACCGTGTTGTGATTTGTTCACAGTTGCCATTCGTAAGCATCAAACTGTTGTTGCTTGTTCAGAAAGGGACAAACATTGCCATTTTATTTGGTGGTGGATATACAGTCACTGAATGCAGGTGTCACATGACCTGGATTCACCAGGCATGCTCTTTAGTCTCTTACACAAAAGGGGTGGCACCAAAAGTCATTCTGAAACAGACCACAGCGAGGCCCTGCAGTGCCAGAGGGAAGAGGCAGGTGTCAGCTTTCTGAGCGGACAGGACGCTGTGCCATGCCCTGCTTGAGAAAACCCTCGTTTCATGCCTAATAGGGTATTCCTGAGCCACGCACTACTCTTGGGAAGAGGCCAGTAAGCTGCTGATAATGATCCCTGGTTGATCCCCGGGAGCCACGTAAAAGCTTTGCAGTTTATATCTTGAGCGTTGCTTGGGGAACAGCTTGAGCACTTTTCACATTTCTGAAATATTTTGCACTGATTGCCTCTGATTCAAACCATAAGCATGTGGTTTGAGAAAGTCAAAGGCACCCAAACATTGCACTACTCGTATCGGCCAGATAATGATTTGTGGCATTTTTGCCGAAAATAATCTGTGTGTAGTTTAGACCACAGAAACCAGTAGGCCTTGAAACCGCACCATCCAGATTGGTCCCTGTGGATGTAAGTGAAGGCTTTGACTTCTCATTAATTTATTTCATTGCAGGGTACGTTATTTGCAGCTAAGTTTTGCACTGATTATTTCACTCAAGTTCAATTTAAACTTAATTGTGTATAAATTTGGCACGAGTATTTTCTTCTTCCATCCTTTCATTGCTTTTGTGCAGAATCTTAACCCCTCCCCACCTCACCCAGCACATTGTCAAGTGTTTACTTTTAGCCCCTCAATTGGTGCAATGTTTAGAAGTGTCCCATTGTGTTCAACAGGACATACTCCTTAATGAGTTTGTTTCTGGATTGCAACTGTAAACTTTTACACTTAACGTATTTCTCTTTGTGATTTAGAACCTCGCTGCAGAAATAAATAAAACTCCAAACATCTAGCGGCCTAAATTCCATTTCCTCCAGACTGTAAAGCATTTTTAAGGAAAGTCAAACAGTGCCTCTGTAAAACCGCTTGACAATGTGACCTGATATTAAAGTACAAGCGAGACAACCACATTGTCTTGCTTATTTGTCTGCCCTAGAATTGTCCAAGCATTGAATTATTTTAGGAGCAAATTGCCATTGTGTTGTATGTGTGTGCTGTACCTTATGCTGTCTGCACTTCTCCAGAATCGTCTTGAAGTTTTTATTTAATTTATCCCCCTTATCCGCTTCCCTCCCCTCCTTTTTGTTTCTCTGGATTACTTTAAACAGATGCGTGCAGGCCAACTGTCCCGAAAGTTATGGGGCTCAAGCAAACGGATCAGCCAGATTTCATCAGGAGAAACTGAATATAACACTCAAGATGCCATGTGATTTCTGCTTCTGCCTTCTCTTGGGGTTTGCACACATTTATTTAATCTTCCAATCATTTTTCAACCCTCTCTCTCAACTTCCTCAATTATGTTGGAGCTGCAGCACAATTGCCACAGGCGCATATGCAAGTGAGCATATAGCTATCCATAGTTTCTGTTGTTGTCTTACCACTGCATCCAAAGCAGAAGCAATAAACGAATCCAGTACTATTTAAACACATGCATATGTGTGCACACACAGACTCACCATATACTGTGAAGCTGTGTGCATCCGTGAGTATGTCTGCACGTATGTGTGTGTTTCACTTTGTGTGTTCATTACGGTGAATGTCAAACATGTATATGCACGCTCACATGTGAATCTTGACAATCCTGGGTGAACAGCTGAAAGAGATCTCAACAACTTCTGGTCATAGGCCAGCATTTATAGGTCAGCATTCATCAATACATGTGATGGACACGTCTTAGCTCTACTTCTTTTTTGCTCAGTGTAATAGTTGTCCCATCGTCTGATGTAAGCTAGCCTGACATGCAGTGGAGGCTTAGGGACATGGGGTTAGCTGCCGTTCCAAAAAAAGAAGCGTGCTGTAGGTAGTCTTTTGGATCTTAGCCAGCACTTCTATATTACTTGGCACATAATAAAGCAACACACTTTCAGGTTTTTGTTTTTTTTTTTTTTGACATCTTCAAGCCTTCACTAGATTTGAAACATTCATTTTTCTAGACTTCAGGGGGAAACACATTGGACAGACTCTTGGTGGCCACTACTGAATCTGCACAACTATTCTTTTAATTTAAAAAAAACATGCCTGTTATTTCCATTTCAAAAATTTGCCAGTTTTTTTTTATTAAAGAAAAACATTCTTTCAACAATTGTTCAAAAAGTATTTGTGGAAAGGGAGTGGCCTCATGAGCTTCACTGTCCCTGGTAGCTGGAGACTCAGAAAAGTGAAGACACATTGGGGCAGTGAGAAGAACACTGAAAACCCAGAGGATCTCACTGCAAAAGAAGGAAAAAATTACCGCCCACTTTCTCAAGCAGTTTCCTACTGGCTTGCTTTGCCCTTGACAGCTCTGCATTGGACAGCTGTCAAGCAAACAAAGTTACACATTGCTCTCCTGTCATTGTCCATGGCTGGCACCTGCCATGTTTTGATAGTAGACACTTACAGGACATTGTCCAGGTAAGCCAAACCCATTCTAGCTATTCAAAGCTGCACGGCTTTGGAAAATCAGCAACCTCCTGCTGAAAAATATTTACAAAAAAGTGTGCACATTCAGTTGTGTGAAAAATAAAATAAAAATAGGTGGAAGCACACTGGCAGCTCCTCCAGTGTGTTGCTTGGGCACCAGAGTGGCTGTCAGGGACTGTCATTTTGGAGACTGCAAAAAGTGATCTCCTGGAGAAAGGGTTGCGGTACTTGCAGAGAGAAAGCAAGGAGAAAAGTGGTGCGGGGGAGGGGGCAACCCAGCAGGAGTCAGGATCTGTTGGGCACACTGTGAGTTGCTTCATGAGTGGCACTTTCTTTATAGTTTATTCTCGAGGTGAGTTGATTTGTTGCGCAAACTCACCCAATGCTTTGTTCAGAAGTGCTGTTCAGGAAGGGTTCTTGTTGCACTGTTGAATACCAGCAGTTAGTATTTGAATGCATGAAAAGTGAGTGGTGATAGGACAGATGTGGAAGGCAGGATGGGGTTCTTCATACAGTAAAGTCAGGGTCTTAGATTCATCCTTTTGTCCAAGAGTAAATGGATCAAGTATTCAATGGCCATTATAAAATTAAAAATATTGCATAGTAATTGAAGTAATTTTCTGCTGCTGAAAATCAAACCTAAGCAGTGGAAGAATACTGTTTTTATTTGTATGTCTGATCCATCAAAGGCTGAGTGGAAAAGGTTCATTGTTTTGGGGTGGGATGGCCCATTTGGGCTTCTGCACTGGAATGATGCTGCCTTTGTCTGAGTGTTTGTGCGCACACAACTGATTCCGCCATGCATGACCAAAAGCATTTTCAGTGTTGTGCTAACAGAGGCAATCATTTCGTAAAGGAGAGAATGCCACAAGCACAGGATACTAAGTTTTCTTAATTTGGACCTATGAATATTTCAGATGCCAAAAAGAATAATAATGGAAGGATCTATGTACTATAGGCACTTATAGCTATTTATTTTGCCTGTGTATTTCACATATGAGGACTGTATTTTTCAGCACAATGGGAACTGTAGTAGATTTAGCTTTTCTGAAAAAGAGACTAATTCTCATCGTTGTGTGGTGGAAAAATGACTTGCTTTTAGACCATTTTAATTGGAAAATTGATCTCCATGGCAAATAGTCTCTTTTTGTTGGACTTTTTATACATTTGTGAGAAAAGTATAGTTGTTCTTTCCAAACACAGTATATTTGCCAAGCACTTACTGTATCGTTATCATACTTAAATGCACTATGTGCGTAACTTATGGAAGCAGATGTATTACTTTTCCTAATTTCCTTTAAGACTTGAAAAGTTGCTGAACGGAACGGGAAGCACCAGGGGGTTGTGTGGCTCCTTCACTGTCGTGCAGAAGTGTTTGTAAAGCTCAGGCTCTTCAAAGGCTGATGCCTTAACAGTGGTGCCCTTTGATCTGAAGCGGTGTTGCATTACTGAGTGTGCTTGCTTGTAGCTTATCTTTCATGCACTACATGGTTCTTTGGTCTTTAAGTCCAAATTCAGAAGAGTAGGATGGTGTGCCTGGGAACAGTCCCACGTCGTCCTGGTCCTGTACCTCCTTGCAACACATCTGAGTCTCGCTGTATTGTTAGGGGAACCCTGAGTTGACCTGGGTGAGTTGGTTGCTTACATCAGTTAGCAGGGTAACTGTGGGAGATGGGGAGGGGGGTCTCCTCTGATGCAGTGGGCATGAGTGGGGCACTGCTGTGGGGACGTGAGGTTGATGCCATGTTTCCGAGCACCACTGTTATGGGCAACGCTTCCAGGAAGGGAATATGTCAGAAGTGAGCGCTGATGACAATTGGCCCATTTCAAAGTGGCCTCAAGAAAAGGCAAGGAGGGTACGTTGTAAGGAACACAATTTGTGACCTTGAACAAAGTCATCACTGACCCTGGAGTGTGTCAGTCGAGGCATCAGCCTCGGCTCCTGATTTTCTGGCTTTGTGGAGCTTAGTCTGGCAGGCTTATTGCTGAATTTCTCTGCTTTTCCAAAAGGAAATATGTTGTTACAATATGCTTGCGGTCCTAACCCTGTTCTCATGGGGTACCAGCACAAGTGAAGGTGTCTCTAAACTCTCCTCGCACCAAGAGGGGAGTCCAGCATTAGTGAATGGTCCAGTTCTGAGGCTGTTGGCTGCTACGTAGCTTTGGGCTGGAATGGGGGCACGGTGGGCTGCAGCCTGCCCTTCTCAGCCCTCAGATCTGCCCCAGAACGATGCTGGGCCACAGATCTCTCCTGCACCATCTCCTCTTGTAAAGAATTCATGGAATTTTCCTCCCAAGGTCAAAACATGTCATGGATACAGGAGCAAGTGATTTAGGAGCAATACCAAAGATAATCTGGAAGTGATCAGGCTGTTTAGGAATGTGAAGCTGGATTCTAAGAGTTTCGGAACTGAAGGAATATTGATGAAAGTTGGATGCTGCAGACTGAATTGTTTCGGTTTTATGTAGGTGCTGTAAATAAACATTCCCCTCCTCATTTGGGAGCGGGAATAAGAAACCTGGTGTGTCTTGGGGCACTGTGCTGACGTTCCAGAACTGTACATAGGGAATGTGTATATTTTGGAATGTTTTTAAGGCTTGAAATAAAATGGAAGCTAGCAAAGTCAAAGAGAAATGTGTATGTGTTTCCTGACAGAAAAATGGAGTGATGGTGAGAACTTTGCATACGCGGAACTCATTTAAGCAAGCTTTGAAGAAGCTCCCAGCCAAATTTTCTCATCAGCTTGTTAGCATTTGTCTGCCGACTGCCCATGCTTCAAGTAGCTTATAGGTCTTCTGACTCTGAATATGAAACTTCTGAATATGAAACTTTCCTTTGCAGAAGTTGCACTTGGGAAAGAATCCCTTCGACAAGTACCACTCCATTTCAATCTATGGAAAGTTTGGATACAACCCCAGAGTTGGAAAAAAAAAAAAACCCTAAATTGTAGGTTGAGTGTGCTGAGATGTTCTTGTCTTGTTACACTTTAACTAATGTTGAGGCATGGTGCTTTACTTAGGCTAGAGTGCCGATTTGCGATAAGGACCAAGCAAGCAGAATCCCATCATTCTTGTTATGTTATTGGATTCAAACTACTTTTTGAAACACTGCTGTTAGGTTGTGTCTCAGGTTGGTTCTAAATAGGCTTCTGGTGAGGGAAGGTGTAGGTTTTTGGAGGTATCAAAATGGCTTGCACGAATGCTGAGTTTATTTAATAAGTAAGAGTAACTTGAAAGTAAGTCAAGCCTGGCAGGAGCAGCTGACTTTTAAAAACAAAACAAAACCATTTTAATGTCATTATTTCTGTGACTCTCCGAAAACTAAATGATGTTTAAAATGTAAATAAAATAAAATTTACAAGATAAATGAGTCCAATATCAGAATTTCAAAGCCAAGATTAAAGACAATCACAGTAATTCCAGTGAAAATGGCTTCCAAACCCACATTATTTTATATGATAGTGTTTTATGTATCTTCTCTTGGAAAAGCATTCCTTTGAAGACGTTCCATGTTTTCTTTTACTCTGGTTTACGCAGAGTGGAAATGACTAAAATGGTACATCCATTTCCAAAGTTGATTAATGCTTGGTGATCTAGCTCTAAAACTGGGTTGATAATTTTCTGAGATATATATGTGGGGGGCGTGGCAGGGGGAATAAAGCAAGCTCACAATCACACTTTGATCCAAAATCTGCTTAGGTAGAAGTTCCTCCTACATCTTTTGGGGGCCACACTGGATGATGGGGGCTTCCAAACATGCATTTCCTCCCTAGCACTTTGCTCAAACTCTTCCAAACCATCTGTTCTCCCAAACTGATACTTGCTTTTGCAAGAAACAAAGACTTAATTCCGATTTTTTTTTTTTTGCATAAAAAGAAGAAAAAACTCATCCTGTGTGCAATAACTGACCCTCATTCCAGATTTAGCTTGCTGCTTTGAAATATTGTAGATATCAGCTAACATGGTGTGGCTGCTGATTTCAGTACTTCAGGGTAGCATTTGGTCACATTTCAGCACGGGAAGCAAAACTTGGATTAGGGTTGTTCAGTGACATACCAAGGTTGAGAGGATTAAGCATACTTAATTTGCATTAGGCGGTGCTTTGGATGTCCCGTATTCCTCAGCATGGTGGGCTCTGAAAGGAAAGCACACGCTTTGTGCAAGGTTCTCTGGAATCTGGATAATAAATGGGGAAAGGAAGCTGCTGAACGCGTGTGCCCCTTGTGGATGACGACATCTTGTTGCTCAGCGCTTTAGCCATAGGTGTGAGTTTCTTCCATCTACTTGGCAAGTAGTAGTTTCCCAGCCATGTGCCTGCGCATTCACCTTGTGTTTACATCCTGCTCAGAAAGACGACAGAGCTCTTGTGTCGCTCTTCTGCTTCAGAGCTTCTGGAAGTGGCACAGGTCCTACAGGGAAGCTCCTCTGTGCACACGGCAGCTCCTGTGTATTTTTAAAGCCAAAGGGGAGGAATATGCAGATGGCAGCTTTGTACTATAGGGTTCTAGGGAAACGATGATTTTCATGCACCCTTGAACACACATTTCTTTCACCTACTGCACTGTGTGTATGTGTATATATGTGTGGGTGTGTGGAAACGCCTCTCTCTCTCATTAGTAACTTGCCTAGGAAATTGTGCTGCTATTACACTGATTTTTTCCTAAACAAAAATTCCAATAACTCACTTAACGTGTGCCTCTGCATTTGCTTCAAACTTAAGTTAGAAATGGAACACTAAGCCTTATATATGTACAGGCAAATGATAATCTCATGCTGATGACTTTGACAGTGCAATTGTATTACAAACGGATATTAATGCCAAAAATGCCTTCAGATTTTAGATGGGTGTTTTGATATAGTTAGTTTCAAGCAGCTTTCATGTAATGTCAAAACGTTTGTCTTCTGTGCAATACCTATTTGTGTTGGGGGATGCTTTGAAACACTGTTTATTTTAATGTTCTGATGGCCAGGTTTAATAATTTTAAGCTTGTATGTATGTATATTGGCTAACCTTGGAGTTGTTTCTGTACAGCATGGTGGAAAATGTTTTAATATTTGCACTTTGTAGAATTTACAAATTTGTAATTTAACCCTTTTTAAAATGCTTGCTTACTTTGTACATAAAATTATTGTCAAATTACGTTTGTATATAACAGAATGGTCTTGAAGTTGATTAAAGAAAAAAATGGATATGTGATTGGCCTGTTGTTGAATATGACTGTTTTTTACAGTTTTCAAGTGAATGGCACCCCCCACCCAGGTACCTGCACTTGGCATCCCTACCTGGAAGGGGGACTCAGTATAACAACTGATTCCACTGACAGTTCCCCTCTCCGATCCAAATTATAAGGCTAACTTGAAGGAGGTTACAGTTCTTCTGAGCAGCTGTTCCTGGGTGAGGAGTCCAAAATTAGATGCATCATCCATTCCCTACCAAATACCGTGCAATTTAAATGTGCCACACGTTAGCTACTCCATATGTACTCAACATTTAATAATTTGAGGGAAGCTGGATCCAGTTCTTGCTATAGACATGTGGCAACAAACAAGCATGCTATCTTCTGTGTTTTCATTTCTTCTGTTTCTCTAAACTCAACAACAGCCCATGGGTTAACTCTGGGTTGTTTAACCCCCAAGGAACGCTGGATTTCCTGGTTCAGACATAATAATCCAGGGTTGTCTAGGAAACTGTAAGCAGGTGGGAAACAAGCACACTCCCAAATAGTCCAGGGTTGTTTGATCAGGCAAACTGGTTCTCTCAACCTCAGTTCCTCTGTAGCGAAATGTAGGCTGGGGCAAACCCACTGAAATAGACAGTCATTGAACTTAATTCCTCTTTATCTTAATTGGTCTAATTCTAGGTATGACTAAGTCTGTATCTAATCTGATATTTCCTTACTGCATTACTGCAATGTTACAGAAATAATGAAGTGTCTTGATCTCTCCAAATCAATGTATCCACTAGCAGTCCAGTAGTTTCCCCATCTCCTTAATCACATTTGAGTAGCACAAAGCAGCTGTGTCCCATCTACTAGAGAAAATACAGAATTGCTGACCACTGAAGCATCTTTATTTCCCAGAAAACATTTTGTTAAGCAGGAATGCAAAGGCTTTTATAAAATTTAGGAGCTAGATCAGGAGGGAGAGATGAATCATCTCACTGCCACTATGCTGCAAGTTTTGTTCTCCAGCTTATGCCAAAGAGCTACCCACACTCAGACCCACCTGGAAGCTGGGAACATCCATTTTGGAAGACAAGTAGCTGTGTTTGCTTGCAGCAACTCTTCATCGCAGCCTATTTCCCACAGCTGAACCTTCCCACTAGAAGAGACGCTGGGGCTCTGCTGTGGGAAGCGCTGCCTTAGCCCGGGTATCAGGCCTGGCATTTTGTCCCCAGCAGCTACTGGGCACTGAGATGTCTGCACCCTGCTCCAAGGCACTGCCCCTTCTCCTAGGCTTGGGGCAGGGCACCTTCAGGTCCGCATCAAGAATAGTCATGGCTTCTTGGCATCCTCCTTCAACAGGAAGCTGAAATCTGCTCCAACTGCGTGTTCCGTGGGGTCACATCCTCTGTCCAGAGAGACCGCACTTGCATTAGTGATCGCGCATAAAGTGCTGGAAAACAACACTGACCCACTCAACTCTTTGTTTTCAAAAGCCAGAGGAGGCTTCGTTGGTTACCTGCTGGAGAATGACTCTCCTTTTGAGGGGCCATCAAACGTGATCTCAGCCAGTGTGAAGTGCCAACATGTTGGCAAGTATTACTCCCGTCACAGGGAGGGTCAGGTTGCAATGAAAGCCTCCAACAAGGAGGCAGACACAATGCGCTGGCACAGGGGCCAGTGTTGCGCAGCCTGTGGGCACCAGTGTGTGCCCACTCACCCCTCTTGGTTCTTGCCAAGGTGTCCGACAGCCCCCACTTAAAATCAACATTCAGCTGGGATCACCGCTGAGCAGACATGGCTTCCAGGGGCCACCGCCTTCATACAAACCCTTCTGGGCTACACTAAGAAGCTCAGAGGCATTCTTGGAAAAGGAAGACAGCAGATGGGTGCAAACCAGAGCTTTTCTCTGCAGGCTGGCCGACCGCTAAGAAAAGTCAGGGAAGAGACAATGGTGCTGGGAACTGTGGAGTCAAAGGTATTACTTGGAGCAGTACAGCTCAGCCTTCACCTTGGCCTTGTTCAGGTTGCTTGTTCGTCATGGCTAGCCATCTCTCATGACAACCATTTTGTGGGGGTGCCCACAGGCCCAAAAAGGTTGCCTTTCACTGAGCTACTGGGCATCAATGATGTGAAGTGTGTGAATTTCCCTGCCTTAAGAACACTGAAATTGATGAAATACAGTTGCACTTCCTCATCCTGTGGCTGAGGACTGATTATTGGGTCCCATTGGAGAGCAGGGTGCAGAAGCAGACCACTGAGCCGTGAATTACTGGACTGATGAAAGGGGAAGGGGGCTGGACTGTAAGTGCAGGCCCAGGCATGACGACAGCATGACAGCTTGCCGAGAGGAAGGCTGAGCTGGCTGTTCCTTTAAAAGCCAAATACCAGATGCAATCTAGACTAGTATTTGGATGCGCTTCACTGAAAAAAGCCTGTGTTAAAACCACACCCGGTTTCCAAGTAAGCCTCTGACTAAAACCTTCGCTTGAGGCCCTACTTGGCAGCCAGACGCCAAGTTCACGCTCTGAACAATTAGACTCGCAAAGCGGTGATCTGGAATGGCATCTCCTCTTTTACCTCACAAACAGCCGAGCCCCTGTTTTCCCTTGCAGGGTAGCTTTGTTTCCTTCCACAAGGAGCAGCGATCCTTCACGCAAACCCTTAATGGGCATGGAACAAAATGTGGGGTTAAAGTCATGGAGCAACACTGGAAGCACCATCCCTGTCCCACCCCAGGGCAGGGATGGGCAGGCACTTTCAATCCAATTTGAATCCACACCACATGTGGTATTTATTTCTATCCCACATGTGGTATGAACAAGCACAAAGCTGGGTGCATACTTTATTAATTAATTAATTAGGGTATTTCTGTCCCTTCCAGTACGGTTCGTCTCTGGATGGCTTACAATATCATTAAATCTCAACCCAGAACCTGTTTGCCAATATTGCTGTGTGATGTGCAGACTTGAATTTCTGTACTGTCCCATAGCTGAACTTCTCTGGGTGGTTCACAAGAACTCATAAAAATACAGTATATAATACAAACAGCATTAAAAACATCACAAGATGACCATGCAAAAAATTAAGGCTACATTTAAAGCAGATATAATACGTTTGCAATAGCTTATACGAAACAAGTCTTAAGACCTGTTTAAACAGCTAGCAACACCTTAGTAAACTAATTAAATGCCCTGTGGTAGAAGATACTAAAATCGATACCAGATGGGCTTTGAAGGGGAGCCTCCTGCATAACTGGGGAGGGCCATCACTGAAAAATGCCCTTCCACTTGTTGCCAGCACTGAGCCTCTTTGGAGGTGGCAATCAGAGGCAGGCCATGGCTTGGTGGCAGAGAAGCCGTTTTGCATGCTTAGGATTTCAGGATCCATCCTTGGCATTTTCAGAAAAGGGCTAGGAAAGAATCATCCCAGAAACACTGCACTGCCAATCCGTGCCCTCAATACCAGCACTAAGCCCCTAAGCATGGTCCCAAACTTAACTCTTACCAGCTCCCTGCAGCACATATTAAAAAAGCACCTAATTATTATACTTTCAGCCAGACATCTGTTTATGGACTGTGTTTATACTTTCTGAGGTTGCACATGCCTCATCCAGGAGGACAAAAGAGATGACTACATCATACAACCAGCCATGCAAATGCTGCAGCGGGGGCACCCTGCTTGCGGTGCCCTTGCTGCAAATTCCCTGCCAGGAACAGTCAGCGGGACTGAAAAAGGACAGTGCATGCACGCTCACACCTGGGGGAAAACCGGTTTCCAGATGGCAGAGACACGACTCACCAAGACTGGAGGTGTGTCCGGTTCTTCATGGTACTGCAATATCCTCTTCTCACGGGTTTCCTGTCATAATAGCGAACGTTACCAACAGTTGGAGAGCATACTACAAAGAGTTGTAGTAACATTTACTACAGATATTAAAGTTCGCTCACTCCTCCTCCCAAGTGCAATTCAACCCAGGTCTTTGAGGAGCTGCACATGTGGCCCTGGCTGTGTGGCAAGCATGCGAGCCAAAGGCCCCAATCCTGTCAACAGCATGCAGAGTTGCCAGCTTCAGGAGCAGAGGGTGGCGAGAAAGTGAGTTAGCCAACGGTGAGAGGCTGTGCAATGACAGTGGTGCAGTGGAGGGGAGCTTGGCACTCTGGGGGGCCATGGGAAGGGGGGTCATCTGAGACCCCTTGGGCTCTGGGTTGTGTGCTCCTGCACTAAGCAATGGCTTGTGCCACCACAATCCAAGCCATAGCTTGCGTTTCCAAACACAACAAGCCACACTGGTCTGGAGCCGTTCACTCTGTTCCGCAGGCTTCGAAGTGCTCTCCTTCAAGTGTTCACTCTCCTCTTTGTGGCCTATAAGTCCCAGAGGCAAGCAATGACTGCAGTCATGGGGTCAGATCCAGCTGTTTCTTTTGCCTTAGCTAGAGTTGGGGCCAAGCTGGGTACTGAAAAGCTCCAGGCCCAGAGGACAAAAGTAATGCACAGATCTGCATCATATGCCCCGGAGTTCTCCGTGCCCTAAGATCTGTGTGCGCGCACACGCATGCGGACTGAAAGCAGACCGTCTTGTAACGACACCCCCGTTTTTGGGAAGGGATGCCATGTCCAGGAGAGAGGAGTGCACTGGAGTGCAGAAAGGAAACTTAGGCAGAAGAATTTGGGGCGGTGGGGGGAGAGTTAGGTGAAACACACATGGGCAAAGGCCAGCTAATCCAGAGGGATCAAATTCCTGAGAGCCTTTATTCATCAGGGCTTTTATTTGGGCAAGTGCCCACGGCAGGAAGGGTGGCGGGGCAGAAGGCCTCCCGGAGTTCGGGCCTCCAGCCCTGCTGGGCCACCCCTAACACTGTGCAGGAGCATTCTCCATCTGACTCGCATGCAGAATGGTCTAAAGCATGGATCCTCAAACTACGGCTCGCAGGCCAAATACAGCCTGCCGTGGTCATTTACCCGGCCTGCCTCAGAGCTTTTGGACTCGCTCGGAGAAAACAATCTCTGAGCACTTGCCTCTCCATCCTCCTACTCCTGCTCCCCCTCCCAGAGCCAGGTGAGCACCTGCGAGGGGACCTTCCTCCGGCTTGGAAGTGGGGCGATGGCAAGGAGCCAGGAAGGCCTCGACTGAGGTGAGCGTGCCCTCATGGCTCCCCCTCATGTCATGCTCTCCCTTCCGGCAGGCAGCGCAGTGTCACCTTGGACTTCTGCTGCAGCCCAAGCAAGTGGAACAAATATTTGTAAATGTTTAATCATTTTAAAATTTTAATTAATTTTAATGTGCAGCGTGCATAGGAATTTGTTCATTTTTTTTTCAAACTATAGTCCATTCCCCCCAACAGTCTGAGGAACAGTGAACTGGCCCCCTGTTAAAAAGTTTGAGGCCCCTTGGTCTAAAGTGTGTGTAGGGGAAGAGCCCATCTCTGCCTATGCCCTCTCCTCCTGCAGCCCCACAACTACCATTTTGGAGTGGGTGGAATCAGTGAGGACCTGCCTCCTTTCCTATCCTGCTAGGGAAACACTCTGCTGAACCTGAAGCCTTTGCAGAGGGAAGGAGCCCTTCCAACCACAGAAGGAAGATGCTGGATCCGAACCGTTCAGACATCATGCCAGCCCACCCCAAAGATGCCGAACCAGAGGCAAGCTGCTTTAACTGCAGCTCTGTGCAAGGTCTGAATACAGCCACTTTGCCCAGCAAAGAAGCCCATCCAAAATAGGGACTCAGTGAGGCTCAGCATCATAAGGCATGGGTGCTGCTCCTCTACTCGAATGGTACAGTGAAGCGCTCGTGCAGTCGTCAAGAGAACTGACCCCCATGTGAGTGCTGTTAACATCTGGATCTAAGTAGTGTGGGTTGATGTTGAAAGAAACCAGTCCAAGGGCCAGCAGAGAAGGCGGATACACAATGGGCATGTCATTGGTTGTGCTGATGCTGATGGTTGCTACGTTGGTTCCAGCGCTGGACCCAATGTATGGGACCCCATCCTGTAAGGCAGAGGATAGCTTAATAAAACAAGTTATCCACAATCTCTGGTTTCTAGCTGGTAACATTTAGCACTTAAGGGAATGTGACAGAAGCTCTAAAGTCCAGACACATCCTGAGCTGCAGTTTGATGCGCTTCTTTAATAGGGTCTGCAGTCTATTCCTGTAGCATTCTATACTAGAAAGGAGAACTGGGTTTCTAAGCACTGAACGGACACATTCTTCTACAGTATGTTTATTTTGCTTGCTTAGATCTAGAGTACAGATGTGAAGGCCTAGGTAAAAACTGAGCTATCTGGAACATTTCCCTCCAAATGTTCCTAAAATCTATAAGAAAAAAATCTTCAGTTAAAAAAGGATTGTTTTTTTAAATTCTAGTGTTCCCCTCCCTGCCTTCACATCTCTTGTCTGGATGCAAAAAGGGGAAGCAAGTGGGCGGCTGAATACAGAAGTTTCAAAATTAAGATTTGGGAGTGGGTGGAAGTTTTACTTTCCTGAACCACACAAAGCTCAGCATAAAAGTTCTTCCATTGCCTGAGAAGTCTTCAAGCAAATAAGGAGTCGAGGAAACATGGCCACCATTCCTCTTTTTGTCTTTCCCCCCCTCCTATACAGAAAAATAATAAAGGAAATGTGAAACTCTCTAAAAAAAGATCCTCTGAGCCAAGTAATTTTTAAGTGTGGCAAAGGAATTTACTTCTAGCATTTCTGTCTACTGGACCTTTGCCTAAAGGCCATCAAAGTGATGCACAGTAAACCTAAAAGGAAACAATAGAATTATAATGAGGAAAAATAGTAATAAAAAGAACTAATTTAGAAGTAATTTTCTAAAGAATAGTTTAGTAGAATTCTTCAACTACTCCTTGATAAGCTCCATATCAATATCTGCATTCCTTCCAAGGCACTCAAGACAGCTGACATTATACTGCTCCTCTCAATCTTATCCTGCAAGGTAGGTTGGGCTGAGAGTCTGTGGCTGGCCCAAAGTCATCCAGCTGGCTCCATGGCTGAGCAGGGACCAGAACCCAGATCTCCGGAGTCCCAGTCCTGCACTCTTAACCACTACACCACACTGGTTCTCTTTCTGTATGATTCTGTAAAAGGTACAAATTTAGTATCTGGTTCTATTCTTTAGATAGCAGCTGGAGACGTGTGCCCACTATACAAAGAGCTGCATGTCTTTGAAGTGAAGAGATAACATGTTGCCACATTTCTGCTTCAGGGCTCCTGCACTTGCTGTAGCTGTAACTGGGAGCAGAGAGCAGGCGATGGGAGACAGTGCCTGTTCTGACCCACCCTCTCCACACTGTCCACCCCTCTCCCATTCAAGCAGGCAGCTTCATCCGCAGGCCCGGCCTCTGTAATCCTTGCCCCGGGCGCTGTGAGGCAGTGAGTGTATGGGTTGGGCCTTCCCAGTTCTCTTCAGAATGCACCATGTTATTACTGCAACAGACTAACAAACCACCTTTCAGGAGCAAATTCCACTAATTTCCTTCATCTCTTGTTGAAGTGCTTTGCTTATACTACCTCAAGGACTCTTTTCCGGATTGGTTGTATCAGGCCGTTGTCATAAAGAGCTTTCAAAAGACGGAACGTATTGCCACCACCTGCAGGAAACAGGAGTTCCATGTTACTCAAGTCACCTCTTCCTTCACACAGGTCCATGAGCCCAAAATCCAACTAGAGAAGAATGGGCTTTGCAAGCACAGGAGGATTCCAGTCAGCATTCGAACTGGGCTCCCTCTACATGCATCTACTCAAAAGCAAGTTCTTCTGAAATCCATGGGACTTAATTATATAAGACTGTCTATTAAAAATTAAGTCCCACTGAGCTCAGTGGGAGTTTATGTAGCTCAGTGAGTCAAACACATGTTTTCCATGCATGGCCCTGATTCAATCCTCTGCTGTCCACAGTGCTGACCAAGAGTCCCATCCAAAACTCCGGAGTACCTGCCAGCTAATATGGAAAATGCTAGGTTAGGAGGACCAAAGATTTGACTGTGTATGATACTTCCTGTGTTCATCTCCAGGGTCTAATGTGCCCAGGACTGATGTGTAACCAGGATTATTGCTAGGCACTAAAAAGTAGGCGCATGGCTCACAAGTGCACATAAAATCTGCAAATGCTAATTTAGATGTCCATTTGTAAAGCTGGGTCGGCACTGAGAGGAGCTAAACAAGCTCTGGCTGTTGGGTTTATGTACTGCAGCCTCTCTGGAACCCTGCACAGCCTCAGCTAGGCAGCATGGACAGCATTAGACAAAGGACAGACAGGTCTGTCTCTGCTGAACAGGGGTAAGAAATAGAATCAAAAGAGGAGAAGAGCCGGGGGGGTGCCCCTTGGAGACCCCAGGTGACTGGGAACAGCGGATTGTTGATTATTTATTTATTTCATTTGTATGCTGCCCCATAGCCTAAGGACCTCGCCTCAAAACACAAACTGAAGCCCATTTCCCAGTTACTGCCTCAGAACTGCAGCAACGCATCTGCTCCACAGCCAGTCCTCAGGGCCGGCAAACCCGTGTGAAGGGCGGCTTCCTTCAGGTGCTGAACGTCTTGAACAAATCTGAGATGACAGGCAACTGGAGTTCAGAGTTCGCTTGATGAAGCAGCCACCTCTGCCCGGCTGCACTTTATCCTGTCCTTATCGGGCAGATAACAAACTGGCCCCTGTAGGAACAGTCTGCCAAGAGTGCGTATTTACCAATGAATATCGCTTCAGCTTTTCTGACAGCTTCTCCTGGGTCAAGTGACTCGTGGATACTGTCCAGTCCATAGCCTGGGGAGACGTCAAGATGCCGAATATGTATCAGTGAGGTGAGTGGCACACTGCAAGGGAATCTGCAAACAAGCTGCTACTCAGCCAGTTAAACATCCCTGAGCAAGAAATAAATATTGCAACCAGTCCATGATCAAGGGACTAATTAGGCACAGCATCCCCTGCAGCTGGGTTAGAATTTTAGCCGCAAAACAAGGATTGGTACTCGAGCAGTGTCAACCGCACAAAGTATCTGCACTTGTGTCTCTTGCCCAGCCAGTGTGGCTCGGCAGGTCAAGCACACTGATCAGTCTGCTCAGTGCTTGAAACCTGGGCTGAAAATCTAGCCTTCTAGAGTCCCACCACCCCTTTCTATTAAACATTGATTACTGGGCAACTTCCCGGCTTTGGGATGATTTCCCCTGCTAAAAGGTTGGGATGCTTCTCCCAAGACTTAGTTCCTGGCAGGAAGAGATTTTTGCTAAAAAAAAAAAAAAAAAAAAAAAAGCTGCAATTCTTTGTGATTTTGCTTCATGTCTATTGCCCCACCCTTGGAATGTGACTTCAAAGAGCATCTCTGAAACCAAATTTGGCCCCTGGGCTAAAAGCAGTTCAATATTCCCAGTCTAGACTAGTTCACATATGGGTAACCCATTGCCACATTCCCTGCTAGTAGCAATTAGGAGGAAGACGCCCTGGGACAGTCATTCACATGGGCATCATGTCTTCCCAGCCCACTAACAGGGTCACAGCCTGGTCTAAGGAAAAATGCAGCATGGCTGTAGCACCTGGTGGGCTGGGAACAGGCGTGATCTCTCCCTGCTGGAGTGGTGCATGGCAAGCATCTCTCTATCCCAGCAGGGAGAGCCTCTGAAAAGCAGGAGTGCACAGGTGGCATGCCCACAAGTTCAAAGGGAATTCAGCGCGCTGGGAGAAGATATTAAAACCTGCCCGTCCTTTCAGGTGGGGCAAGAGCAAGGTGTGCCTCCCTCTCTATGTGTGGGGAATGGTATGCACAGAAGTGTTGGAGTGGAAAGTTCTGCATGGTGGCTGCAGGCCTCCAGCCATCAGGGACAGAAGGGCTGGCTCTGGACCAATCCAAAAATAATACTGACTTACCTAAGCTTTCAAACTTTTCTCTTGCCATCTTAGCATAGGCAATTCGGTCATGAAGAGCATAGGGGACAAAGAGCACGCTCTTTACTTTCCTGGGAAAGGAAATGATATTGCAATGTAAGTCCATCTGTGGAATGAGGTAGAACCTTGCACCACTTGAAAACATTAACTTTTTGAAGGTCTGATATTTGCCTACTATTTTGATGTATTTGTCAGCTAGTAACCTAGCAGAATGCATGTACCATGGATCCCCAGTCCTTTTCAGTCACTTGGCACACTGAAATCTTGAGTCTGTTGTGGGTGCTCTCACAAAATGGCTGCCATAGGGTGTGGCTTGTCCATTGTTGGGTGGTGGGCAAGGCCAGTCACACACATTCATTTCTCAAAGGCAAAATGGTGAGAATAAAATATGAGGGGTCTTCAAAAAATTTCTCCACTTTTTAAAACTCAATTTATTAAGAATTTCAAAAACAAGTTACATCACTTTTCTACATAGCCACCATCATTTTCGATGCATTTTTCCAGCGTCATACCAACTTTTTAATGCCATCAGCAATAATATACAATATTTATAAAATATAAAAGTGCAGAAACTTTTTAAAGACCCCTCGTTAAAGTAACTTGCCCAGGAACCTCAGCGTCAATCAGAGGTGGGATTTGTGCTCCAAACAGAAACTCAGAAATTAAAATAAAAATCAAGACAAGTAGAGACTTCCAGGCACCACCTGAGAGATTCGAAACAGTGGAGTTCTGCCGAAAGCGAGAAACGGCACTTTAGCGCTTTTTAGTGCTGCTGAAATTTTGCTTTTCTATAATTGGCGGAAGTGTGCGTAAAGCACAGCATAGTATCCCGCAATGTCCTTTCCTGTGGCCACGATCCTAGTCAATTCTGCTCTGCAACATTTCCTATTTACCGCTCGGAAATCTCTATACTAAAATACAAAGAGAGAGATCAATCTTGCAAGGACACACGCAACGAGCTAATGAGCCAAGAGAGTGCTGGGAGACGAAGGCGGCGGAACAGAAAAGTGGCTCTTCCAGAAAACCCTGCCGGGATACCCAGAGCAAGAAGGAAAGCTCGCTCACGGCCGTCGGGCAGCCCCCACCCCCCCGGATTCCTGCTAGGAGCGGCAGCCCCACACCTCCGCCTCGGCCCCAGGTCGGGGCGGGCTGCCGCAGGTAAGACATCGTGCCCCCCTCGCGTGGACTCACGCTCCCAAGAAGTTCCGGATGTGCTCCTGGCAGTGGTCCAGGTAGCCCCCGCCGTGCAGGGTGGAGTTGGAGACAAGCAGCAGCCGGCGACGCTCCATGGGCACGGAAGCAGCCCGCGCGGAGAAGCGCGCCGCGCGAACGCCAGCGCGGAGGTGCAGCGCCAGGGTAGTTGCGGCGGAGGCGTGCCTGGAGGTCGATCCAGGCGCGGCTCGGCGCGGCTCAGGCGGGCTCCACGGGCCCGCCTCCCCGCTCGCGCCGCTGAGGGCTCGATTGCTCCGGCCTCCCTCCCAAGCCCCGCCTCCTGCCAGGCTCCGCGCGGGGCGAGGCGAGGCAGGCGGGCGACGCGGACGTGGACGGGCGGGAGCACCATGCTGGACTTTGCCATCTTTGCAGTCACCTTCCTGCTCATCCTGGTGGGAGCCGTGCTTTACCTCTACCCGGTAAACAGGGGCCCGGAGCGGGTGGTCCCTGAAAGCGAACCCGCAGAGGAGGAGCGAATAGCCGAACCTCGGAAGTCTCTCGCCGCGCTCGCTGACTCTGTTGCCGTGCCGCCCTGTACGTCCGCCCTCTCCAGCCTGGAGCCCTCCAGATGAGTGGCTGCAGTCCACCACATCTGGAGGACTCCAGGTTGGGGAGCAGTGCTGCAGGCGTTTACTCTGAAGGAAGCCCTATCGGTTTCAGTGGGGCTTACTTCCAGGCAAGTGTGCGAGCGGTTGTAGCCTGGACAGTGGAATCTCTGTGCACACTGCTCAGAAGTGAGCCCCATAACATTCAATGGGATTTGCAGGCGTATAAAAGATTCCAGCCTTCGTCTTTAAAATGCCCCAGGATTCCAGTGCAGTCTTGCACATATCCGCCCAGAAGTAAGGCCCGTTGAGGTCAGTGGGACTTTTAACAGTGCGGTCTTATGCATGTCTAGGAAGAAAGTCCCACGGAGTTTTCATGGGAGTTACTCCCAGGGGTTAGGATTGCAGCTTCATATGGAGTTAGACTTGCTGTCTTCCTCTGTCAGCTGAAGACAAGGCACGAAAATAATTTCCTGCAACAAAACATTAGAGGTATGTTCTTAATAGTTTACATGCATGTCACATGGATGCTTTCCTGGAAAGGAGCTCTGTGGCTTGCAAGCAGGCTTGCTCTCACATGTTGGGTTGCAAAACTGTGACCCCAGCCTGGGCAGGGACAGCTTTTCCATTGACCAGCATGGAGCAGCCGTTGTAGGCAGCAGGTGCTGGAGAGCCGCCGCAGCCCACCCAGGATTTTTCTCTCCTGAGCGCCTGTTCCCATCATGTGGTTGCTCTTTCACCCTTCAATTAGCCCACTACCCTCAGTTGTAGTGGAGGACATTATCCAGTCCCCAGGGAAAACTTTACCTGCCAGTCACATTTGGCTGTGAGTCTGGAATGAGGGTTTGGTTGCTATCTTGTTCTTTGCCTCTGGCAGCAAAAATCTGCCACCTGTCTGGACCTTAGGCAAGTTTACGTAGAAGTGAAAGCTGTTCTGCAAGCACTTTTAAGGAGTAAAGCACCTGGAGTGGAGAGGGGACCTTTAGAACTATTCTGGGCTGCAGAGACTGCATCAATCCAAATCTTAGCAAGAATTTGCCAACAAATATGGAAAACAATGGCCCACAGATTGGAAACATCAGTATGCATCTGAATCCCCAAGACATGAGATGTGTGCAGCAACTATAGGACCAGTACACTAATTTCCCAACAAGTACACTAATTTCCTGACCAGTACACTAATTCCCCATGCAAGCACAGTGAAGGTCAAAGTGTTGCAACAATTTTACTGTATATGCAGCAAGAAGTGCCTGTCAATCAAGCTGAATTCCAAAAAGGAAGAAGCTACTCGGATGCACCAAAAACAAAACAAAAACCCAGAGGATCCATCTTTGTTTTAGAGATGACAGCAAAGTCTTTGGCCATGTGTATCATGAGAAGCTATGGATGCTCCTGAAAGAAAAGAGTGTGCACTTGAGTATCCTGATGTGAATCTGTATGATGAACAAGAAGTTACTTTTAAAACAAAATAGGGAGAAACAGGATGGTTTTCTATAGGCAAAGGCATCAGACAAATGTGTATGTTATTTCCTTGTCTGTTTCCTTTGTACACAAAATATATCAAGGAAAGCTGGATCTGTAGCAGAGGAAGAAGGAATGGAAATCAGTGGAAGACATCAGTAATTTAAGATACTTAACTTTCAGAATTTAAGCTATGCAGATGATGCCATGCTACGGGAGGAAAGCAGCAATGAATCGAAGTAACTCCTGATGCAAGCGAAAGGGCAAAGTGCAAAAGTGGGACTGCAGCTGAACAATAAGAAAACAAAACTATGGCTACAGAAGAATTATACAGCTTTAATGTCAGCAAAGAAGAAATTGAAATCTGAAGAAAACTGAGGCCTGGAAGGCTGCAATGAAGGAACTAGAAAGGCTCCTCAAGAGTAAGGATGTTTCCCTGGGGACCAAGGCCAAGATCATCCACAGTATTGTAATCCTGATCACTGTGTGTGCCTATGAAAGCTGGGCAGTGGTGAAAGCTGGCAGAAAGAAAATGGATTTGTTGCAAATGTACAAACCCTACCTCACAGGGTTGTTGTGAGGATTAGATTGAGAAGGGAAGACTAATTCTGTAAGCTGCCTTGAGTTCCTTGGAAGGAAAAAAAGCAAGCTATTCATATAAGAAATACTTACAGAATTTTAATTTAAAACACAACATAAAAAAATAGATGAAAAAGACACTTTTACTCCTGTTTCTGGTAGTTCAGAGATGCTATGGAAACTAGCTGGAGCATCCATCTTGCCTTCCTGCTCTGGGAACTGGTGTGTAGTATCTAAAGTGTTGGGACTGGGTTGAGACTCAGGAGACCTGGGCTATAATTTCCATTCAGCCCTGGCACTCAGCTATTTCCTCTCTTTGGTTTTCAGTCCATTTTATTTCATACTTCTCTACTATCCAACTTTAGGAATTCTGAAACAACAACAGGATGAAGAATTCCCTGGTTCAAATGCTCTTGCTGTAACAAACTGCAGTTTAGAGAGGACTTGGAAGCACCAACTGGTAATGCTGAACAAATATGGCTCTGTGGCAAAGGCTCTGCTTGGCATTAAGAGGGTTGCCAGTTTGCTTCGTGGCTTCTTCATGAAAAACAGCACCTCACAGATGCTGACAAAGGCTTTACTGGAGAACCTGCAGAGCTTCTACCAGTTAGTGCAAGCAATACTGGGCTAGATGGACCAGCTGGCCTGGTGCAAGACAGCTGTGAGTTTGTCCTGCTCTCTTGGGACCATCCTAAATCTCCTCATAACTTTGAGAATTACAAATCCATTCAGTGTCCTATCCAGTGGGCTATATCCCATAATACTGTAGCCTAGCTTTCTCCAATGCAGCATCTTCCCAATGTGTTTGCCTACAGATCCTATCACCAACTAACATATCTGTGATCACATTGAAGATTGAGCCATCTGTTAGGCACCAGGTTGCGAAAGTCTGCTCTTACTTCAACCCCATTCTTTTCAGTAGGTCAGGAGGAGAATTATGTAACCTGCCTTGAATTCCTTGAAAGGGAAAAAGGCAGGATGTAAATATAGCACATAAATCAATAAAGTAAGACTCACATTGGGTGCAACCCTTTGTGGGTTGACAGCCAAACTAGAAGCATCACAGAGAAAATGTGCATTTCCTCTTCCTGGTTGGAATTCACAGGAGGGGGTGCAGATTCTAGGCTGAATGCTTGGTTAGACTGATGCTCTAATGTAGGTTCTGTCTGGTCAGCACCCTGATGAGAGACTGCCTGGGAACCACAATGGATGGGACCACCATAGGGATATTAAAGTAATGAATGTATTAATTAAGCATCCCAAGTACATTTATTGTGAAGGGGAATGTGTGGTTCTTGTGCACAAGTAAATGTACGTAGCACTGAGGGATAAAGCAACTACAGTTAGGGAGTATGTGCGAGTCCTGCGAAAGTTAGGGGGCCTTCCAGTCCTGCCTGTGGATGGATCACATGGACCTAAAGCAGCTTTCCTCAACTGGGTGGCCTCCAGAGCCTAAGCACATAACAGATGCATTATTCTGACTGTTACTATTCTTCTTAGTCCTCCAGGCAGGCTTCAGACATCCCAGGGATGACTCCAACGGATGAAAAGTAAGTGGCTTCTTTGTTCTCTAGCATTTGCGATATATCCATTTAGGGCACAACTGTTTCCCTTCCGTGCACAGAGAGCTACTCCGCGGTGTGTAGGAAGAGTTTTTCCCTCTGCTCCCAGCCATCTTGTTCACAACGAAGGAAGCCTTCCCCTGGCCCTCTCTGTGCTGCATCAACTGGCTTGCCTGTCTCCATCGCTGGAGCATGGTCAGTTTTGTTGTTTTAAGTTTGTTGTGAACTGCAGACTGTCTGCTAGAAGAAAGATGTGCTCACACAGGCAGTGTCTGGCTGGAAAATGGAGGGATTTGAAGAGCCCAACCTATCTCTTTCTACATGCCATTAGCATTGAACCAGGTATGTCTACCTGCTGTTTGGGACATTGGGAGAATTCTGTGGGTACTCCCACAAAATGGCTGCTGTGGTAGGCATGGCTGATCACAAAGTGTCCATTTTCCAGAAGGCAAACTGGTGAGGCTAAAAGGAAAAGAACATGCCTGAGAACTAAAGTACAAATCAGAGCTGGAGGCTGAGCTCCAAAACAAAACCAAAAGCATTCTTCTGAACCTACAGGTTTCTACTCCAACACTTATTTCTCAGAAAGAGACTGAAAGAAAAGGGGCACAGATGCATTCTTGGGAAAACAGATGACTGGTTTCCAGTATGTTGGTCTCCCAGTTTGATTTTGTTAATTTAAACATGCTTAAAATGCATCAAAAATCAGATGGGGCTGAGAGATTGGTCAGTACCATGAGAGGTGCCCATGAACTCTTTGCGGGAGACCCTGAGGTATTGCTGTATTTGTCCTGCTTTCATTCCAGAGATGGGAACCTCCCAGACATCATAAGTAGTGGCAGCTTGCATGAGTTCCAAGTAAATCTCCATGAGAAATACGGTCCCATCGTATCCTTCTGGTTTGGACGGCGGCTTGTGATCAGCCTCGGGTCCATCGATCTCCTGAAGCAGCATGTCAACCCCAACAGGACCTGTGAGTTACAAAAGATCTGTTGGGTGGAATCATAAATGGTCGATGGGGGCATGAGCTTGTGTGGGCTTCAGCAGGTGCACGAAGGGGTTGCCTCAGCTGGAAGAGCATGTGCCTCTCTGCGTATAAGTACAGAGGGAAGATGGTTTGCAGGGGAACGTTATCGCAGGGTGAAGGCGGAAGCCTAGACTTGCGAAGTGACAGTCAAACCACTGTGCTGTGCAAAGTACAAATGAGAATAAAATCCATTCAAAAGAGGAAGAATTTCATTGGAGAAGCTGTGATCCTAAATGGTTAGGTTCCTAACAAATCCTAAATGGATAAACCAAGACAAATAGTTTACATATTCATTCATTTATTCCTGCAAAGTCTGTTCCCTAAATACACAGAGATGGAAATGTCTCACCCCCACTCCACATTTTCTGAGTTCAGTGCTATGCTGCTGCTTGTATACAGAATGTGTGTTCTTTGCCCTATACACTGGGTATTGATGGCACATTATAGATGATGTCATGCTAGAAGTTGCACAGTGGAACAAACCTGAAAGGGGTTTGCTGTGTTGAGCATGTCATTTGAGGAGATGCAGTTGGCCCAGCAAGTGCCTTATTCTGTGATACTCAAACATACAACAAGAAATTCATTCTGACGAAATCCCATTAAGTGCACCATCCACCACGCCCAATAAATCTTTTGGTTTTTGAGAGACACACAAGATGCTCTGTGTCTCGGGACTACTAAAAGAAAAGACTACCTAGGGCTACCCCTTCACAATTATCTGTCGTTTGTTGCACAAAGATGGCTGAGAGATGCAAACTCCAGATTGGCTGCACCACTGAAACTTGGTTGTAAGCCGTCCCGGGACGTTTTGTAAAGGAAGGGGTATAAATATTGTTAATAATAAATGAATTAATGATGAATGATGGCACAGAGCTGGTTTGAAGATGAATGGATACGATCAGGCCCAAAGCCGCAGCTTTATGTGCTTCTAGAACCTAAAAGCTCTCAAAGCAGGTTAAATTTCTTGTGACAGTTTTTAAAACATTCTTGACTTAAAGGAAGCACAGCATTTAACAAGTCCATTCCTGTGCTTGTTCCTTCCAGTAGCAAATAAACAGTACAAAATCCCTTAGACAAGCTGTTTATTAAAATAGTGATTTTAGAGGTGTATGTTTTTATTGTAAAACCTGTTACTGGGAATGTCTCTGGTAATTCTTGAAATTCACTTCTCAGTCACTGGGCATCAATATTACTATTACTGTTGTGATCCATATTTTATTTCTCAAATCCCCTTTTCAAAAGAGACTTGAGGTAACTTAGAACAAAATCAAAACGTATGCAGTTTAAAACAGCTAAAGCAATTCCATCAGTTGCTTGGAAAAAGAGGAAGGCTTTAATCTGGAGGAGGAAAGATGACAGTGTTGGTACAGCTGTGATTTGTTGGGGAGAACATTCTAAAATTCAGGGGACCACCACCAAAAAGGCTTTCTCCCTTGTTATCATGTGGGAGGGTAGATAGAAAACCACTAAACCTTTTTCAGAGGAGCAACGATAGAGGCAGAGTGAGTGACATAAGATTCCTCCATATGCTCCCCTTCTACCTGGCAGATTTTGTATAGACATGGGAGAAGATACGTATTTTCCTTTACTTGTGATCTCTAAAAGAGTGAGGGTAAAAGATAGATCAGGTGAATCTTTGGGAGATTTGCACTCAATTACCAAGAGTTCCTTAGCAAAACTCTGGGAGATTTGTGATTGATCTCCAAGGGTATATTAAGGGTTGCATGGATACCACTTGCAGTGTGAGTAACTGTTAAATTGTAGCATTGAAGATTCAGGGGCTTCTTCTGATCTTTGAATAACCCGAGGGAGCAGTGCCAGCCCTAGGCTTTTCAAGATCCTCAGGCAAGGCTTACTCGGTGAGTTGACCCTTCTCATCCCCATGCTCAGCAGAAGGTCTTGCTGCTCATCCTGTTCCTCCTGACTCCTGGGACTCACCGGCTTGGGCGGAGAGTGAGGCAGCAAGGTGGCCCCCATGGTCTCTACTGCTCCTCCGCCTCACCATCCATTTTCTCTGAACCGCAGTGAAAAGCAGGTGAACATGTAGGTTGCCGTGGGGAAGAAGCCAGTGGGGGGGGTTCTTTTGAGGAGCCCCTAGCTGAGGAGTAGGCTTTTTAGGTGGCCAGCCATTCCTGACCTTGACGCCAGCCCTGGGCAGGAAGATTGACATGAGACGATGCCCGCATTCTCTTCCTCGTATGTTATCTCTTGCTGCAAACAAAAATCAATGCCTTTCCCCCTGTGCCAAAGATTTCAATTTTCCATCTTCAGGGCTGGGGGCAGGCATCGAATTATTATTCTTTCATATTTAGAGTAGACAAGACCTGAAGGTAAACATGCACTATGTCTTTTTTTAAAACTTCTAGTAATTAAGTATACTCGTGTAGGTAGCAATTTTACTTGTGCTTTGTCTGCAAGATTTCTTGACTTCCCTTTTTTTGTTCTTTTCTGAATTATTGAACCCAGCCGAAAAACATCAATTTTAGCTCAACTGCCTTCAAATTGGGCTTCAAGCAAAGAAAAGAATTGGATAGAGATGGAAGCCGCTAAAGGATGTGGAAATGACAGAGGCCCAGGCCTTTGAACAGTTTAAAACTGATTTCAGGCTTCAGAGGCTGCATCTGCTCTGCAGGAAATCTGCATTACTGTTTTCGTGGGTTTGTTAGGTTTGTGTTGCTTGTAGGCATGTTTGCCTCATGTCACCAGCAGCTTGCCAAGCTGATGCCAGAGCGGCTACGCACCACAGAAACAAGAAGGTAAAACAGAGTAGATTTCCAGTGTAGTCCTATAGATAGCTATTCAGAAGTCCCATCAAATTCAAACGAGGGCAGGCTTACTCCAGGTTCAGTGGGTATAGCAAGATGTTGGACAAAGTTTGGCCTTCCTGGCATCTCACTATGGACTCCAGGGGTGGCCTATGCCACCTTTCCCCACCCACTGATTGTTGGGCAGTTTCTTGGCTTTTGTGCCATTTTCCCCATTCCAGATGGTTGAAATCCCCTTCCAAGGCTACCTCTAATACTAAGAGCTTTAAGCATAAGCATGCCTGGGTTTGGCCCTGGTCCTTCCCCTTTTGCCCTTGGCTTCATCTGCCCCTGGAATGTGGCTCCAAGAGCTTCTCCAAACTTGAATGTGGCCCTTGGGCCAAATCAAGAGGTTCTACACCAAACTGAGAGGTTCAGCACCGCTAGGGTACAGGATCGCAGAGTTTGTGACTCCTTTGTGCTAGGAAGAGGCATAAAAATGGACTCTGGCAGAGCATTTATGGCCAGGCTGACTGGCTGTTTGAGCCCCACTTAGCCAGGAGGCCCACTGCCATGGCGTGGCCCTGTTACTCTTTTCCCACGGTGAGGTAGGAGAAGCAGGTGAGGGGAGGCTGGAGGTTGTGCAGTGCAGTGGAAACCATCATTGGGAATGATACAGGGGAAGAAGATGGGATGTTTGAAGGCACAAGGGGGTGGGGGAGAGTCAGAGGTACAGCACAGCCAGGGCCCACGGCGACATGGCACAGGCACTTTAATCAGTGAATTAAATTTCTATGCCAACTAGCATCCCTGGCTTTGCAGGGTTGCTGCCACCACTTTCCGCTTCCCTCGAGCTTCCTTTTCTTGCCCGAGCGTAGCTGCAGCCTTTGCAGTAGCTGGAGGAGAGAAGGGCTTTCCCCAGCAATGCTGTAAGGTTGGCTTTTGGAGTACATGGTATTCGGGGGTGGCTTGCTCCTGCCATGCCAAGGGCCTTCCCTGGTGGGGAGGAGCTAGAACAGGCTTGTCAGCAGCAGTCCAAGGGCCGCCTGCTTTCTTTCGTCTCTGCTTGCAGAGATGCGCCCACGGAGACCGATGCCATGCGTGCCGGCATGTCATTGTTTATCGTTACAGCCACGTGACAAGCCCCACCCATTCAAAATTTAGGCTCCAGCTCCACACGCCACTGGTGTGCACCTCTTGGCAGACTGCCTGTGCACGCATCCCATGAGAGGAGAGGGTGAAGGCTCCCGTGGAGTAAGGACTGTGCGCCAGTGCCCTCTGCAGGAGCAATCATGCCGCGGCTCTCAGCCAGCTGCAGTTTTGCTAACTCATTGCACTGCCAAAGGCTTGCCTTACAATCATCGGACGGGACCGGGCAGAGAATATTGTCAGCCAGCAAAGTGACAGGCATCAGAAGTGGCTGTTGAGGCAGCTCTGGTCATCCCTGGCAAGAGCTGTGTATTGGGCTTCTCACGTGTCCAGCGTGGATGAAAAAAGGAACTTTGGGAAGAATACCTTGGTGACCCAGTGCAGGAATAAGTGGAAGATAGAGCTCCATGTAGTCTGGACTTCACCTCCCAGCATTCCTGAGCTTTGGCCATGCTTCTGGGAGTTGAAGTCTAGAACATCTTGAGTTCTTTAAGCCTGCCTCCGGCCTATTAGGAGTGCTATCAATGCAAGGGGCCATGTCACAACAATGAAATGGAGTGGGGCTGGTCTAGCGTTTTGGTTGGTTTGTTTGTTTGTTTAAAGCTTTTATACGTTATTGACTTCTCATAGTGTTGCGTGGCAGTCCATTCCAACAGGAGAAGCTGGCCATTCCTAGTTCCATCTCAGGCCTAGGCCATTGGGTGCCATGCAGAGATTTTAGACTACAACTCTCATAATCCTGGACCATCCATCACGCTCACTGGGAGTGATGGGAACTGTAGTCCAAAGCATCTGGATGTTGCCTAGCCCTGGGGTGTTGCTAGGTGCTTTAGTCAGCAACCTGTCATGTCAGTGGACTGCTTGGAGAAGGACACTATCCACTGACTTCCTCTGCCATTATTCTGCAGAGGAAATGGGCAAGGTAGGAAGTGCAAACATGTGAGGCTATTGCCCAGATGTTGCTTGGAGATGTTGCCTCGATATCCCTAAATATAGATGCTCAGAAAGTCAGGCACAATAAAACAACCTGAATTTTTGTGTAATGTTTTCCCTCTTGCAAAACTCAATAAGCTTGGGTGCAGAATTCCCACCTGCATCTCACACTCTCCTGGGTGAAGAATTCAGGGTTTTCTACCGAACCAGAGATTTTTAAATACCTTTGACAGACCAGGAAGTGTTGTAATTGGAGCATTGCAGAACTCTGTGCCAGGTTTCACATCTTTTCTGCCTCCCTCCCTCCCTCCCTTTCAGTGGACCCCTTTGAAACAATGCTGAAGTCCTTGTTGCGGTACCAATCTGGCCTGGGTCGTGATGTGAGCGAGAGCTGCTTAAGGAAGAAGGTGTATGAAAATGGTGTAACCAAGTCTCTGCAGAGTAATTTGCCTGTCATCCAGAAGGTGACCAGCTTCATCTGAGGGCTGGCATGGGGGTGTTTTTCTTGGTTGGTGTAATGAGCTATGACTGACAAACATGTGGGATGCCATGTCCATAATTTCAACCTTCTCTGATCATTAATGTTGTGTAGAAAGCAGACCCACTTGCCCCAGTGGTAAATACCATCTAGCACACCTCCTCTTAATATTATTCCAAGCCACTCATTTATTGGCTGGGATTGTAGCTCTGGAGTAAAATACACCTATTGCTCACCCAGAGTTCAATTGTCATCCCAGTTAGGAGGTCTGGGAAAGACCTTCACCAGTTCAGAAGACAAGACCAAGAAGACAGTGGTCTGACTTGGTATACAGCAGTTGTGTGCGTTTATATCAAAGTGTTACAGAGAAATGTGGAATGTTTGGTGGGAATGGGTGTACTAGAGGGTTTACGGTCACAGTGAATCTTGGCCATAGATACAAAAAACTGCTGGTAATTAACCTATTTACTGTTGAGATAAAAGGCTAAATAAAGCCCAACGGCTCTGTCAACAGATTTACTTATTACATATCTCTAAAGCTTTTGTGACCTCAGAGAAGCGCCCAGCATGGTTCTTACTCCACAGAACAGGCTATTAGTTCAGGAGAGTTTTCCGGCCTTGAATCTGGGAATCCAACCCACACACCCCCATGGCCATCAGATGCTCTCTAGCATCCATGGGGTTGCTCTGCAAACATTTAAATGTTTAAATGAACAAAGTGAACATCAGCAGCAGTGTAAATACAGTAACAGATTCAAAAGAAAGACCAACAACCTAAAATGCCTGGGCCCTCCATTCACCTAATTCCAGCTAAGACACCCACCCCCAACCCAGTGCCTTCCAGCACTCATGCCCTGTCCCTTCCATCAACCCAGCCATCTGCTGACTGAGATTGATGGGAGTTGTAGTGCAACACAGCTGGAGGTGTCAGTTTGGGAAGGCTGAACTAAGAAGTTACACAGGGCTGAGCATGCTTCCAACTGCTGCAAAACTCTCACATCCAACTCGGAGAGGAATATGCGGGGGGGGGGGTCCATAACGCAAAGGAATGCACAGGCGTGGTGTGGAGCAGTTCCCTGGTTAGATCCTGGGTATCCAGTTTAAAAGGATCAAGTGAGAGATCCCTCTCAGGCAGAATAGGCCAAGCTGGGCTAGATGGAGCAGTAATCCGATCTCCAATCAGGCAGCATCCTAGTTCTGGAGGTTGCAAATAGTGGCTTAGCACTAAGTGACCGAGTAGTTAGTCCCAATAAAGCCTGCTGTGGCTTTGGGTTTTTCCCCCTAATGGATCAGAATGGCTCCCCACGCCTTTTGCCCGTTATATCAGAGTTTCAAATAATTATCAGAGAGCCAGTGTGATGTAGTACTTGGTGTACTGGGCTGGGGCTCAGAAGATCTGGGTTCTAGTTCCCACAGAATCATCACATTTGGACAATCATCTGAATGGGATGCTGTACATCGGTGCCCTGCAATAGCAGGGGGTGGACACAGTGGCCTTCTGGCCCCTTTCAGCTCTAAGATTCTGTGATTCTATGAAGATCACTGGGTGATGTTGGGCCTGTTACTGACACTTAGCCAGACCTACCTCACAGGGTTGTTGTGAGTAAATGGTTAGCAGGAAGATGTGTAAGTCTTCTTGATAACTTGCAAAAGAAAAAAGACAGTATAAATGTAACAATAATCAGGTTTAGGATTCGCCTTTGTAGATTTTGCATCAATGGCAGTCAAGATGATTAGAAATTAATAGCCTGATGCTAACACTAGTGCACTGCAACTGATAGTGCGGCGCCTTACAAGCTGCCGGTTTCATTCAGAACGTCTGTGCAAAGAACCATCTCTGTTCAGTTGTTCTGCGGAGTGGGCCCAGCTCCGTGTCCTCTTCCTTTGGCATGCTCAAACTGGCCCTTTCCAGTAATATGAATGAGGAATTCTGTTCACCCAAATGCTCCCTGGCATGTAAGTAAACCATCTTAGAATAGTTGGGGTTCTGGGTTTTTTAGATACATTACCAGGCCTATTTGTATCCCTCAGGACAAATAATAACACACCCTTTATCATTTTCATTTTAATGGTGGGTTAACTTAGCACAACAGAAAAGGTACATTTCTCCTGAAGTTGCAAATTACTCTGGTCGCTCTTGAATGGAATTTCTCAATTACTCCCCTCCCGAAAAAAGCCTACCTAGTAAAATAACTCATGGTGGGAGGACAGGGAGAGAAAGATAGTTCTCACCATTCCCCCCGTCCGCAGAAGGGAAATTTGGAAGCAGTTTACCATCTAAAGGGTCTGGCTGTGTCATTCCCCAAGACTAAGCACTGCTGAGTGCTTGCATTTCCTTCAGAAAGGAAAGGGTTACATCTGGATGCTTGCGTCATGCAGAATGTACAAGCTCTCACTGTCTGTCTTTGAATGATGGAAGTGCTAATGAACATTACATACCCATCCAAGTTCAGTACACATATGGACATTGCAAAGATGGTGGGTTTTACCAATGAATCTCCCCATGTCAGCTTTTGGCAGCATTCCTAAAACTCTTTCTCACAGTACTGTATGAGGAAGAAAAGGGGCCAACACAATTTTCCTTCTTTTTAAGCTGTCAGAAGAATTATTAGCAAAATGGCTGACCTTCCCGGAGTCTCAACATGTGCCACTCAGCCAGCACATGCTTGGGTTTTCAATGAAGAGCGTCACGCAGGCTGCCATGGGCAGCAGGTTTGAGGATGACCAGGAAGTGATCCGATTCCGTAAGAACCATGACGCGGTAAGTCTATGCAGGGAAGAGGTAGGCACTTGACTTTCATACCACAGGAGGCTGAATAATTTCAGTATTAAATTAAACAGCACTGAAGCAAGGAGGCACCCTTGCTTAATCCTTGCGACTATTGGAATAGCCTTGTGAGATCTGCTTGGGAGCGCCTTCTCTCCTACCAACGTGTACAGGTTGGCCCACATCTCCAAAATGCAGTATTCTGTGCTCGAGAGCTCAGACTCTAAATGTGAGCAAGAAGTAGCAGGGGAGGTCATCAGGTTGGTGGTTTGGCATCGACTCAGATGAGCAGACCAGTTAAGTAATGTCCTGCATTCCCACTGGCAGGTCCACGGGCAGCAGGAACTTCCCTGAGGGTGGGTCCAGCCTGTTTGGAAGGGAAGGGAGGAGGTGGATTCATTTTGGAATCAACTTCTGACATGGGCAAGAGCCATCTCCGGCAATCAGAAATTGTTACCTAGATAGATGCCTCCCCTTGACAACTTGTGTATTACTCACTCTGTATTGCAGAGCCAGCCCTTACTAGAAGAATATTTAGAAGCTTTTCACCTTGATGTGTTTGAAAGAGAAAAGGGCATGATGCCTGCCTATTTGTGGAGATCTTCAGATCAGGCACCCCTTGGTGGTTCCAGGTGGCTGTGCATCTCATTTGGAGCCTGCTTGGAGCAGAGGCTTCCAGGCATTGGCTCCCTCCCTGTGGAATGGAATTTGCAGGGCAAAGATGTTTTACTTCTGTTTTATGGCCTTTTAAAGACCATAAAGCGTTATCAGCAAGCTCTTCCCTTATTGACCTGCTACAGTTTTAATGGCAAAACTTGATTTTAAATATTTTGATTTTTTAAAATTGGTGACTACTTGGGCAACTTACTAGTTATATAGCTGTATATAAATTTATAAGTGACTGTGGAGATCATTTTTGTAGCAGATGATTAGTTGAAATATCCTGGCCCTCTTTCAGCATCACTCTTTGGACCTTATTGTAGTTCAGCAGATCATGTCTGTGCCTGTGTCTCAAACGTTGGCTTGGATCGTGAGATGGTGATGGTGATGACAACGATGACATTACATTTCCATACCACTGATAGCCAAAGCTTTCTGGGCAGTTCACAACATTGAAGTCACCCATCCAAGCCCAGCCCTGCTTAACTTCCAAGATTGTGTAGGATCAGGCACTTCCGGTTATACTTCAGGAAGTAACTTTAGGAAGTTCATGGTAGGAAGGTTTCCCATTCTCTCCTTTTCACTGAAAGGCTTGTTTGGGTCCTCCTGACCAATGTGGAACGAGGGCATAGGCTAGTGGGCAGCTGGGGCAAAAGGAAGAAGCTCAGAAACCTCCTAGGCTAAGTTATCTTTGGATGCAGCCTTCTATTTTGCAACCTTCCTGTGGATCCAAAGTCCTAGTTTTTATATTCTGTAAAGACTGATGTAAGATGAGACTATGTCTGCCTGGAAGGGTAATACGGCACTTATATACCTATTTCAGATCTGGGCAGAAATTGGAAAGGGTTTCTTGGATGGATCACTTGACAAAAGTGTGACCAGAAAAAAGCTGTACGAAGATGGTAAGTTCCATTCCTTGTAGCCCCTGTTTGGTCGAACAATTACTGGATAGATAGGGTGATCACAGCCAGACTGCCAATGGCTTTTTGGTGGGAAACCACATAGATGCTTTCGCAGAAGGTTCTTGAAGTTGACACGGTTGCCCTGAAATTGGCTTTGCCTTATCTTGTAGCACAGATTGTCCTGGATTTTCTTTGGTTGTTTTCTTAGAAAAAGGAAAGGATTTTCATGCTCGTAGTTGCAGAGGCATGAAAAATGTGAGCTAGACACATGAAATCTGGACAGAACTTCCAGCAGACTGGATTTGCCATTCTTATGCTACTCTGTAGTAATGCCTTGGGCAAATTGGCCAAGGCAGGATATTAATATTTAAATTCTAGGCAGTCCTCGTCAGACCATAATCTATATCACTGAGAGTTGGGTGCATTTGTTAAGCATGCCTCCCTGCTGTGGGATTTCTGCACCAGTCCAATCCATTATCACTCCCGCCTTCATTCCTGCCCTCCTCCTTTCATGGACTGCTTTGCCATCGTTTGAACTTGTCCAGGTCTACATTCTGCCTAGGCCAAGAGTGGGCAGAGTTTGCAAAGTGGGTGGTATTTGTGTGAAACCAGGGTGAGCACCTCATGGAATTAGACCCCAAGTTGTAAATGTGCATTTACGCGTGCTGGGGAGGAAAGAGGTCAAAAGCGGGCGAATGGTCTCTGAAGTCCTGTTGAGTGGCCCTCAGTACTCCTGCCACAATGACATTTCCCACCTCTGATTTGGGTCCTTACTCTGAATGGCATCGGGGAAGCAGTTCCCCTGATAGGCTTAGAGACAGCCATCCCCCAGGACCCTGAAGCAATCCAGATCACTGCTTCCATTCTGTTAGCAGTGGTGGGAAAGCATTGGGGTTACTGGGTGGTGGTTACTGGAAGGAGATTTAGACCTCCCTCTCTTAGCAACCCCAACACAGCATCCCCACCTCAGTGATCATATGAGCTTTTCTGAGACGGATGGATAGAATGAGTGAAGTTAAAGTCGTCCCGCCATCAAGACTGAGCTGCCTACCGCCAGGTGTGTTTGCACCTAGACCTTACTGGAGAACATAAAATTGGGGCTTCTGAAAAGGCTGCAGCCCCATTGGTCTGTTGCACTGAAGCTGAGGGTTGTGGAAGGCTTTGTTTCTGAAGGGGTTCCTACTTGAATGCATTCTTTGTTGTCAGTATTCAGAGACCTGCTTCTGCTATTAAGGGTTTGCTCCCTGAAAGGTGTCTGAGAGATCCACAGATAGCACTCAAAGAACTGGGCTTAGTGCAAGAGCCCACCCTAACCCTCTCCAGAGCTTGGGATTCTTTTTATTGGGTATGTTCCTGCCTGACAAATTTCTCTGCTGTGATGCTCTGTCTGCAGTCCTGCATCTGCTCCAGCAGCTCTTCTGCAAGGGGCCTTGTCACTTCATGCTGACAGCCCAGCCTCTGCTTCTTGCGGCACCCTTTGCCAGCAGGTTGTTCTCCAGGGGATTTGGACTGCAATTTCACCATTTTGCATGGCTGATGGTTAGGGATGATGGAAGCTGTAGACCCAAACATCTAGAGGGCACTTGCCTGCGGAAGGTTGCCCTGCCAGAAGCTTTCACCCTTTCACAACAAGAGCACCCTTTGTAAAGGCACCTTGCACCCTCAAAGCTCCAGCTTGCAGTAGCTTTGAGTGCAAGAGCCTTGTGCTTGAGCTTCTGGATAAGGCTGTAATTGAAGTGGAAAGGGGACGTGCAATATAGAAATTGCAACAATATATTGCAGCAATATAGAAATTGTTGCATTTAAAGGAAATCCAGAGATCTCTTTGACATGTGGACATGGCAGGAAGCAGTGGTTGTATATCTTAAGCATATTTTGTAAACCAGAAATGTGGAACCTCTTTCAGCCCAGGGGCCACATTTCCATTTTGCAGATGCTCTTGCTGGTAGGTGGGGCCATAATATAAAAAATGCTTATTCTAGTGTGGCATTCTGTTGGTCACTTTTAAGATGGGCAGAAGGGTGTGCAAAAGCCAGGAAACCACAGATGGTTGGGAAAGGAGATGGGATGGAGGGAGCACGGCTAGTCAGAGTCCCCGGAATTACAGGCTCAGAAGATGCAGCATCCCTGCCTGCCCTTGTACCTGCTGCCTTGCCCCAAACATCCCCATGTTTGTCTCAACCATCCTAACTTCTGTAGGCTTCCCTTTCCACTAGTTTCATGAATATTATGACTGGGAGGTGCACTTGCTCTTCCTCCCTCTCCATCACTGCTGCACCTCTGGCTGGGAGCTGTGGTGCAATAAATGCATAGCTGCCTCCAGCCACTCTTAATCCATAATGTGTGATGCACTGCTGAGGGAAAGGGCTTGAGCAGCAAGAAGATTTCCAGGAAGAAACATCCTGTGCCGGTTAATGAGAGAACTTGTTCTTCTCTGTGCTTGCAGCTCTCACAGAGATGGAGCTGGTCTTGAAGAAAGTCATAAAAGAGCGACAGGGAAAGAGCTTCAACCGGTACATCTTCATCGATGCTTTGCTGCAGGGGAAACTGAGTGACAAGCAGGTATCTATGCCTGTTGTATAATTAACCCTGAGTGGACTTCCCTGCAGATCTGCTGCTAATTGCATCTTCATAGGTTTGATTATTTTAACTGTCTGCAGAGTATCCCACTTGGTCGAAGTGTCTTCTTAGCTGGAATGAGATGTGTGGAGCTTTTCTCCTCTTACAGCCCCGGGATTTTTTGTGTAGTGTGCTGTGATTGGCTGCTGAGCTGCCAATCATTTGCCATTCTGTGTCATAGTGACATGGGTTGTCAATGGAGGGGCGGCCATTTTTAACCCCCATTGCCATCAGTGAGGGGATCCTTTGCACCATGTCTGCCACTGTCAACAGTGGCACAGGGGTGGTCTGGGGGAATATAGGTTTGAGCAGCTTTCCCAGTCTGGCCTCCAAATGAATTGGGCTACAACCCCTGTCATCCCCAGCCAGCATGGCCATGGGAGTCTAGTGCATCTGGTAGGAGCCAGGTTGGGAGGGGCTGGCATCTGGGGGGAGCCACATTCTTGTACCCCATCTTCACTGGCAGAATGGTGGATCTGTTACTGCAGTGACAAATCTGGTGTTCCACCAGCAGGGCATCCACTGAATCCGATAACCTAGGCATAGGGAAGCTTGTGTGGCTAAGGGCCACATTACTTCTGTGGAAACCTCTTGGAAGCCACGTACCAGCTGTGGGCAGACCTAAAACAGGTGGCGAGCCAGTGGGGTGGGGTGGTTAAGAGTGTGGGTCTGGGACACAGGAGATCTGGGTTCTCACCCCACTCATCCATGGAGCTCCCTGGGGGCCTTTGAGCCAGTCACAACTTACTTGGCAGGGTTTATTTGTTTATTGATTACATTTGATATACCACCCCATAGCCCATCTTGGAGTGGCTTGCAATTTTAAAATTGTAAAGGGTTGCCATTGTAGAATTGAGAGGAGGAGGATGTCAGCTGCCTTGAGTTACTTGGAAGGAAAAAAGGTGGATCTAATTATAATAAATGGAATGAATGAGGGAGGGAGGGAGTTGTAGCCATTTTCTCTCACATTCGTCCAGTCTCTCTTTTCTATAGGTAGGCACTCACTCTCACACATGCACCCATTCAAATCAAACCATTCTCTCTTCTTTAGCCCCTCTGCTGGGAGCTCATAAGGCTGCAGTCCTTTGCAGGCTTGCTTAGGCACAAACAGTGCTGGGCCCTGTGGCAGCTAAGCCTGAGTAAATGCATAAAGGCACACACTCCCAGAATACATGCTGGTGAATGCAGAGGTTGCTGACCACCCCTCCTGTGGCTATTCATTCTGCTCAGCTGAAGGTTACTCATTTCTTCTGTTTCTGAGCTGCAATTATTTTGGAATTAATTCCAGATACTTTGATTCATAAAATGTTTAAAATCTCCCAAACAAAGAAAGTATTAGATTAATCAGTAACTCATATGCTTCTGTTTTCTTTCTCTCCTCTCAATCGACACTGTGGGTGGGATTATGAGAAAATGACCCTGTACTGATTCCATCTCCCTGAACCAGATTTTGTTTCCTAGATTTTGGAAGACACGATGATATTCTCCCTGGCAGGGTCAATAATCACTGCCAAGTGTAAGTATCCAGAAGCGTGTGACTGATGGACGGGGCTAGCACCTCTGAATGCTCACGGCACAATAGATGGTTTTCCAGGTGCCGCTGTTCCTTTCCCCGCTGTCTGGATAGTTTGTTTTAACGCATGTTTAGGCTGCTTTTGCTCCATAAGAATATTCAGGGTTGCTTGACTCCCGGTGTTCCATGCTAGTTGGGGCTGATGGGAGTTGAAGTCAGTCATCAAGAGGACAGCAGGCTGGAGAAAGCTGATGGCAGGTCACAGTTGTGGCATGCATTGAAGCTCTGCAGCAGGGCGTGAGAGAGGCAAATGACTCCCGAGGGAAGGGGCTCTGGTCTGGAGCTTTTCATGGGGCAGCTGCCTTCTTCGAAAGCGAGCACTGCTCAAGTCTGCAGGGGCCATGGCTCAGGCTTGACCTCCAGTGTCTCTTGATCGGGCTGGAAAAGACTTCTGGTCTGAAACCGGGAGAGCCACCACTGCCCATAAGTTCCACCAGAACTGGGCTAGATGAACTGAGGGCCTGAACTGCCACATGGCAGGTTCCTATGTCTACTCCCAGCCACAAACTCTCTGGCAAGCTGCCACCTCTTAAGCCTTCATCTGAAAGTCAGAAGAGATAATGCTCGCCTACTTCCCGGAGTGGCTGAGATAATAATATATGTGGCATGCACGGAGCACTTGGGCAAAAGCATTTTATTGTTGCTAAGCTGCAGCAATACTTCAAAAGACAAGTCAGCCTGCTAAGACTTTTTTCCCTGCTTCTAGTTTTTGCAAACATGTATTTCGGTTTCCTCAGAACCCAGCTGTTTCTGTTTTGTGGGGAGCACGGCTTCCTACAATCTGATTTTCACATTACAGGTCCTTTGTTATCTTAAAAAAAGTCATGATATGGTGCATTGTGAGGGTGAAGTTGCTGACTAAACATTTATTTCTCTCCTCTGGTTTTTCTTTCTTGTTCAACAGTGTGCACCTGGGCAGTCTATTTCTTGACTACAGCAAAAGAAGTTCAGCAGAAGCTTTACAAGGAAATCAACCAAGTTCTTGGGAAAGGCCCAATTACACACACGAAAATTGAGCAACTCAGGTGCATGCATGTCTCAGAACACCCATTTCCTAGGGTGAAATGGGTGAAATCCTAGGGTGAAATCAAAATACCTAAAAATAAAAGCCAGGAGGGACAGGGAGCCTGGTGGGCTCCAAGGAAGGTGCCATTAGGCATGCTTGTGGGCACCAGGGTACACACCCCAGCATTATGCCCTAATCTTACAGCAAATCTTGGAAGCAGGGGGTTTGCGGAGAATGTGGGGAGGGATGATGTGAGCTTGTTGTCTTCAGAACATGGTGAGGAACTGGAAATGCTTTGTTCTTCGTTGTGGCCTCTGTGCATCACACATATGGGTGCTGCACCTGCGCAGTGCCTATGGCCAGAAAGATTGCAAAGCTTAACGGTTTTTGGTGGGAAAACTCTGCTCCCCTCCCCCCTAACAATATAAATGGAGCGGAGTGCCCACCATTTTCCCAGTCTTCTTGCAACTGCTGTTCGCTGTGCCTCGAGCCTTTATCTCTTCGTCACTATTCAATCTTTCCTTGTTAGCTAGTTGTATAGTTGCATAATTCCAAGTTTTTCCCTTCCTTTTTAAAGTTTTTCCCCCATTTTACTCTTTAAACTCTCCTATAAAAATAAAAGAAGAATTATCTTATCCCTTCTTCTATCTACCTATTCCTATCCTTCTTCTTCCGATGGCACAGCATGCGGCTTTCCGCAGATGCTTGCAGTTTGGGTCTAAGATGTCTCCAACCGACCCACACGATCTGTGTCTCCTCTGCCTCAGAGAGGGGCACAGGACCGACAAATGCGGCCATTGCCAGGCCTTCATGAAGCAGGCAAGGAAGAACCGTGAAAACCGCCTGCAGAAACTGCTGTGGGACCAGGCCCTCATGCAGTCCGATCAGTTGGCCAGCAAACCTGCTCCAGCCTCTGCTTCTACCGCGCCCATCGGCTGATGGTGCCCCGGTAATGGAGGCTCAGCAACCTCCTTCTCCTCGCAAACAAAAGGAAAAGAGAAAGCACGGTGGATCTGAGAAGTCCTTGGGCCATAAGAAGCCCAAAAAGGACAAATCAGACAAACCAGCCCATAAGCCTAAGAAGCCCAATCACCCATGACACCGTGATTCGGGCTCGTCTGTACCATTGGCCCCGATGGCTGCCACGATACCGACACTGACGGGTCCGGCCCTGCAGATGGCTATGCAGGTGACTCCACCTGGGTCTCCCAAACGGGTTGTATGCTCGATTCATTTATCTCCCGAGCAACCCGATGTACTGCTGTGAGAGTCCATTTCTGATGGGGAGATCCATGACTCCCCTCCAACAGCTAGCTCTCCTTCGCCCCTTCCATCACCTGGGCCTCTCTTAAGAACAATTTCGCAGCAAGTGCGGTACCAACATCGCTCCTCCAGCCATTTTGTGGAGGGATGGGAACAAGCCCATCATGGAAGCCATCATGCGCCTTGGGATGACTACCAGGATTATGGCTACTACCCGTCAGTTCGGGACCGTACTCTCTCCCCGGAACTGAGAGAGACGGCATCTACTTCGCGACTGATGAGGTCGGGGCACCCCAGCTCACTGGTTAAGTCCTTTTCGAGCGGCCCACCGCAATACGATATGGACTCTGAGGACTCGGAGATGGCATCAACTTCACCTGATGCAGCCATCACGATGCAAGGTCCTGGATCGCCGGAGGAACCTTAATGTGACATTTGGTGAACTGATGTCACAACTTGTCAGATCGCTAGAGATTGAGGCGCAAACATCGCATCGATCCTAGCACCAACAAGTTCTACGATACTGTAAGGGGAGAGCAATCAGCTGCCATCATCCTACCTCTGATAATGACCCTTCGACAAGCGATGGTACAACCCTGGGATTTTCCTAGCCAGCCCCAACCTACTTCTCTTTGGTATGAGACAATGTATCAAGTTCGGGAGCAGGATATACCATTCCTCCTGTGCCACCCGAGGCCGAACTCGATAGTGGTGGAATCGTCCCAGGGTCGCAAATTGAGGGGTCATACTACGCCCCGTGACAAGGAACTATGATTCTGAGACTCGCCCAATCGACCTCTCCGTCTTCCACCTTCTGTTTTTCGGACGCTATCATGGTGGACTGTTCCACACAACTTGAACGTGGGTGTTCCATTCTGTCCACCACACCCAACCCTGACTCTCTATACTGACACGTCCCTGATCGGGTGGGGAACCTTGTGTGCCAGGCTTTGAACACAGGGCACCTGGGATCGACAAGAATCTACCAGACACATCAATTACCTCGAACTCCTGGCAATCTTCAAAGCCCTCCGCTCTTTCGAGGACACTGTCCAGCAACACGTGGTTCAAGTTGCATCTGACAGCATTGTCACTGTATTTTATGCGAACAAGCAGGGTGGCACAAAATCCACTTCCCTGGCCCGTCTAGCGATGCAGCTGTGGGACTGGTGCATTCCCAGGGACATAACTCTCCTGGCAGTCCACCTAGCCGGTACCGACAACGAGGAGGCCGATGTTTTGAGCAGACAAATGTCGACAGCCCACGAATGGGAGCTAGTTCGACCAACTTGCAGTCAACTTTTCCTCCAATGGGGCTACCCAGACATAGATCTGTTCACTACCCACAAGAACAGAGTATGCAGCACGTACTGTTCTCGTGCCGGCATTGGGCCGGGTTCAGCGGGAGATGCCCTAATGATCCCGTGGTCCAACATGCCCTTCTATGCCTTCCCTCCAATCCCACTTATAATGAGGGTCATTTCCAAGATTGCCCACGACGGCGCCACGGGGATTCTGATCACAACTTGGTGGCCCCGTCAGCCATGGTTCTTCACTCTCTTCCAGTTGTCCGGCAACACCTTTCTCCGTCTACCGCTCATACCACATTTGATAACCCAGCAAGATGGAGCTGTTTGCCACCCAGACCTCGCCTCACTAAGTCTCACAGCTTGGCGAATTCAGTGAATCACGGTACCAACTCGGGTCCATTAGACCATACATTGGGTTCAAGCACTCTCCATCCCAACATCCAGCGTATTCTCGAATCTGCTTTAAGACCATCAACGCAGAGATTGTATGCGGCAAAATGGCATCGGTTCTCCTCCTTCACAGAATCCAACCTGTTTACCGCTTCCTCAGCTTCTATTGAGAACATCTTGCAGTTCCTTCTGGCACTCCATCAGTGAGGACTTAAACCTGCTTTCATCAAGGTTTATCCAGCAGCTATCTCCCACTACCGTGGTCCAGTGCAAGGCTCCTTGGTGTTTTCTCAATCCATTATTCGAAGATTCATCAAAGGGTTTCAAAATCTCCATCCGCCAGTTTGTCCTGTCATGCCTACATTGTCATGGGCAACAGCCCAGTATGTAAACAGTCCACACATTCACCAGCAATAAAACTGAAGTCCTTTAATGCTAATTAACTACAAGATTTACGACTCTATAGATAAGTTCTCTAATAGCGGTCCTGGATATGCAGATGTTAACCCTCTAATGGCTTCCCTCCCCGAGTCCATGTGGGATTACTCTCCTAAGTCACGCCTTTCTTCTCTTTTACGTAATAAATTCTGTCGCTGTTCATATCTACGAAGAATGCATCAATTTTTGGCTTTTGAGAAATCCACCACGCCCACTGTGTCTTCTGTTTCTGGCTCAGGAAGATCAGTGTCAGAGGGGAAAGGAGCAGCTTGCCCGGCCTCCTTCCAAGTAGAGCTTGCAGCTTCCTCTCTCTCATGACTCTCTGGCTTCGATAAGGGCTCAGGCGTTTGCTCAGCATGCTGGGAGTCAGAGGGAGGCGCAGCAGCTGGCCCATCTGCCCCTACGCTGGGTTGTGGGGTTGGCTCTTGTACACTGGGTGCTAAGTGCAAGTCCTCCTCGTGAGTCACTGATTCTGTCTGGGCTTCATGCATGACATACACGGAGTCTCTCAGTTGTCCTTCAAGCACTCACCAGAGCCCCCTTCGAACTTCTGGCAACTACCAATTTATGTCTCCTATCTTGGAAGACTGCCTTCCTCGTGGCTGTCACTTTGGCTAGAAGAGCTAGTGAGCTCTGCACGCTTTGGGTAGACCCTCTATATCTGAACTTTCATAAAGAAAAAGTTGTTCTTTGCACTGATTCGACGTTCTTGCCTAAAATCGTTACTCCATTCCATATCAATCAGGACATTGTATTACCTGCCTTTTTTCCATCACCCTCTACTCTGATCGAATGGTCCTTGCAGTCTCTCGATGTTCGTCATTGCCTTGCCTTCTACGGATTGCGTACGGAATCCCTCTGTAAATCTAACCACCTCTTTGTGAAATATTCAGACCATGACAAAGTTCCCCTGTGAGCTCACAGAGGATTTCGAAATGGGTAGTACAAACTATCAAGCTGGCGTACCAACTTGCCAAGATTGATTTGCTGGTTATACCCAGAGGGCATTCTACAAGAGCGGTAGCAGCCTCCTCTGCCTTTGCTGCTGGGATCCCAATTCAAGACATCTGCAAAGCTGTGACATGGACTACGCCTTGCACCTTTGCCAAGCATTACTGTCTTGATGTCTGTGCCAGACGTGACTGTTCCTTTGGTCGGGCAGACCTTTCCGCTGTTCTTCAATGACGACACCACCCATCTCCGGGTCTGGTAAGCTTGTTAATCACCCATATGTGTGATGCACAGAGGCCACGACGAAGAAAGGCAGGTTGCTTACCTGTAACTGTCGTTCTTCGAGTGGCCATCTGTGCATTCACACAACCCACCCGCCGGCCCCACTCGGTGTCAGTGAATGGGTTCTTTTTTCAGTACCATGTTTCTTTGGTATTCATGGTCCCATGAGAATTTTTTTGCAGTATCTCTTGTGAGGGGGTGAACATCCAGTCTTCAGTAGACTGGGAAAATGGCAGGCACTCCGCTCCATTTATATGGTTATGGGGGAGGGGAGCAGAGTTTTCCCGCCAAAAACCATTAAGCTTTGCAATCTTTCCGGCCATAGGCACTGCGCAGGCACAGCACCCATATGTGTGAGTGCATAGATGGCCACTCGAAGAATGACAGTTACAGGTAAGCAACCTGCCTTTGTCACAGGGCTGTTGTGGCCCATTGAAATGCAGCAGGTCTGTTAGTGCGTGACCCTCCGTTACAAGTCCTGCTGGGACTGCCTGGCTTAATGTTGAGCCCATCATGGGATTCTGGATGCTCTGCAGCCCAGCAACATGGCTGTGGCATCTGCAGAAGCCCGTTGCATCTTTTTACGTTTCAAATGAAAGGCTCATAAAGGCTTTCATTTGGCAGATATTGCCGGCAGGTGCTTTGCGAGACAGTGAGGACAGCAAAGCTCACGCCAATTGCAGCAAGGCTTCAAGAGCTGGAGGGCAGAGTGGACCATCATATTGTTCCCAAAGAGGTAGGACTGGAACCCAGTGCTTTGATGCTTGTATCTCAGAAAGGAAGCATTCATCTTTATTTGTTTATTGTTATGGAGAGGGCTGGAAGGTGAATTAGATATATGACAGAATGATTTATTGACATGCATACATGCATTCGAGCAGGAACACTAACATTCTTTTTCATGAGTCAGTTGGGACAATTATATATTGTCTTAATGAGCTGATATACAAATGACCTTCTGCCTGTTCATGCAGCCCCTCTGCTCCTTCTTTACGCAAACCATGCCTATGCCAAGGCATCTTTCCTTAACCATAATTCCCTAGTCCCCCTGGACTGAAAAACTATGATTATCTGTTTTGAAACAATCTTAAACCACTGCATGACTGCATATGCACGCAAAAGTCTTGTCCCTCCCTTGACTTGTTGAGCCAAGTTACAATAATCCAAACCAGCTCAGTGCAAATACTTCTACTTAAAAGGAATCGGGAGGAGTCTGGCAAAAATGCATAGTTGCTGTGCTATGTCATTCTAAATTAGCTGACATTTTTAATTAAAGACATCTCAGGCCACCTCCAAAAAAAGAAGTGCTGTTGCGCTGGATCCATTTCTAATGGAGTGCCTTGTTAATCTATTGCAGCAAAAATAATTGAATCTTGTGACACCTTAAAGACTTAACACATTTATTTTGGCAGAAGCTTTTGTGTGCACTGTCCATTTTGTCCAATGCATTTAATCTGTGGGGGTTTTATTCTGTCAGATTTGCCACCTAGTAAACTTGCTTGGCTTTTCTGCCTTCAGTCCTTTGCAGTGAGAGCACCACAGTTTTCTTCAGATGTGTAAGGATGGGGTGAAGGAGCTAATCGCAGAGGCAAGAAAACTAGAAGAGGCAATTAGCTTCTGCCACTCTTGTTTATTGGCTACCAACAGGGCAAGCTCTTCTTTCTGCATATAAAATCAAAAAGCAACTACAAATATTTGCATGCTCATCCTCTTGGAGCCATCTTGAACCGTGTCCTTTTGCATTCCTCCATTCTGGTATCATCCAACTTTAAGGGAAGTTTAATAAAGTCTTCCTATTAAAGGAAGACTTTGTTTTTGCTTCCTGTCCCAGAATATCTCCTTTTAGTCCTCCTATAGTAATGCTGGACAGAAAACATGTTTGCTTCATTTCCAGTTAAATGGCTGGTGATAGAGCACGGAATATTTGTGGGTGGGTGGATTTCTGTGAGTGCGTGTTTGGTGCATTTATAGGAATAAAGCCGTTAAAACACAGAATGGACTGCTAATATATGCAACGGATCATGACAACACTGTTGTCAGTGTTGACAACGCTAAAATGGTGCCTTTCTAATTCCATTTCAGACTCTTGTGCTGTATGCGCTTGGCGTGGTGCTGCAAGACAGCTCAGCTTGGCCATTGCCCTATAAGTAGGTACACAATTGATGTTATTTTATTTTAGACGTATTTAATCCTGATCCCCTCCCCAACACACACACACACACACACACACACACTACTTTTTCCTCCAAGATCTGAACAAAGGGTCGAGTCCTTGGGCTCTGCTATGCCAGATACATGTGTGCGATACCATGATTGAATGTTCTCCCGTCTGAAAACAAGCCAACTGACCCTGGCACCGTGTACATAGGAAGAATAGCACATGAAAGATGAGCTCAATTTTCCTTCATACATGGCTGCTTTTCATGAAATGAATTTAAAAAAACAGGTGGGAGGTTTTCAAAATAGGGGGAAATTCAATGCATCATTTTCTTACACAGCATCCTGAAGAGGTCCAGGCCAAGGATATGCTTTTGAACATGCAGTCTGGTTCTTAATGCTTTAATTAATTCCTCAATGTGGGGCCTCCTGGATGTGTTGGACTACAACTCCCATACCTATGGGATGATGCAAGCTCTAATCCAGCTAATCCATCTGGAAGAAAGGCTGTAATAAATTTTCAAGGCAGAGGCTGGTGAATATGAGGAATTTTTGCTTCCAAACCCAGGGCTTCATGTAACTGCAAACAGGACCCTGCAGAATGCTTTTGTAGTGTTTTGAAGAAAACTGGTAGCTGCCTTTTGTAAATGTTCATGACTTTCTGTGGTGAATACTGTGTGTTTTGCTGCCATCAAGTCTGCCCTTGGGATTAAACTTTGCAATTGCAGAGCCTAGAACTTTATATCAGCAGAGAAAACATCAATCATAGGGTTGTTATAAAGATCGTGGCGGTCCTACTGCCCTATTTCTAGACTTCTGGACTGTGGCTCCAGCTCTGGAGGCCATGGGAATGTTGTACCTCTGTCTGACCTGCAGATGGCAACTTTTAGCATCGTTTGGGCAACGTGGGGGCAGGGCTGGGGCTGAAATGAAGTGGGTCAGCAACTTGATTCAGGGCAGAGAGACAGTTGGCTTAATTGAAGAAAAATCCACCTAAGGGCCCTGCTCTCTCTCTGGCAGCTGAAACTTTATTTTTGGAAGAAGTAACGAGAGAAGCGGCAGGACCCTGTCGCAACAGGATGCATGGCTGCCGAAGAAGAGGCCTGGCAATGGCCAAGGCACTTAAAAACGGGCACCGCTGCACATTTGCTCTCCACTTGCTCTCCAGGAAAAGGTGGAGAAGGCTGAGCCAGCCGTACCACTCAGCAGAGAGGGGGCCCCTCCGTGTCGATCATGCAGTTGGCTCTCTGGATTTACTTCCACAGAGCCAAAACAGTGTCAGGCTACCTCTGTGACAGCATGGTGTAGTGGTTAGAGTGCTGGACCAGGACAGGACTGTACTAGTGCCGGATTAGGACTCAGGACCCAGGTTCTAGTCCTCACTTGGTCAGGAAGTTCATTGGGTCACTGTTGACCAGTTGCTGACACTCAGCCTAAGCTGCCTCAAAGGGTTGTTGTTGCAAGGAGAAAATGGAGTAGAGGAGGACTGTGTTAGCTGCCGTGGGCTCCTTGCAGGTGACTGGTGCTGTGGCTGAGTCCTCTGCACCTTGAGTGCCAACAGCAGCTTTCAAGCACAGCTCTTTCTCTTGAGTCCTGCTACAGGAGATCCTTCTTACGTGAAACCTGGGACTCCACCTGCAGCCTTTGCCATTCCTCTCCGAGGTTGATAAATCCAGTTGCCAAGCTCATTTTTCTGCGATGTCCTCTACTGATGCAGGACTTAAAGAAATGTGGGGGGGGGGGGGACACACAGGTATTTCACTGCGGTGGGAAAAACCATTCGGCAAAGGTGTAGCTCTGGCTTTCCTGCCTGTGAGGGGAAAGAGATTCAGAGCGTGTGCTAATGGGAGAGACAGAGGATTCGGGGATCATTTGCTCCTTCAAGTCTGCAAGGAAGGACAGGCTTGGAGAGCTGACTGAATAGCTTTCGCCCAGGCAGCCCACAGCACTTCCCTGCAACATACGGTAGCGCCTTAAGTTGCCTGTTGAGATCATGGCTGCGTTGGCAGGAGGTCCCCGCAGCAACTGCGGGCTGCCTTCAGAATTGACTTCTTCGCTGCAAACGTCAGTTGGCCTTTCAGGGGAACATGGTGAGGAGCAATGATAAAACAGCGGAAGGCTTGAACGATAACAAATCTACTGCTCAGTGAGAAATCATGCTCACGGAAGCCACACGTGTGCTGTGGTCTTTAATCAGTAAGGCTCGCCACAGCAAATGCTGTGTTTTCCCTGCAGAAATAAGCGGCATGGTGTCTTACTACCTTGCCAGTCCCTTGATTATGGGAACATTAGCCTGGGTTGTATATTTGCTTGTGTAAAAACCCCCCACTGACCCGATGGTAAACAAGCTTTCCTTTCTAATGAATTATCGGCTCCATCGCACAGATACAATCATTGGCAAGCGGTCTGGATTAGGAAGAAATGGGAGGAGGCAGGGTGCAGGCAGCAGGGAAAGAACGGGTGAGCAGAGTGGATGGCTATCGGATCAAAGGGGATGAAATTGGGGTGGAAAATGGCACTGGACAGGCAGTGGGAAGGGGAGTGTTTTGCCCTGCTATGTGTTCTGGTATATGCCAGAAAGGTGTTTTTGTGGATCTGCTTTTAAAGGGTGTTCTAATACTTGTTTCTGTCCCTCCCCCTCTTCCCCCCTTTTTTCGGCTAGATTTGATCCAGACAGATTCAGTGATGAATCTGCCATGAAAAACTTTTCTCTCCTCGGCTTTTCAGGAAGTCAGGAGTGTCCGGAGCTGAGGTGAGGAAAAAGCAAAAGCATTTTTTTGATACCAGGTGGGATACAGAAGTGGTGGGTGGGGCAGAGATCCATTCCAAGTGTAGAAATATTTTGTAGACTTTATCTAGAGTTGTCCATATAAAGGATTGTGTGACCTTCTTGGTTACATTCTGGTTTGAATCCCAAGCTAGAGGGATGAAAGGAAGTTCTTGGAAGGAAATTTTATTCCACCATTTTTGCCCACGTGCAACCTCACCGGAACATCCTCTTGCCCAAGGTGGGATGAAGACATTGAGGGCAGCTGGGCAAAGGGGGATCTGATCAAGCGAAGCACCTCCCACTCATGGGCAATTCCTGCCCCACCCTGTGCCCCTTTCTGCAGCACCTAAGAGGGGCCCCCTCAACCATCCAGAGGATGCAGGTTGTAGCAGTGAGTAACAGGAGATGGCAAACACCTTCCACTGAATTTCCTCTTTTGTTTGCTTACCGTAGGATGCAACAGTCTCATTCTTTCTCCATGTTCTTATCTTTTCCCATCACTAGGTTTGCCTATACGGTAGCTACAATCTTGCTGAGTGTAATTGTGAGGTCCCTCCACTTACACCCCGTTGAAGGCCAAGTCATGGACACCAAGTATGAGCTGGTCACTTCACCCAAGGAGGAAGCGTGGATTATGGTATCCAAGAGATGTTAAGGCAAGGAGCAAGGCCATATTTGGGGAGATGGGCCCTCTTCCACCAGTCACCACTTCACTGCTAACCACTTTTAGGTCGGGGAATCCTCAAGTACTTTCCTTTTTCCATAATGGAAAGTCTTCTCTTATTAATAAAATCCAGTTGCCTCTCACGATGCTCTAAACAAATCTGCAGGATTAATGGAAGTGGAGAACTTCATAGGTTTAAGAACAGATCGCAGGCTTCCCTTCTTCCTTCTTCTCACTTAAAATACAAAATGGTAAAGAAGGCCACACATGCAAATCTAGGCATCCTTAGCCATTAGTCCAGACAGGTGTGGATGGACTGTGGTGAGGCACACTGCACAAGCTCAGAGGTGCTTTTTCAAAAGAGATTGTTAGATGAAGGTCACTTGTTCAGTATTGAGTTGTAGCATAGGAAGATGCAAGTTTGGGCAACTCCAAAGAGGCCTGACCTTAAATAAAGCTCTGATGTGGCTACAAAGGACAATTGAGGACAAACTGCTCATTTATGGACACTAAGTAGTACATTATTTATAGAAATTCCCCAAGTGTTGTACTTGTCTGTGCTAGTCCCTGGATTGTGGTGGAGAAAGCCAACTTGACAGGGTTCAAAACAGAATTGGGTAAAACTGGGTGCATGTTCAGGGCCTAGAGCAGATTTGGTGCTTACTGCTCTATTTCTTGTAATCCCCATCAGATCTAGCCAGTGTTACTCATGACTGAGCCCCTCTGAAACTACTTGAACAAATTAACTGGGAGTAGTGCAAGTCCCATTGGTTGCAGTGGCATTTACTCACAAGTTGGTTTAACTGGACTGGGACCAGAGTGATAGACAGTGGTTTTTATGCATGGATTCAGTGTATATATATGTGGGGATGAAGCAAAATGGAATAATGGTTGTTCAAGATTGCATTAACCTAAAATAGTCCTCCTGTAGAAGGATACTGAATCACTGTTTTAATCTGGTGGCTTAGTTATAGCCTCTTTTCTTTTGCTGTACAAGAGGGTCAAACCAACTGTCAGTGGTATGCAGTGTTGTTTTTGTTTTTTCAAAAGTAGCTCTGATCAAAATGAACCCAAAGTGTCAAATGCTCCAAGTTTTTTTCAGATCAGCTCTCTTTTCAGATCTCTCTTTCACAGAGTGGTTCTTGTTTATCATTCCTCTTTTTTCCTTTTTTCTACCTTTTTTAATTGCAAATCTGTTTACGATTTATGCTAATGTACCAATACCATAGAGGGGATAATTAAAAATACTTGCCAAAATCAGTACCTTGAGTTGAAGGGCCTAGCAGTCCTGTGGGTTTTGCTTTCTCCTGTGAGATTGGGCTTAATGCTTACAAGAATGATCTACATTGTGTTACCAAACCATTCTTTTAGGCTGGGCAGGCATCTCTGTTGTAGGTGAGTTGTCTTGCTCTCTTGCCTGTGGACACACAAGAGTGTGTATGGAAGTAATTAATTTTCAGTGAGTTCCTCAGTGAATGTGGGCCGATGCCTGGATGAGTCTGCTTTAGAACAGGCATTGAACATGTCAGTCTTCAAGCCCCATCCAGCACTGGGATTTTGAGCGATTCTGAGGTCTGCATTTGATGTGATCGCAACCCAGAATGATCAAAGTTGCTCGGCCTCAGCAACAGAGAGCTTTAGGCCAGTGTTTGACAGGGCAAGTAAAGGAAGCACAGGAAGAAAGTGCTGACTGCAGTGGGATGGGATTAATGCTGCTCTCCCGTCACAGCTCAGTGGCCAGTGGCTTTAACCCGTTCGGCACTACAGCATCAAAAGTTCAACTATTTTGTTCCTACAATTAAATCTTTAGGGAACTTGTTCTCAGGGTTGATGGACTGGGAGCTGATGGCAAAGAAGAAGCAGAAGCCAGATTGAGTCTTTGCCAGAGATCCAGGAAACGGGAAAGACTTACTTTGGTGAAAGTCAAATGCGTGACGCCTATCTCTTCTCTCCACATGTTCACTGAGTATGAGTTGGAAGATGAAAATAGTATTAATTTTATATCTGTACCATGCAGTAACCAAAGCTCTCTGGGTAGTGTTAAACAGTTGATAGAATACAGTAAAAATAAAACTAGACCTGCTTGTGGATTCTTTAACTTGCACTCAGTTATTCCACCACTGTCTTTATGTGATTCTGGACTTGTTTGAGTTTTCTGTTGTCCTGTCTTCACTTCTTTATTCCTTAAATAAACTTTGCTTAGTCATTGTTTGCTTGTCCAATTTACTGTGCTCCTTTGAGCTCTAGGCTGATTCTGCTTCCCTCTTGCATTTAACAGATAATTTGTTGATTGAGTTAAAAAAATAAGAAACATTTCTTGCTGTGATTTCTTATGCAAGGAGCACTGAAAAGGAAAAATACCCTCTTGTGAAACCGGTGGTCTAAGCGTGGTCCCATAGATGTGGCTCTGACCATGGGCCATGCTGGCTGCAGATGATCCGGGTTGTAAGTCAATATTACTGGGAGACCCAAGCCAGGTCCATTGTTATCTGTTACGATCCTCCGCATCACAGCCTCCATACCAAGCTCAGCACCCCGTGCCAACAGCTATGGAAACAAAACAGGGCCACTGACATCAAGGTGATTGATACGAGCCTGCTCATCAGAAGCCTCAGATTGGCAGAAGCGTGAAATACATTTTAAAGGAAAGAAAAGTATATAAAGCTTTGGCACCTCCTGCAGCAATAGCTCAGCGAGGACTGAGCAGGTGCAGCACCCACAAGAAGCTACAGAATATTAAAAGTCAGAAAAGAAACTGAAGGGAGGAAGGGGACTGAACCGGCTTCCTTGAGTCTGGAACTGCTCATGCCATACTTTCCCGGACTGCTACCCTCTAGCTCCCATCAGCCCCTGCCAGCAAGACCAATGATTAGGAATGCTGGTAGTTACCATCCAAAACATCTGGATGGCCCAGGCTGGTGAGTGTTGGCTTATACTATTTCAGAGGGAAGACACGGCTGACTAGAATCCTGAACAGGACCATTTCTGTTTGAGGTTGAGAATAAAAAGCAACTATTTTTGTAGGTCCCATTCGTGCCCTTTAGGAATGGATGATCAAGTCCTCAGTTTAGAAAAAAATGAGTGCATCGAAATACAAAGTAGTGCTTTGATGTACTTAGAAGACTCTGCAAAGATATCTAACTTCAAAAATTAACAAGTTTTCTTATGGCAAGGCTGTGCAATCTCTGGTTCTCCAGATGTTTGGCCTAGAGCTTCCATTAGCCCTCCGTGACCTAGTCAATAAGATGAGGAATCATGGAGTTACAGGCCAAAAACACCTGGAGCTGCAAATTGCCCACCGCTCACTTATGGAACGTGCAGGTAAGAGTAGCTCCTCTGCCTAGAGAGGGAGCATTCCCTGCCATCCAATAAACACCTGCTTGAGGGCAAGTCTACTTGAGCTCAATATGGCTTCCTGAATAAACTTCCACAGAATTGAGCTGTTACAGCCTTTGGCAATCATGAATGACAGGGTCCTATTGCTGCTGCTTTTTGTGCTTGGGTCTTTGGGCAGGAGGACACAGTAGTTGCTGACCAGCCACAGCTACCCAAGAATGCTTGATCCCCTCCACCCCCATGCCTTTTCCCCATGGGCAGCTCTCATTTCTACCTTGGAAGAGTTATACTTCGGGATGGGTTGGCTAAAGGAACCGACACTTCAGCAACAGATTGCATGAGCCTTTTGAGTAGGCAAACAGCTGAGGTTGAGACATGCAGTGCTTGATGGTGTTAGTTGGGAGCGGAGGGAAGGAACATGGGCAGTGGCCTGCCTGAGCCCCCAAGCTCAAAGGGAATAGCCCGGGGGTCTGGATTAGGGGAGGGGTGGTGGTGTGCACCAATCTTGCTCACACAATGTTCCCAGCTCAGATTCAGGCCTATCAGTGTTCCAGATGACAACCATCACTTTGACTATTGACTGGAGGTGGGGACTGATGGGAGTTGTAGTCTAAAGCATCTGGAGAACTGCAGCTTAGGAAAGGTTAGTCTAAGACAAGGGCCTGCTTATGCTACACTGAACCCAGGACAGAAGCTCCTAAAACTTGTTTCACTGGGTTGAGTTGTCTGCAGGCATCATATTTCAGAGCCGGTATGGTGAAACAGAAAGAACATAGAGTTAGGATGGAAAGACAGAGACCTGGATTTGAATCTCTGTTCTCCCTTCAAACTGACTGGAGGACCTTAACCTATCTGCCAGGGCTGCTGCACAGGTAAAATCGGGGACATGGTTCACATCTCATGACAAGCAATCCTGTGTGGTTTCCACAGGGCACAGTTTTTATCCTGGGTCTGCCTGACAGATGATCGAGTGGTTTCTACACTACCTTGGTTTCCACCATCCTTGCTCAGTCCTCTTGCTGATGACTTGTATCCCATCAGCCACTGTGCCTTAAATAGAATCCCACCCTGGATGAATGGAGCAGCTCCTGCAGTTGTCAATCTTTCCGGGAGACTCTGCTAACTATGCCAGGAGCATGGAAAAACACAATGCTGGGTTTGGACAATTGGAAAAACCATGGAGAAGCATGGAAACTATAGAACACTCTGTTGTTTCTTGGGTTTGGATGACACAACAGACCATCCTGCACAAGAAACCACCATGGCCTGTGTCATGCAAATCCATTGATTATGTACACTTCCTGGAGAATTTTGGAGGAAGGGTAGGATGCAAAAATAATAAAGATTGCCATGATTCTGGCATCATGTAAATCAACAAGAGCAGGTTTGTTATCAGAAAGGATAGATCATTCTGCAGAAATGGCGGTGACATAGGAATGACCTCGAGATGGTCAGACAATGAAGTGGTGTTCTGATAGACAGATATTCACTGTTGTCAGGAGTGGTTATCCTCAAGACCATTTCAAGACTGAAATATATTTACCTTGTCAGAGGGTTTGGTTCCTGAAGATAACAACTTCTGACTCCATGGAATATTTTCAGTCTCTATCATGCAATTTTGAGCAGCTAATTTACCAGCAGTGTGAATTGTGATAGCCCACCAGATGAAGCTTTCTAACTACACCGTGAGTGGGGACTGCTCATTTCCCAGACAAATTCTGTGTAGAAAGGTCTACATTTGATTCCTGTAGGCAATGGTTTTTACTGTTGTTTGTTACCTGCACTGTCATCTGACCCAAAATGAGAGGCAACTGAACAAGCAGGTTACAACAGAGAAGAGGAGCAAGCCCAGTGGAGGCTTTTGCCAATGTGGCCTTGCTGGGATGTGAGGCCTCAGCAGCTGCCCAACTACGACTAGTCATGATACCAGCCCTGCGTGAGGTCACTGAAGCCCACTATCTGACCTGAAATAAAGTAAACACCATAGGATGTACTTCAGCTCTGTGTATGTGAAAGAGTGGATTTAAAAGATTTGTTTTAACACTGCACTTAGAAACAACATTTTTCTACTTCACTTTAAATCATTTCATTATACTAAGTTTTAAAAGCTCAGTAACTCCAATCTTTGGTTAACTGAAGGTCAGATGTGTCCCCAGAAAACAGTTTAGATTTAACTTTTCTTCAGTGTTGATGCAAAATCAATTTTCTGTAAAGTGCCAGTTGCTCAAAAACCGTTGGAAACAAAACTAAGTGCAGTCCTATGTGTGTTTAGCCGCCAAAGAGGCCATCAGTTTTTGGCATAATCCAGACAGTTCTGCTGGGAGTTACAGGCCTTGTTTCCTGTCTAAACATGCAAGGACTGTGCCTTATGAGTTTTATTTTAAGTTTCATTCCCAGAGGGAAAGGCAAAGGGAAAGTGTGTGTTGATCTCTCAAACAGTCAATTTAAAAACATTTCCTTCTTGGGAAAACTTGACAGTATAGTCCTGGAGTTGCCAGCTGATGTATAGTTGGTTCTTTCACACAGTTGAAACAGTCACATGGTGTTACTGGATGCAGCAGACAGACACAAGGAACATCTTCTAAAAATAATTGCCCAAACTCTCCATCTCCCAGTCAAATGGTTTCCTCAAAAGGAAGGTGATCCTTGCACCTACTTGTGTGCATGCTTACTGATTTCAGTGGGGCTTCCTCCCATGTAAATGTGCACAACTGAGGTATTTAATGATTCTGTTGAACTTATTCGTACATTAGCCCAAGACATTTTAGCACCTGAGGCACAAATCGTGGTGTTGATCTCCCTCAGCCCAGTGACTCAGGTGCTCTCCCAGACTTATGTCACACACCAGTCCAAATACTGGCATGATAAAATACACTTTCACTGTTGCACTTCCTCTGTTTCCTTACCAGATCAAAACTCAAGCTGTGTTGGCATCGTGAAACACTGTTGGGAACATTCAGCCACAACATTTCCAAACATCTATTTTTAATATGGGGAGGGAGGAATCACAAGCTCATGGGCCAAAATCAGCCCACTAGCTTCCCCCTGATGGCCCCATCCTGAAGCCTCATTTGTTTGGTGCCTTCCCAATTTGTGTGCAGTTTTCCTCCCTTTTTAATGAAAAGTTCATATGCTTCTCCTAAGGTGTAAAGGGCTGAGGGAACAAATCTTGTGACCCCTAGACATCTTTGGAGGGCCCTAGGGTATTTCAGATTCAAGGATCCTACAACCCTTCCTCATAGCTGCTATGGAAAGAACTGTGCCTGCTGCTCTCAGGTGTCAGGATAACAATCTTGGCAGCGGCAGAAGGGGCAGGAAGGAAATAGGAGGGCAGCCAGGATGAGATGTATCCTAACAACGCTCCAGCTGCCTTCCTTCTACCTCCACCTTGCCTCAGCTGGACAGGTGAAAAATGCAGAGTAGGAAATGGGAGAGGTGCAAGTCACCTCCACTTTTCCTTGACCCTGCATGGGTTCACATAAGCCTCTACATTTGAAGGTTTACAGGCATCACAATAAGATTATGCCCTAAGAATGTTAAGCTAAAAAGTGTTTGTATTTCTAGGTCTGTCCTTTTGCCTCTGTGCCCAGCCAGAACTGGAATGCTGCCCTCGGAGTGCCTCCAAAATTGGATTTGGCTGAATGTGGCTCACCACCCCTCTTCTAGGGATTCCCCTCTGTTTTTCTTCCAGTGTGTCTCAGCCTCCCCAAACTGGTGCCATCCAGAAGTTTTGGACTAAACTTTCTATTATTACTGACCATTAGTTATACTGGCTGGAGATGAGAAATAAAGTTCAAAAATCAGAGGGCTCCACAGTGGGGGAGGCTCATCTGTTTTGTTCCTTTCATACTGTACTTCTTCGTATGTGAGTT